TCGAGGGTCTGGAAACTGAGCTTTATGAGGAACGTTTGGGTATGTTTAGCCTAGTAAAGCGGAGACTGAGAGGAGATATGATAGCCACCTTCAAATATCTAAAGGGCTGTCACATGGAGTAAGCTTGTATTCTCCTCCAGCGGCTGGAACCCAAACCAATGGATTCAAGTTGCAAGAAAGGAAATTCTGACTAAACGTTCTGAAGAACTTTCAGACAATAAGAGCTATTCAACAGTAGAATGGATTCCCATGAGAGGTGGTTGACTCTCCTTGTTTGGAGATTTTTAAACAGAGCTTGGATGATAATCTGTCTTGGACGCATTAGCTGAGATTCCGGCATTGCAAGGGGTTGGACTAGGTGACCCTCAGGATCTCTGCCAACATGTTGGAACCTTTCCTTATAGGCAAATTGCTCCACCCACTTGATCCTTTCGAATGCTCTTTTCTGAACCTTTTCCAGCTGTACAGTATTCTTTCGGGGCAAGGTGACCAGAACAGCACACCATTTTATACTAAGCTAAAAACTTACTACACGCCTCAGATTCTCTCTTTTACATCCCTTATTGTCTGCTTGCATTTTTGCAAATGCCTTCGTCCTTTGTTTTCATTTGAACGAGACACCCATTTTCTGAAGGAAGCCTTGCTTCCAGCAGCTTTTCTCCTCTCGGCTTGTTATCCACTCCTGCATTGTTTCGGCCCTGGTGGTCCACAGAAGATAGCAAAAAATGCTACCATGTATGCATATTATGATTATTTTGTATGGATTTTAATTGCAAGCTTTTGGAGGCTAATCGAGGATGAATGTGATGTGTAAAACAGGGGCAGGGAACCTGCAGCCCTCCAGATGTTGGTGTACAGCTTCCATTATCTGTGGGCATTAGCTGTAAGTGCTGGCGCCGATGGGAGACAAAGTCCAACAGCAGATGGAGGGCCACAGGCTCCCCACTACAGGAAACATTAAAAAAAAATACTTGATTCAGAAGGCAATACAGTGGTGTTGTTGTTTAGTCGTTTAGTCGTGTCCGACTCTTCATGACCCCATGGACCAGAGCACACCAGGCACTTCTGTCTTCCACTGCCTCCTGCAGTTTAGTCAAACTCATGCTGGTAGCTCCAACCATCTCGTCCTCTGTCGTCCCCTTCTCCTTGTGCCCTCCAACTTTCCCAACATCAGGGTCTTTTCCAGGGAGTCTTCTCTTCTCATGAGGTGGCCAAAGTACTGGAGTCTCAGCTTCAGGATCTGTCCTTCCAGTGAGCACTCAGGGCTGATTTCCTTCAGAATGGAGAGGTTTGATCTTCTTGCAGTCCATGGGACTCTCAAGAGTCTCCTCCAGCACCATAATTCAAAAGCATCAATTCTTCGGCGATCAGCCTTCTTTATGGTCCAGCTCTCACTTCCATACCATAGCTTTAACTATACGGACCTCGTATAATACAGTGGTACCTCGGGTTAAGTACTTAATTCGTTCCGGAGGTCCGTTCTTAACCTGAAACTGTTCTTAACCTGAGGTACCACTTTAGCTAATGGGGCCTCCTGCTGCTGCCGCCGCACCGCCGGGGCACAATTTCTGTTCTCATCCTGAAGCAAAGTTCTTAACCCGAGCTACTATTTCTGGGTTAGCGGAGTCTGTAACCTGAAGTGTATGTAACCCGAGGTACCACTGTATACAGGCGCAGCATCCTGAGGCAGAGCAAGTAACTAAACAAAAAGCATGAACTAATGTCGCAGTTGTTCTGCTTACACACACAGACTCCCCACCCCCCTTCTTAATCTAAGAAGTAGCAGCATGTGAAGTGCCCTCAGCAGAGGCAAAACAGCTACCTTCTGTTCATGCCAGGTCAAACGAATTTCCCAAAACTTCTGTTAATCATGGTATGCACACTCAGATGAGTGTAAAGCAGGGGATCTGCTCCTAGAAAGAGGGACTTATCTCTTTAACCAGAAACACCTCCATGGTTAGCTGCAGTCACTTAGATATGAACATTTACATAACCATGTTTTGAGACTGTTACCATCCCTATATACTGTCTCAGTTCCTTGTGAGAATGACAACCCTCAGAGAATATTTCCACCTGGAGTAACGTGCCCAGTTCTCCCCCACCCCGTTTAATGATTTTGGGAAACTGGAACGTGTGCAGGGAGGTTGGGAACCAAGATGATCAAGGGTCTAGAAACCAAGCCTTATGAAGGATGGGTTGAGGGCAGTGTTAGAAACTGAGATATGAAAGCTAGGAGCTAAATGGCACCTTAAACCTAGGTTATGGGCGCAACAATGGAATGTCTAGGCACACTTTTTAAATAACAAGAATACAAGGCTGAAAATGGTCTAGTCCTTCCCCTGCCCAGCCCCCTCATATTCTTAGAGGGTCTCTTCTCCAGTCTTCAGAGTGTAGCTGGAAGTGGGGAGGCAGAAAAAGGTCCTCCTTTCCAATCTGAAATCTTAGGTGTAGAACTGCGCCCAGAGCTCAGAAGCTACTCCCGCTAATGAAATTCCCTGTCACAAAATGCGCCTAGAAGAATGTGAGTTTTGAACACTGGTTGAGGGAACTGAGTATGTGCAGCCTGGAGAAGAGGTGGTTAAGAGGGGGCATGATAGCCATCTTCAAATATCTAAAGGGCTGTCGCAGCCTATTTTCTACTGTTCCAGAGGGTAGGACCTGAACCAATGGATTCAGATTGCAAGATAGGAGATTATGATTAAACATTAAGAATGACTTTCTGACATCAAAAACTGTTCCAACGGTGGAACGGACTACCTCCGAAGGTGGTGGCCTCTCCACTGGAGATTTAACGGAGGTTGGATAGTCATCTGTCAGGAATTACTTAACTGTGATTCCTGCATTACAGAGGGTTGGACTAGATGACCCTTGGGGTGCCTCCCAACTCCTATGAATCTATTATAAACTCTGTAATACACCACAAATGTGTATCTGCAAGCTTCTTGCCTCTACTTGTCTGTGGTATGATTTAGATGATTCCAAACCATGGTCTGGTATTATGTTGTAGTGTAGAAAAACAAACATGGGATTCATGCACTCTCTCAACCTCCTCATGCAATGTTTTCTTCAGCTTACTTCCAGGATTTAACAAGCTGTAAGTCTGCCCACAAGCCACTGTGGACCAGAGACTATTTTTAATGCACATGTTGTTTAGCTCTTGTCATTTACATGTTTTTTATTTCTCTCTTACTGTTTTAGCATTTTGCAAGAGACAACGAAGAGCTAAAACAAGCTCTCATCTTCCATGTAAAAGACAAATCATTTTCCTTCTGTGGAAACCTAATGAACTATTTGGGCTCTATACACACTACACCTTTAAAACACATTTTAAGCACATTTCCCCCCTTCAAAGAATTCTGGGCACTGTCGTTTCCCCCTGACAGTGCTACAACTCCCACCCACCTTGAAACTAGTGTGCCCAGAATTCTTTAGAGGGGGGAAATGTGCTTTGAATGTGCTTTAAAGACATAGTGTGCACTCAGTCTTGGGCTAGAGAGAATTGTTTCCTTGCATAACCCATTGTTAAAAACAGAACTAGCGTAACACAAACTATAATGCGACTTACTTGTTTCTGCAGGTGATTCTGTGATCACACACAGTGCCCCCCCCCCGCACCGTGATCTATTGCTCCATATACATATCGCTGCTTACAGAGTCCTCCTTGCCTATGGTGGGGCTTCTCCTTGCATACAGAGAGATGCACCTTTCGTCAAAAAAAAAGCAGCAAAAATACACTTAATAGGTGGCCCTGTGCACACAGTATAGTTCAACAAGGAACTGCTGTACCAGGGCCACATGCGTGACACATGCACAAAAATTGCTTTCCTTGCCAACCCATTAACTGCAAGGCTGAAGGAGACAGTTTGGCTATGAAATGTTCCCTGGCCTCTTGGATTCAGGCACAAATAAAATCAGGTCTATTTATAGACCCTCTTCTGCAATTACTGCACTCAAAGTAGGTTGTCAACAGATATAAAGGTCCTTGTAGGAGATGGAGTGGGAAATAAAATGTACTATACAATAAGCAGGCAACTTGAAGGCCGTGGGGTTGCTGTAGCATTTGCGGGTACAGCTAAGTCAAAAGCATGTGGGCTTCCCTATAATAAAAAGATCTACACACCTACCTGCCATTCTTGTACTGTGCTGTTGCCAGTCTCAGTAAATTCAAAACGAAACGTCACATACGCTACAGTAGATGATTTGCACAGCAGCCATGTTTCAGAGATAAAATCCTGGCTCAATCAGCCCAGGAGCATCAGCTCCTTCACTCTTCCCCTTTCACAAGCACCAAAGCAATCACACAAACAAGCTTCCTGTTTTGTGTGAGAAGCAAGAACTATTTTGGGAGACAAAAAACCCAGGATCCAACCCTGGTTTAAAGCTTGCTTCCAAACCCTGGCTCCTTTAGAAGCCATTAACTCTTATCTTCCAGTTTGTACATAATGGAAGGCTTATGTTAAACCAGGAAGCTGCAATTGTTTTGCTGTTCATGCAAGCAGAGGAGTGAACAGGGGTAAATGCAGGTATGTACCGTGTCGCACAGTCTCAGGACTCACGCCCAGGAGATCGGCTGCCACTCAACTCCTGGAATTGTTTCATGCCATCCCTCAGCCACCACCACTATTGTGTAGTCTTTAGGACAAGGTCCATAGCTCAGTGGCGGTGCATCTGCTCTGCATGCAGAAGGTGCCATCTCCAGGTAGGGCTGCTAGTCACTGTGGACAACGCTGAGCTATACAGGCCAGCCGAGTCTCGTTCAGTGTTCCTATGCTCCTATGTAGTCTGGCCATTTGGAGTTTGCAGTGGGTGGCTGGAGATTGTGCGCATGTGAATATGGGGGGTGGGGTGGGGGTGGAATCACATGCCTTTCAAAAGAAAATGGATGTCACGAATGATTTTAAAAAATGTGGGTGTTTAAACATTTATTTTATATCTATATATATTTCCACAAAATGTTCACAAAAAAGTATTCAAACTCAAAAAAGGAATTAGACTTGAGTTGAATACAGAGATGAAATGTACAAGATAAATGAGCAGGCAAAACTCGAAGCTATTTTCTTTTTACTTCAGATTGAAAAAGGCGAACAGTTCAACTGTCCAGTTTAAATAAAAGTTTTGCTTAGACATACAGTGTTTCATGAATACAATGCTGGTAATCTGAGGCAAAGTAAATACCTCAATTTCTCCTTCATGCTTTTTTTTCTTCGATGTTGTCTTCTGTTAAGAAATATACTGTTTACAAAATGAAACTCGAGCAGTCCAGGAAAAGCTAATTTTCCATTAAAATTTATGAAAACCATAAATTGAGGCAAACCTAAGATTCCCAACGGAATCAAGATTATCTTCCCGCTACCACCACATTAAAATAATCACATGCTTATTGGAACACCAAACTCTGCATCCCGACAGAACATTTGTTTCCAACAATGAGGGTGATTCTTTGAAGAAGAAAAATTAAATAATGATAAAAATAATAACAACAACCCTTCAGTGTGGTTAAGTAATACAGATCGATGTATTACACATTTGTAACAGCGTTTGATAACAGCAGCTAGTAATACTGGATTACTATAATTTAGAATTTGTTCCCAAAGCAGTGAAGGTAGGCCTACACAGTTATAAAACATTTTTAAAATTCAAAATAAATACTTTTCAATAATGCATAATGTCCTTGCAGCAAATTATAGTAACAAAAATATTGTTGATAAAAACTGATCAGAAAAGAATATGGATCTAAAATTGAAAACATTGACAGGTTAACATTCTTTTTCCTTTAAGCTTAGTGTTCTTGAGCATTAGGGTGGGCTAGGTTGTGTTTCCCTCCTCCATCTCCTTGGAAGCTAAATAAATGCTTTACCATCAAGAGTGTGTGTTTTATTAAGTTTTCAGTGATGACAGTTTTTGGTCGTTTTGCATTATTTTACTTAAAAAGCTTTTGCACTAGATCAGTGCTTATTAAAGGTCAAGTTGGTCTGCAATTATAAAAGAAAACATCTAAAAGCTAATATTATTCCTCATAAAAGGATCATCATCATTCTCCAGACTGGATACACTGAACACAGTCTTACATACTGAATACACTCACTCACTCACTCACTCACGCAAACACACTTTCCTCTTCAAAGAAAAATGTTACAGTAAAAGTCACTTTACATTCTATCAATTAAAGTGCTCCAAATCCTTTTTGCAAACAATGCAAGTGACTACAAACCTACATGTCCCATTTTGCATTCATCGCACGAACTTCTTGTCAGTCCCACAGCATGGCTGAGCTTAGGAAATGTTCAAATGTTTTTAAAAGGTGGGGGTGGGAGATTTTTGACAAAGAAGTACTTGGATATGAAAAAGGTTTCAGCTCTTTAGACAGCAATACAAATTTATTTCCATTATTGAAGACCGTTTAATTCTTTGAGTGGATTTAAAAATATACCGAAAAAGGAATGAGATAACAAGGGATTTTTTTCCCCAACTGCCTTAACAGTTCCATTTCTCAAGTTTTGTTTTGTTTTTTAAGAAAAAGATACAAAGTTGCAAGGTAAAGGAGAAAAAAATGGGGATGAAGGCACAAAAAAAGACATAAGGTTTAGAGGAGGTCCCAAAATGTAGACATCACCAATGAACTTGAGATGTTTTCCTTCATGTAGCAAAGTGCTTCCTTACCTGCCCCCCCTCAAGTAGCTTGGTTTCCTATCAAATAATAATAAAAAAACCCTAAGGGTTCTGATGAAAACTAACCTGGAATAACCCTTTTGCCTGAGAAGATGGCACATCAGAAAGAAGGTGAAGAGTTCATTTTCCACTCGTGCGAGAGGAAATGCAAGCTCCAAGTTGACACATGATGCATTTTTACACTTTATAAACAAGTCTTTGCGCCCCTGCATCTTATCTGCCTTTTTTCCTTCAGAGAAGCAACATGTACAGACACATAAATGTGCTTTTAAATCATTTCAATGCTAAGAGGGGGTGGGGGAAGCACACCACAATTTCTAAGCCATATAACTCACTACGTTGTCCGATGTTCAGCTGACAGTTCAGATTATTATTATTTTTAAGCTAGTCCTGAGGGAAAAGGAGGGGGATGTTTCTACAATTTAAATGGCAATGTTATGTAAAAAGTATTAACAAATCCACTATTACAAATGTCAGTTTTCCTATATGGTCGTCTATAGATACACAATAAAATGGTAAATATATGCAAAAATAATTTAAAAATTATCATGCGTGAATTTACTCACTCTCCTTTGAACTTTGGGCTTCCCTCAAAATATAGTATTTTTTTTCACTTTTTTATCCTTTTATTTTAGTTCATTACCAACCCCTTAAACACACTGAATACTACCCCCCCCTACAGGTCAGCATAAAAGCTGATGGGAAATATTTATTTTACATTCAAGCTTTTATATCCTAAACAACCCTGTGGTAGCATATAACTTGCCACATAAGTGGCCTTTTGCTGATCCCTCCTCCCTCCACCCCCCTTTTGCCGTTATCAGTCTTCATGATCTGTTCCGTGGCGAGCTGGAAAAAATAAAAACTAAAATGCGTTGCTAATCAACGTTCCCATAGTCTTTTGAGACTCCAGATGAGGTCTGGGGATTCACTGTCCCAACTTACTCTTGTAGCATGAGAGAGATCATTGCACACAGAAGAACAGTCAAAATTGTCAGATAGGAGAACTATCTACAAAGGTCTGGAAGGACCACGTCCCTCTTGTGTTTCCTCTTTTTGCCGTGGAAAAACTGGTGTGATTTGCTGCCTTGGTGCTGTTTGTTCATGACCGAGGTGCCATGGCTTGAATTTGCTGGACCCTGGAAGCCTTTGTTGGAAGAAGTGCGGAATAACCTCGTGGATCCGTGCTGCAAAGGAGAAGACGAGAAAGCCAGTGTGAGCACCCTCGCTACGTACAGGTCATTTGCTCTCGCAACACATGAGCCACAGTTACATGAGCGGAGAGGCAAGCAGCCCATGGTGCTTCCACACAAGGAATGAAGTCACATACAGATCAGGAAGGTTTATGTGAAGTTTCCAGGGCTACTCCAAACTAGCAGCTCCTAGCAACTTTATAATTAATCTTGCATTGTAAGCTACATGTGGAATCTCTACAGACTTCTCACCCTTCAGGGGGGTATATAGTATCTCTTTGAATGCACCTCAATTACTTGCTAGTGGGAAAATGCCATTTTTTGAACTACTGGCCAATTGTTAAAAGTGATGTCTAAAATTTTGGCTTGGAATTTTCAAAATCTCAGCACTATTGTGCAACTACTCCAATCATGTTGAAAAAGAGGAGGAGGAAGAGCAAAAGCACATCCACATTTTAAAGATAAAATGGCATGGCACTGACAGGAAAGATGCAGAAGGCAGTGTTTTTTAATCCCTTTTGAATAATTTATAGAAAATGCATTTTCATTTCTGTGCTATTGCGCCATCAAATATTTTAAAAAATATAGGCGAATAAGTAGTAATTAAAATAGCTACTTGATTGGAAAAAAATACACAGCTAAAACGATGTTCACTGGAAAGATAATAAAAGAATCATAGAGTTGGAAGAGACCCCCTTGGGGTCATCTAGTTCAACGCCCTGCAATGCAGGAATCTCAATGAAGGTATGCTGTGGTATAGATGAATGGCAATAGCCTCACCCTAATGCACCACTGCACTTGTCAAAACAACGCCTCTAAATAAAAATACGCAACAGCCCTAAGGAGATCTACACCTGCGGAGACTGTGTTACTGTTCCATTGATCCCAAAATACGTTTGATTCTCTGTGGCCTAGAAAAAACTGAAGAAGCAAATAAGGCAACCGTTTTAGGATGTTACACAGGTACCCCATAAAATGTGTGTGAACACATCATAACGATTCCAGGCATATACACAGAACATTCTGTGTCAGGTGCTGATGACTTACAATAGCAGAGCTTTTAGAGTTTTAAATTTTGCACTATTTTTTATCTTAGGTTTCAATTGTACGTCACTCTGGACAGACATTTGCTCAGAACGATGGCCTAAAAATGTACTTCTCTACATTTCTTTTGTGACCACTGAAACCTCTTTTATAGATCCCTTTCCTATTGCTGGAGAAGTCTTATTTTAGTAGCCTCCTCATTACCATCAATCTCTGAAGAGGTAGGCAGAGGGAAGAGACCCCATCCCTCCAGATTTCAACCTCAAGGGAAAATATGCTAGCTTGTGTAAGCCTGAGGTTACAGAATTTCTGCAAGCAACAAAATGCTGTACTGAAATCCTGGGCAGGGTGGGGATGCCACTTAAGGATAATAATGATGGCAGTGGAAGAAGGAAGGGGACCAAGGTGATTGAGCCCAATGCCCTACCAACCTGGGACTTGTTTACAACACTGGATGCATTCACTGTTTGGCCACTTGGTATTTTCCCACTCAACTGCGTGGATCCCAGTGATATGTCCTGAGTAGCCATTCTGTTTGCTGTAGTTTGGCGGCAGCCCAGCTGTTTAGAGGTTTTGCATGGTGTTCCATCAGACTCCTGTTGGGAAACAGGCATCAGCAGGAACATGTCAGTTAAGGGGAAAGACAGGAGAGGCCAGTTCTTTCAGATGGTTAGCACCTTCAAAACTACAACCAGGTAAGGGACTACTGCTCTCAAATATAAGACGTGATAAGGGCCCTTTATTGCTCCCAGATCCAGTGACCTATCAGAATCACATGTGTACGAAGGGAATGTTCCCAAATCACATTTCATGTATGTACTATGCAAATATTCTCCACAAAAATGAGCTTTTAAAATGCTGGATTGAGGTAAGCATCCATCTAATTATTTTAGACCCACCAACAGCTGCATAAAATGCAATACTTCCCCGCCTTTTCTTTATGTAACTAGCTTTTATCATGTTAGAGAGGCCTAAGGAATTAGCTCTTTTTGCATTTTCTGGATAATCTGCTTCTATGGAAGCCATGAGGCTAGAGGAGAGAGAGCTCTTTAAGACAATCCCAACTCATACACCATTTCCCCTCTTTTTAATTATCTCAGAGGCTAATGCAAGTCTGGCAAATATTTGCTGTCCTGATCATTTTGGCTCATGTCTGGCACCAGGAATGCCTAAGGAAGCAGGTCCTATACAAACATAAATTTCTTTCATATCCTACAGATGCCAATACACTTTCCAGGAAACCCAGATCTAGAAGGCTAGGCCTGCATAACTACTGACCCACCAGCAATGTACTAAGGGCTGCTGGGAGCTTCAGCATCCATTGGGTTGGTTTTTTGTCCCAGGCAGTGAAAGCTGGAGAATCACCTAGTCTCTGTTGGGCAGCCATACAGGGCTGGTGAGCTATATGCCTTGCCAGTTACAAGTGCAGCTGTACAAGCACATGCTGCTTATATCAAATCCAAAAGACAGAAAGCAAAAGCATCATACTGAAACCAGATTGAGACCATCTCAGTCCGGGAGATGCTGAATGTGTGCAAGGGTACACCAGGGAATCCTGACAATTGCCTAATTATTGCAAGCATTCACTACTGTATGAGTAGTAGGGGAAAGTATATCCCTTTCTGGACATTTTAAACTTCCATCTTGTGGTTTTTGGAATTCCCATGTGAACAATCAACGCTCACCAAATTTTAGGGCATCCACTGAAACTAACATATATAGTTTCTAAGAACATAAAATAGAAAAGCAGATATTGCCATAATTGCTGGGTTGCATAAACAACAGTGCTGCTTTAAAGTATGCTTAGAGGTGCTTGCTCTGTATGGTTTTGTTTCATTTTAAAACTTATGTTCCTTGAAGATCAGACTCATATAAACCCCGGCGTCACTAACCACCCTCTGCACTCTTCTCAGAGGACTGCCATGTTCCATCTCCCACTGCCTTGGAGGTTTAGGTGGCTGGGACTGGCAGAATGGTGTTTTTGACTGTGGCATCCAGATTTCAGAACTTCTTCTGACGAAGGCAGACTACTAGCCTTCGCCTTGGCTTTTTATTAATTTGCTACATGCTTTTATGTTTTGCCAAACTTTTGAACTGTCCTATGCTTTTTTGCCCCTCTCACAGGTTTGTATCTCTTTTTTTATTATGTCTTGTTTTAATTGATAATGTAAGCACAGCCTTCGGGAGCTAAAAGATAAGAATGAGTTTATAACTGAGTGCAAACAAATATGCTTTTGCAACTCTTCACAATTCTGTTTTGTTTTTAAACTGTTTTAAATTTAAAAACAGTAAAATTCAAAGCTGCCCATCCCTAAATACACAAAACAACTTTGTGGTGATGGGAGGGGGTTTTCCTGAGCAAAGCAGTTTGATTCTGCCTTTCTCTCCATGAAGACACAAAGCAGCAAAGAGGGGGGAAAATACTGCTATAAAAAAGACTATTAGCACAATTCAAAACAGACAAAAGGAATAACTTATCCAAGTCTGAAATCTTTAACTAAAATGTCCCTTGAACCAGGGCTGTCTTTAGAGCCCTTTTAAAAGCTGGTGTTCCTGGAGGGGTGGGCACATTTCTATGGGGAAGCCATTGCATAACCTGGATGCCACAATTTTAAAAGGTCGTTTTTCTTGCTCCCATTAACTGAACTTCTGCCAACGGTGCTACCACAAGGGGGGGCCTCAGAAAACGAGCACTGTTTCTGAATGGGTTCGTATGGGACAAGGCAATTCCCAAGATACCATGTTCCCTGACAACTTAGGTCTTTATTTTAAAAGACCAGAGCCACAGCACTTCAAACTGAGTCCGGAAACAGTGGCCAGTGAAGACAACACAAGAATTGCATAATATGGCCTTCCATATAGCTCCAGAGAAAAGTTTGGCTGCTATATTCTGGGCCAGCTGGGGTAACTACACTGCTTCAAGGGAAGTGTGTATTACAATAATCCAATGGGACAGTGACCAGGGCACAATACTTACTACGTCGCTGGAGCTGGAGAGTGTAGAAGATGACGATGATAAAGGGCCTGATGAAGAATTTGATGAGTGTTTGCTTGGTGTCTCTGTTTTACTTCTAGGTTTCCCTAGTGATTCATTCCCTTCGGAAAGATTATTGTTGCATTTGTCCAACTGCTGGTTGTCTATCAAGGTCACCCCATTACCTGTTAAAAAGTACAGAATAGTGAGCACATAAGCATTCTTTCACAACAACGAAGTTGCTCACAACAGTATAGAGAGTTTTGGATTAAGGGGAATATGTGGTCCAGCCCCACCCAGCATGGTGAATAGTCTGGGGAAAATGTACACCAGCAGTATTAGGAGGGCCACAAGTTCCCCACCCATGTTAGATGAACACACACTGTGCTCCCTTCTCAGACCAACAATGGGTTGTAAAGAAAATCAGTTTCCACTTTTGCATCATGCTTGCAGCTGAGATGCATTTAGTGCAAAAATGACATGCAAGACGGGTTTAATTTGTTTCAAAGCCCTGAATGACAATAGGTGTTAAATGGCATTCAGGGCAGCAATCCAGTCATATCTGAGACCGTGGCTTTTAACCAAATAACTCTGTCATGTCTATGTACTACTGAAACTGGTGTTAACACAATGAACACAACTAAGGTAGATCTGTTACTCCCCAAGGGATTTCTTCATTACTAACTTTAGCTGGATTGGGGGGGTATTTAGTTGAATCCAGTTAAGTTTCTCTAAAATATTGTAGGTAATTATCCAAGCGTTGGTCTGATCTAACTTTGCTTCATCCTGACAGAGCTTGTGCAAGGCAGGAAGGATTAATAAGATTTGCTACATTAAAGACACACCAAGGATGGCATAGCATAGCTGAAAGAGGATGACATGATGGAAAGCTAAGTGAAATGTTGTCCTTTTAAACTTTAGAACTTGGGAGCATTTTTGTTGGTTGTACACTACTTTTGAGCTTTTGGGAAAGTTGCATAAAGTATTTATGGGTGTTAATAAATGGCGTAACAAAGACTGCTGTGCTCCAAGTGCCTATTACAGACATGGAACTTTTCAGTTAATGCTATGTCAAAAGAATTTGCTAAAACTTCTGTTAAATCCATGATTTGCACAAAGAACTCTTTGGCAGAGTGGTTCTCTATAACACATATACTACTCCTGGGAGGAAGGCATTATCTCTGTAACCAGAAACACACACTCCTCAGAAACTCATGTTTTGACACATGTTGTATAGAACAGGGACTCTCTGTCAAGGTATAGATATGATCATTTATCTCAATTCATTTTTATTTTTATTCCTCAGTTCTTTGCATTGAAATAGTTAGCTATCAAATAACCTTTCTGGTCTCTCTGGACCATGATTTTTCTTTTCCTTGCAGGCTTCTCCACTCTGCGTCTCTGCGTCCATCAGTGCAATCTTATGCACATTTGTTCAGAAGCAAACTCCATTATATCTAGTAAGTGTGTTTAGAATTGGGGCCTAGGTCTATATCAATAAAACAAAACAAGCTTTGCTGAATAGCAGTATTTAGTAAATTGCCTGCAACAGTTCTTTCATCCCTCCAGTGCATCCCAACAACATGTTTTCTTAGAAACAACTCCTGTGTTCAATGGGGCTTACTTTTAAGTAAATGGGCACAGGGTATCACCCACAGGTGGTTTGAAAAGTATGGTCAACTGCACTTCTTTCAGCTATCTTTGACACTGTCATTTCTCCTCTACCTCCTGTTCTCTGATTTCAATATATCGTAGTGTGGATCATCAGAGTCTGCATGCTTCCATACAGGCTTTATGCTGTTCAGAATATCTGGGAATAGCAGGCCTTGATTTAGTGAGTGGCCAATTTAAGTTTATGCAGCTTTGGTTTTCTTTTGGACTCAACCATTCTAAGTGTTATGTCAACAGAAGGGACTACTGCCAGATTAAGCCTCTAGCAGATTCTGCTGTCAACATTTCAGTCTGCAACTCATGAGGGTTAACAACTTGTTTTAAAATGAGAACTCCCAACTACAGTATGTCATACTCAAGTAGACCCACTGAAACTAATGGACTTAAATCACATCCACTGACTTCAGCAAGCCTACTCTTGAGGGGGGGAAATCTGCCAGATACAACCCAAAGTATCTTATACTGCTTATGGAACTTCCACAGCCTATATTCTATTCTATTTGAGAATGTCACTATTTATTACTCCCTGTGTTCTTTCTACCAAAGTAGTCAGTTATCAAGCCAACTTTTTCTCTCTTGATCATGAACCTATGCTTACAGGCTTCTTGCCTCTGCTTTTCTGTATCTGTCCATGCAATCTTATATATGTTTACTAAGAAGCAAGCTCCATTATGCCTGAAGCTTTTTGTGCCACTGTCCATAATGCAAATCAAACTTTATTGAATAGGAAGAAGCTTTTATACCTATATTACAGGCCTCCCTGCCAGGATCTAAAGTGAACTTTTGGCTGCAAGGGTTTTGCAAGCCTAGATACAGGAAAATCTTACCATTGCATGACGTCTCTGTGCTATTCTGCATTCCCCATTGCTTTGATATCCAGTCTCTGTATGTTGCAACTTCTTGTGTTACTCTGATAATTCTTCCTAATATACTGTGAACATTTTAAGAGAAAGGAAAGGTTAACTGGATTTTTAAAGGATGGGGGGGGGGAAGAGTGACATCACTAATGGATCCAACTTGGGACATATAATGTTTACCTTTCACTTTCATTGTTGGGATAATATTTAGCTATTGGCGATACTGCATGGCTCAGAACAACATATGCATAATCAAAGGCCTGTTTCACTTGCATGGCACCATAAGAACTCCTGCCAACATCATTACCTTAAAAAAAGAAAACAACCATTAGGGTGATTGTAACGGGTAAACATTTTCTCTGAATATAATATGATTTTACACAGCAAAAAGGAAATTAGTCCCAACAAAACAAAACAAGGTAATTTACCAATCAACTGGGATCTAAATATCCCAATAATACAAAATGAAGTAATAAGCAATTTTATTACACAAATATTGCACTTTTATATCACAAATATAAAAACAGTTAAAAACATAACCTGAAATTATTCAACTCAATAAAATAATCCCAAATGCTTTTTGACTTTATGGTCTTCCTCAGTGTTCCTTAAGGTGAGGGATATACATATACATATACATATACATAGAGATAATTCATCAGCTTTTTGCTTTCCAGCTTCTACTGTACAAGTTGCAGCTACGGAATGGCAATATATTAAAACACACAATATAGATATTTGCAAATTTCACACATTATACACATATTGTATACAAATATGTGAGCATGTATATATAAGGTGGGTCACTTTTAGACATATGTGCTATTACTTTTGGCTTATGTATATATATTACTCAACTCTAAAACTCTATATAATATAAACAATTCCAAACAAACATAACTTGAAATTAACTCAACTCTAAAATAAACTGAGACACATTTTGGTCTTAGGGTCATCCTCGTGGGTCATCTGTGTTATATATATATTTGTGGTATAAAATCATTTTTTAATACCAGTTTTATATTACTACATTTTGTACCATTTAGACCCCCAATTTGTTGGGAATCACCTGAAACTAGATAGTATGCAATTCAGGAACTACTGCTGCTTTGTTGCATCCTTGGGTTAAAAGTCTCCATAGAAATTGTTTACTTTCCTATGGCCTAGTGAAAAGCCCAAATACCTGGTTGCAGTGGGTCTTCAATATACAACATTGATGGTCTATAGCCATCTAGCATATTCTTTTGCACTTCATCCTTAGCCACATATGAGCCACCATCCTTTATTCGGATTCCTGTTTTCAGGTAGTTGAAATGACGCCCATATAATTCAAAAAATTCTATTAAAAGGACACCGTAGTTGGCGTTGGGGGTACAAGCATCTTCTCTGGGATGTAGCTATTGGAGGGGAAACAAGAACAAAAAATTATTTGCAAAGAATCTCCAGATTCCTTTATAATCCATGTAAACACTAAAATCAATAGTGAAATTAAAGAATCAACCAATTTAATAGCTGGCTCAGGGGACAAAACACAAAAAGCTTTTGCACATATCCCATCGCTCAATTATTTCCGATGCAAAATGCCCCAAGCCTTCCACTCAGACTCTGTGGGTGTCTGGGCAAGTCATTACCTTACTCTGCCCCCTGCCCCAAATTTATAAAATACAACAAAATAAATGATCAACCTTCACAGGATTCTTCTGAAGGAGGAATGAAATGGAACGTTGCAACATACACACTTAACACACGAAAAAGACCTAAGCAGATTGCAAGTGAAGCACACTGTATAGTGAGTGAGCTGAAGTTGGGACCTGGGATATGCAAAACCAGACTAAAACACTTGTCAATATTCTACATATCTGGACAGGCTTGCCTAAACAAAAGCAAGCAGGCATGCTGAAAGGAGTGCAGTGAAGACACCTGCCGGATGTCAATAGGAAGGGAGTTCCAAATTGTTAAGTGCTGCCACAATAAAAGATCAATTTCTTACAAAATGAGGAAAAAGAATTATGTAGCACCCGTAACAGTGGCAGTTCAGCCAATCAAAGCAGCTGAATGGGCGTATCTGGGGTGAGGCTACCTCACCACATTGTTCTGATGTTATCACACTGATCTTCCTCCTCTGTCTTCTTCCCTCCACACCCTTTCCTTTATGTTTCTTTGCCTTTTTAGTTTGCAGCTAAAAATATCCCCAAAACATCTGGCAGAAATGGTACAAAATAATTCAAAGCAAATAATTAGTTTAAACAAGTGAATGTTTTAGAACTGCTATTACCAAAGCAGTGCTCATTCCACTAAGTTTGCATACTAAGTTTCATTATATGCAATTTTTATAGTAATTATTTTATTACAGCCAATGGGTGGACTACAATGTTGTGTGCCCTAAAGTGATATTACACTTAAAAGAAGGGAAAGGCCATTCATGACCTAGGACATAATAATTCCTCCCAACTTACCTGGAGAAAACTGACGGCCATTAAAAAAAGACTATAAGATCCAATTCCACCTGTAAACACTTCATTCAGGTCCCTCTGCAACAAGAACTGTTTTAATACTAAAACTAGATATGGCAATACAGGATATTTCTGTGGGAGAAAAAGAAGATGGGAATTAGACTTCCATTTACAGTGGTACCTCAGGTTACAGACACTTCAGGTTACATACGCTTCAGGTTACAGACTCCGCTAACCCAGAAATAGTACCTCGGGTTAAGAACTTTGCTTCAGGATGAGAATAGAAATCGTGCTCCGGCAGCACGGCAGCAGCAGGAGGCCCCATTAGCTAAAGTGGTGCTTCAGGTTAAGAACAGTTTCAGGTTAAATACGGACCTCCGGAACGAATTAAGTACTTAACCCAAGGTACCACTGCAAGCGGTAGTGCTGATCAGCTTGAGAAACAGTACAGGTAAGAAATGGTTTTGATTCAATGGGAGGGGGTACAACATGCTTCACATGTGTGAAGTCCAAATTTCCATCTCTGATCTTGCTACTTAAAAGGATCTGAGATAGCAGAGCAAAACCTATTATTTTTTATTATCATCATCATCATCATCATCATCATCGTTAATTGAATTTATACACCGCCCTATACCTGGGGGTCTCAGGGCGGTTCACACAATAAATCTCTACCCATAATGCTGGAGATCTACTGCTGTCAAGGCATGCAGCATTTGACTAGATGGATCAATGGCCTGACCCAATGTAAGACTGTTCTTTAACCAACACCTGCAACTGGATGAGCACCACTAGCAGAAGATACTAATACTACTCAGAGATACTAATACTACTAATACTACTCAATTAAGTTCCTAACCTGAGTTACCACTGTATTGCACAAAGAATATGGGTCTGATCTCAGCAGATATTGACAGCTTAATAGGTGAACTGTCACTCAGTAGTGTTCAAAGTACTCATACCTTGCAAGAGAAAAAGGGCCTGCCAATTTATTTGCTGATTTGCTACTTGCTGAAACAACAGATAATGGACTAGCATGACTAGTGGACAAGCCTACATGGTTCCTTTTCTAGATTCCTTCTCACACTGAACTTTAACTTCCAGTTTGCTAACAAAATGTGAAATCAGCCTTCATACTTATTGCCATAAGCCACCTTACAGGCACTCTCAGACACACCATAAAATGTACAACCTGTTGGTTGTCTGTCTAATAACAAACAAAACTCCTCTGGAAACTCATCCAATGCTAAAGGTATAAGAGCTTTCTATACTGGAAATAGTACGTGATACCAAACGCTTGCATTAATTGTACAATCCAATTTGGTAATAAATAATAATATAACCTGCTCAAAAAGTCTACTTTAACTGGGGAGAGCCAAAGACAGATCCACACATATCCTCTGGTGCCATCTAGTGATAAAATAATTAAAAACAAGGAGCAACACCATTCAGGGTCAGGTGTTCTGTCTTGGGAGACAATGGAGTGTGCCTCCGGGGTTGAAGTCAAACTGCTGCATCAGCTGCACCGGAGTGACCTCCCCAGGACGCAAGATTGAGCAGTGCGTAAGGAGGTGCTAGGCAGCCCAGATGATAAGAAGCCCCTCTCAGCCTCGCTGATGTGGTCCAAATGAAAGCAGAGCAATACATTTGGCACCAGCTTAGCTGCATGTGTTGCTGGAAGGAGGTGTACAAGGCGCCATTCAAACATCTTAGGGACTCTACACAAATCTGGAGTCTACTGGACTCTACTCCAGATTTGTGTAGAGTCTACTCATTAGCATTTCCTGAAGATATCCCACAAGGCAGTTGTTTAGGATCAGAGCTGTCCTTCTCCTAGATGGGCTACCTTCGCAGGCTGACAAGCCCCACCTGCCCCTCTCGTAGGACTCTACTACCCTTCTTACTGGCCCCCGAGTGCTAAGGACCACTTTGGCAAACAAAAAGCTAACACTTCCATTTCTATTCTTTTGTGAATAGCCTTGGCATGCAGGCAGGCTCAACTTGGTTGTAGTTGCAGGACTGCCCATCCCGTTTCACCACCTGAGGTGAAACAGAAATGTGCCACCTCCTGCCCCCTGCTGCTGCCACTCCGCCCATCCCACCACTTCTTCTGCTGTCAGAATGCCCCCCTATTACCAAAACTCATTGTTTCCCAGGGTGGGGAAGACAAGCAGCAATGTCATGCACCAGGATGCCTCCCTCTTCCCAAAACTGTGCCGGGGGGGGTGTTCCGGTGGCAGCAAAAAGGCTGGGGTGGATGGGGTGCAACTGCTTAAGCTTTCGCAGCCTGAGGTGGCTGCTTCACCCCGCCTCATGGGTAGGCCAGGTCTGACCCCAGAACCACCATCCCTTCCATACAACTTCTCACAGGCTCTGATTAAGTCCATTTGCCATTTTAAGGCTTCTTTTTCACCAGAATACAGATCACACTGTACCAGAGAGCTCTCAAACAATCAGGAGAAGCTTTTGGGAGACAACATGATGTAGGAAGGCCTGAAGAAAGGCAGGCAGATTGCAAGAGCTTCTACTAGAGTAATCTACCATTGGAGATACCCTATATAAATGCTTTGGACCTCTCAATTTTTTCATTGTTTTCACTCTTTTAAACACGGTTGGGTTGAGGTTTTCTAGCAGCCTCCTTCTCCAACCTGATGCTCTCCAGATTTTATTGGACTGCACAGTTTCATCTATGCCAACCACTGGCCAGGCTTGCTGAGTCTGATGGGGGAAAAGGAGTCCAACAACATATGGAGACCATCAGAAATACAATGTATTTTTTTAAGAAACGGAGAGAGGAGAAACAACATGAATTTTCAAGAACATGCCCCAAATCTCCTGTTGCCTACACCTCTTGAAGCTTAGCCATGGCCTCAGCTACACAGGCAAAGAAAAAGCACTTTATATGTGTTGTTTATGCATTCTACACTGTGACACCAGAAGGCACTGTGGAGTTCTGTTTTTGCTCACCCCATTTCTCATACAAAGTTTGCAATGCGTTTTACTGAAATGCTTCTTTGATGTTTCCATGTATCAACTAACCTTGATAAAATCTCTGATGAGAAGAGCAGCTTTTACCCCATTCTGTACATTAAAACTGATATCAACCTTTACTTCAGTGAAGGAATCAGTCAGTTTAATTATAGGGACCTGAGGAAAAAGCAAAACAACACATTTATCTCCAAGAGTGAACTCTCTTTCTCCTATACGCTTAGTGTTAGACAAGGACAGCACACACTTAAAATTAAAACAAAACGATCTTCACAGAGCTCAGCCTTTTGCTACATACAAGAGGTCCTTTATACAACCATGGAGGGATGCAATAGTACTCCAGTCACAAAGCAGTTGCTTTTCAGTCATGAACAGGCAGCAGGGGGAGATAGGAGGCCACAGAATAAAGCTATTCTTCACGTAAGGCCTGACATAAGAAGCAAGCCATTCACATCCCAGAGGTGCTTCTCATGTTACTTCAGAAAGAAAACGTGGCTTTATCATCAGGAGCTGAATTCACATGTAAGGATTTGAGGAAATATCATTGAAAAAAGCAATAGCAACTAGACTCAAATCCATAGTGCTAAAGTACATCAAGGATTTGAAATTGGTCTCTAAAATTTTTTAAAAGTCTAGATTATTTGGCTAACTGTTTACTGAGACCAGAATGCAACAACACTTGTGACCAGAGGCTTGAGGATGCCCTTTGAAACCAGACTTTTCTTTGAACTGCAGACCGCCAATGACAACAACCCCCAATGCGGTGTTCCCAAACTGGTTTTGGCGGTCCTTTTGCTGTGCAGAATGATGTGTTTGTTGGGAAATGCAAACCCAAAGCTCCTTTGGGCATGCACAACCAGTTGTGTGGTTCTCTGGATTCTGGCGCAAGAACAGCAATAAAGCAAGGAAGGCTTCTTTTAAAAGGATACTGCAAATTGTCACACTGGCAACATTTGCAGTAACTGTGTGCCCATGAAAAAAGATTCATGGTTTGTGTTCTTCAACCTCCCCCATAGTTGTTTTGCTGAGAATGAGAACCTTCCTTACCAAGCCCATTCTTACTCTATTGCCCCTTCCTCAATCTTTTGGGCTTATTTGCATGTGTGAGGACCCACTTCTAACAGATACAGAGAATTTAAAAAGCAACAGCAATCAACAATAATTTACTGATTCGGCTTGCAACTTTCAGAGATCAAGGGCAGCTGTATAGTACTAAGTTCCTTTAGTGTATTTCTTTTTTCTTTTTCTATTTGTTAAAGAATACCCAATTTTAGTAAAGCAGAGAGAGAGAGAGAGAGAGAGAGAGAGAGAGAGAGAAACTTACAGTTGCTTTGTCCAAAACCTTTACTGAACCTTCATCTGCCACATTGTGTTTCCTGAGAGCCTCTTCCAGGGTCCAAAGCGGCAACGTCTCCCATTTCCCAAACACAACTAAGTCTATATCACTGAAATTAAGAGGCAGCAAATTAATAGACGATTCTCTATGAAGTAAATTCAGAAAGACCTTTCTTTTTAATCACAGAACTGTGATTAAATTTGACACAAAGCTTTTCTAGGGCAGGGATCTAAAATCCTGTTCACGCCATGTATTTCTGAAGTGAACAGAAGTGACTCAAAACACTTTTCTTGGCTGTGAGAGTTCGAGAAACGGCACTCTATGGCCACCTCCTAATATACAAACTAATATCCCTGGCAGTTTGGTGGCTTGTGGCTCTGAAGTCCCCAAGTCTCTCAGACAAATAACTCGCAGCTCACAGGTTATGAGGAAATCTGTAGAAACAGAGTGTTTCTCAGCTGCAAGATCCAAGATAGGGTGGGGCGGGAAACACACTATGACTCCCTGAACCACAGCCACAGAGGCGATACAACTAAATGCGCAGGGGAATGTACACAATCATAACCACAGCAAAGGTACAGGATGACACAAATAGCTCCAACATAGATAACCCACCCCCTGTGCCATCCTACAGAATCTGGGACCAAGTACCTGAAATACCATCATTACCCAAGTGAACCTTCTGGGGTCATTCTCCAAATTCCCCTGTCTTCAGATATAAAGCGAGTATCAACTGCAGGAAAGGGCCCTTTCTATGGCAGCTTCCCATCTTTGGAATTCCCTCCGCGGGAGCTTTGCCTGGAGCCTTCACTGTTACCATTAAAATACCAGGCTGAGGACATCCTACCTACTTGAGCTTTTAACTCACATCCATGGCTTTTAATGGTTTCATTTTGCTACTTCTACCCTGTGCTGATTCTTTTCTGACACTGCTGTCATTATTTGTTTTTGGAATTTATTATTATTGTGATTTTTAACTTTAAACCGCCCCAAGGAGTTTTACGGTTGAAATGTGGGTTAGAAGCATCTATAAATCAGTTAATCCTCCAGCTTAAATGCATCACCAGCCCAGTGTTAGAACACAATAGGTGGCCAGGTAGGTAAGCAGGTAGGTATTTTATTGCACAGCATCATCTAGGTCAAATACTAAATGACAGTTCAAGCAGCTGTCTCTGAAGTGTCTACTCAGGGCATTGCCTGACACAAGCTGCCCTGTGGAAAGGAGTGAGAGACAGTAAGGGAGGCATGTAAATATACCAACCAATGCCTACTCCAAGTAGACTGCCCCTTCTCCTTTCCACAGGATCACAAAATGTCCTGCTGAAACGAACAGGAGACTGAGGGAGCTAGACAAAAGATAAACCGGGTGTCTGCTCCAGCTAGACTCTCTTCTCCTGGATTCTGATGAGCTTCAATAAATCTTACTGCGGTTTTATTATTGTATTCTGACTGTACTTGCAAGTCACATTGGCCAGATTTCCATTGGTAAAGATTGGAAATACATAATTAGAAACAATAATTTATAAATGTGCAGGACTATCTTCTGTCAACAGCCAAGTCAGTAAAGGGAAAGTGATGTTGACAGCGACTTTGACTCCCTTGAACTTCAAATTTGCTTTCCGGTGAAATTATATAACTTTTCATCTCCATAACATCAAAACAGCTGTTATGCAATTTCAATATGACTTACAAGTTAAATATAAGCAGGGAAGGAAAAATGTGATATTCAGTGTAAGAATAAGAGGCAATTAAAGACTACTAACCTAGTAGGTAAATATAAACCAGTCTTAAAACTTCCAAATATCTGTACCTGGAAAAAAACATGAAAGTAGGAAGTTAAAATCCTTCACCAAAAACATATGGAGAAAAAAATAACATTGAATGTGACTGCCCTCAACTGGCAGACTTTGGAAAAGCTTGAAGAATAATATAGGACATGAATTTGAACTCTGAATATTCAACACCATAGCAGCTAATTGCCAATTCTAAAAAGTAATGTTATTAAGTAGGCACTTTAACAAAATTATTTCAAAATTAGATAACTGTTATATTCCAAATACCATGTGAACTGTAATGATTGAGAACAGTAACACTATACTCAATTTTTAAAACTTACAAACTCTTACAAAAATAATTGAAAGTGGAGGGGGAAATAAACCGCTCCTCTTGGTGCCTTTACAACTCAAAACTTATTTTCTGTTTATGGCCCCATCTGCACTATACATTTAAAGCAGCGTCATACCACTTTAAACAGTCATTGCTTGCCTCACAATCCTTGGAACTGTGGTTGGGTGAAGGTGCCACGAGCTGTTAGAGCTCCAATTCCCTCAAGTTCCTTGGGAAGAGTCACTGGTTGTAAAATCACTCTGAGAACTGGGACTTTTGGAAGGTGAAAGTGTCTCCTAACACTTCTCGGTGCCCTTATCAAACTACATTTCCTAGGATTATTTGGTTTAAACTGGTATGATACTGCTTTAGATAGCATAGATGGGGCCCATATTAAGAAAAAGTCAGCTCTCGACCACACTTGGAAAATGAGATGAGTATAGCTTTATCCATTCCCCTCAGACTGGACAAATGGGAAGAAGCCAAAGCTCAGTGAGAGCATCTGCTTTGCATGAAGGAGGTTCCAGGTTCAATTAAATAAAAATATCAGGTGCCTGAGAGCTGGCACCTGGTGCGACCAACAATTGACAAAACTGAGGTAGGCAAATAGTCTGATCAGGTTATGCCAGCCTTCTACAATGTACCTCCTGCCATCTATTTGTAAGAAAATTCTGAATTTCAATTATATCCTTCACGTGCCATAATTTAGCAGCTCTCTTCAAACAGATATGCTAACTAGACATTTTGTGTCATCATCATGCTGAGCTGTGCAGAACAGAGAAAACACAGTCACACACACACACACACACACACACACACACACACACACAGTGGAAACAACTCCAGCACAAACAAATCACAGTAACTGCAGGTTCTCCAAACTACAATTTAGATCGACAAGATGTGCTCTTTGGGGAAGGCCGCAGCAGCACACAAGTTTTTCTGCAGAACCTGAAGTGACCTTCAGGATTATTTTGAACCCCGTGGTTTTTGGGATCCAAATAGCCGGTCGTATGTCCCACCCCTTTCCCGCAGGATTTGTAAAGCGTATTCAACCTTTGTTTTTAAGAAGGAGCACAGTATTGCCAACTCAACTTATGAAGCTTCCTTCTACTGAATCAGACAAAGCAAGCCAGGATCCCTCCATCTTGAACAACTCCCCCAGGTAGCTCTCCCTTTGCCCTGCAAGCCAATATCTTTAGAGACATAGGAAGCTGCCTTTTACTAGGCCAGAATTATTTGCCCATCTAGCCCAAGATTGTCTATTCTGACTGGCAGTGGCTCTCTTGGATTTTAGGCAATGAGAAATGCTTTACCTTCTACCAGATTCTTGCTACTGGAGGCATCAAGGATTGAACCACAGGCCTCCTCCATGCAAAACATGACCTGAACCACTGAGCTATGGCTCCTCCGGTCAGTTTTCAGAGGCCAAACTCTTTCCTCCAGCAGGTTTTCCTGTACTGAACTTTCACACACTCTTATCGTAATTACGCAATACACAATGTGAAGTCAATGTGGTCAAAACAACACAAGGTTTTATCTGAGAGAGCTAATTCTGCTCAGCTTTGAGGACCCTGGGTCACCTTATAATTGAAACTCTCTTTCAATGGAACCAGCTATATAGAAACGATCAGTGATAAGACTGATCCTGGACTTAGTGTAAATACTAGTGTGCAGAGATTAGAAAGCCCTTTAAGTTATGAGGACTCTGTGATGCAAATCCAGGCATAACTCTAGCTGCACTCCTGATCCAAGGCTCCTTGGTGGACATGGGAGAGTCACTGTGATAGGTGCCGAAAGATTCTTGGCATGTGCATACCCTCCTAGCCACCCCACATTTAATAACAATGTTTGTAAGCATGCGCCAGGCTTCCTATGCAGGAAACTGCATGGCGTCGTGCTAAGGACCATTTAGAGTTTTAAAATGCAATGGTGTACTGTTTGTTCTTTTTAACAAGGTTTACTTTCTTTTTCAAAACCAATCTAACATGTTTCCTCTTCATGTCAGCTGTGCTGTCGTCCCAACCCCAGGATAATTAAAGCCTCTCTCAGCCACTCTTATAGTGGAGCCCAGCTGATGCCAAGAACAGTTCTCACTTACTAGGAATGTTTCCGTCTAAGCACATTCCCTGGAGCAATAGAGCAAATGACACAATTGCTGGCTTCTATAAATAAAGGCATAGTTTTAATAAATGCTTGCTTAATACCATCGATCCTGTTTTATCTTTTTTCTTAAACACACCGAGTGTACGCAAACTACTTAAAGAAAGAAAAAAATCCCCTAAAAAGGAGGCAGGGTTCAAGAGCTTTCTATGAATTGTGCAGCCACAGGAAATATTTCTATGGAATATAAGACTGCAGTGTTTTCATTTCAGTCCAGATGTGGACGGCAAGTATGACTGGATCAAGTTAACAGGAAAAGAATGGATTTAGGAATGAGTAGAGGGAAGGGGCAGGCAGGTTTTGTACAGGTGCTCTTCCTGCCAGCGAAGATGACTTGTCTGTTAAGCCAGTAAGCAACTAAATGAATTTCTCAACCAGCTTTCAGAGCATGCTTTCACTACCTTATGTAAAGGACATATTAAACAGTCCCCCAAGTTCTGCTTACATGTTACTCTTTTGCAAATCACTTAAGTCACAGAATTTACGCAGCTACAGAATAAAACCCAAAGCTCATCATAGCCAAAATTCAGCAGCTTGTTTGTTTTACAATTATTTTGGGGCATATCTTTCTCTCTTCCCTTTACCTTTGCTCCCTTTCCTTCTACACAGTTGAAGGCAACTGCTACATGCAAGTGGTGAAATGGAATGTAAGGGGTGATTTGTGGACCCACAACCCCTAGTACACAAAAACACCAGGCATCAGTCTTGCTGCTAAACTTTGGCTGCTGGAGCTTCCAATCTCCAGTGATATTTCATTCAGTACAGGAATTTGTTTTTTCTTCTAATATGCTCCTAACACACTGAGTCTGAGAATAAGTGTACAACAAATCATAACCTTAATATCAACTGAGGTTGAAATTGTTCATATTTGCCTCATTTACATATTTTTCATTCTAGGGCTTACATTTTCTAGTTGTGGAATTGTGGATTTTTGCAGGGGGGGGGACATCCCAATCATCAAGCAGAAATAGAAATATTTAAAATAGTAAAGTACAACAGAATTTTGTTAATCTTACATCAGCATTGGGCCATAGACCCTTTATAACGTTTTCTATCCTATTCACCACCTCCATTCGCATTCTTTCTTCTTCAGGTCTGGGTGACATGTACTTGTAGAAATCAATGATTTCTTCATGAAGACTGAAAAAGAAGAGAGAGATGAGTTAGACCAATTACACAGTAATATGACTAAGATAAGAACAGTGTCTCAGTTGTAATCTTTAACACCAATCCTGTACATGCATACTTGAAAGTAAGTCCAACTGTGTTCAATGGGACTTGCATCCACATTACGTGTGCTTTGGATTACAGCCCAAGTCTGGTAAGGATAACAGTCTCAACCAATTTAAAATCACTTATAAGAGCAGACCTACAACTCATAAAGTGAAAAGGAAATGTACAAACTAGTGTTTGCCTCAAAATGCTCTGCTGAGGCGAAGCATTTGCAGAGGAATACTGGCAGGCAGGATACTAGCAGGCAGGAGGGGCTCTTTTAATACTTTGGCACCCTAAGATTCATCTCTGCAACTCCTTCCACTGGACAATGTTCATCTTATTTTTTTCCAAGCTCTGAGATAAAAAGCAGGCTGTGCAGGAGGTGTGGGTTGAGAGGAGGCAATCCTGGGGTTAACAGGTAACCCACAACTGCCCCTCATCTAGACATTCACACTTGGAAACCTATCTTTGCTGGGTAAGTGTAGTTGTGTCTTTGGTCCCACAGATTTCAATAGGACTTCCTTCTGTTTTTTTATTTAACCAGATTTGCGTGCCACTAAATCATCAAAACATCTAAACAGTTTACATAAAACACACCACACATTAAAAATACAAATAAAAATGGTAACAACAAGCTGATCTACTCCCCACCCCCAAAAAAGTAAAAGCTTTTAGAATATGCCAAAAAACAATGCAGCAAAGGAGTCACCCCAGGTATCAGTTCAGAGTTTCAGAGTATACAGGCAACCCCATACCAACTATCCAACCTTTATGACTGTTCAGACCAAGGCAGCCATTTCTTAGGCAAATGGCTTTTGAGGACCCTGCCTGATTCTTTCAGTAAGAAGTGCCATCCCTATGAGGAATGCTCTGCTATCGTGAATAGCAGAGAATATCGTGAACAGGTGAATAGCCATTTTTTATATCACATTTCTGAGCAGTAACTCAAAGCTTGGCTATGTTCCAGGTAATTATACAAACTGTGGTTTGGAAATAAGTTAAATAAATATATGCCAGCTTTTATGCCTATTGTATGTCTGCAGGAACACTTCACTGGAAAGGGTGTGATAAAAGGATTGAAGGAGAGGGAATGGGACCTACTCTAAATTTTGTGCCAGTGTAACATCAGTTGAACCCTCAAAATGTTTGCTGGACCACAGCTCCATCCTACCTGGCCATTGGCTATACAAGCTGGGGCTAATGGGAGCTGGAATCCAACATTTGGAGGGTAAGAGGTTCCCCATCCCTGGTTTAGTCTATACCCGATTATCAGCATTAAAAATTACGGAGAAGTTGAGCGTAAAGAGCATGGAAGTCACCCACATCAGGCTCTGGGATAAATATAAATGGTTAGCCACACACACACACACACATCCAGAGATGCTGTAGCCACAGGATACAGAATGCAAAAAATTCTGGCCAAGTTAGTGTTGGTTGTTTCTTGTCTACTCCACAAGAACCCACAGTTCTCCCTTTCTCAAGCAAGAACTAGTGCATCTAACTGTTTCCTTTTGATGAAAAAGCAGACTTCTCTTGAGTTAACTAGCTATATTTGTGGAATGTCTACAATGTTCTTCTAGGAGTTCTTTTCCTGAGTTAATTTTAAAAAGCACACAGGTTACATATCACATTGTTCAGAAAACATTTTTTTTTTCCTTTTCACTATGTGGTCCACTTCACCATAAGTGAAAACATGCAAAGCTTTCCAAAAGTTTCAGAATCAAGAAAAAATGCAAATAAAAAGAGAAGATTATAAGAAAAGTATTCTATTTTTTGAAAATGTTACAAGTCACCATGATACACAAACAATGGGAATTATCAAGATATGGAACTAAGCCAAAGAAACCCAAACCGTTTACAGTTTACTTGAGCAATTGTTTTATTAAAGGTGCTCCAATTGTCAAGTTTATGAGTTGCCAACTAAGCATCTACACTAAGCATGTGCCCAGGCTCCTCACTTCACCCTACTCCTCCACCCTATATTGCAGTCAATGCAAGGCTTTTTTCAAGGCTGACTGAAGCATGGGGGAATTGGGGGGCGGGTCACAGCTGGGAAGGTGAGGGCTAACCATTTCCCCCTCCAGCTGTGACCCCCATGCCAAAAAAATCCCATCTCAACTCCAAAAAGCCTTGTATTAGAGACTCGTTTCAGGTCTAATTCTAGCAGCAGAGGGATAATTTTAAAAGGTGACCAAGTTGCTCTCTCTCAGGCTCATCTACTTTCACAGGTAAGTTGTGAAGCTGCAAAGATCTACTCACAAAAAAGAGACGAAACAAATATAACTAAATAATATAACTGAACATCAATAAAATTCAATTGACTCAGGCCTATTTTACCATGATAGTTTTATTTGTAACTTCTTCACACGTAACACTAATCCAATGAACAAGTTTTCTAAATTTCCAAATAGCAGCAGCCGTGCACTGATTAGAGCAGGGGTAGGCAGCCCAGCACCTTGCAGATGCTCTGGACTCCAACTCCCATCAGCCACAGCCAGCTTCAATGGTCCAGGATAATGGAAGTTGTAGTCCAGCACATTTGGAGGACACCAGGTTGTTTGCTCCTTGTTTAGAGCAATGAAATCTGCAGTTTGGGGGACATTTGTCAATATTAAAGCAGTTCAATGTGAGATCTGATACTTACAAAAGATTACCCCTTTAGGAACTGCTGTAATATATGTGTTAAGTTCCCCCAAACTGTAAATTTCATTGCTCTAGTCTGGGGTAGACAACCTGGATTTAACTACTTTTTTAAACTCAGGAAAGCTGGTTAGATAATTAACTGGCTTTCCTAAGTTAAAGTAGTTCAATCATCTTCATGTTTCAAAAGACAATAGGGCATCAAATGCAATCACATATTGCAAACAAGAGTTATTATGGATTTCAGCAAGCCTTTATGGTGAAAACCAACCACAAAGGGTCAAAACCTATTTCTACTAGCAACAGCAGAAGAAGGGTGTAGAAGTGTGTTCCCAACAATAGAGTACTGTAAGTCTTCCTCTCTCCAAGGAAGCCCTAAAGTGACCATCTATGACAAGTCAGTTGGGTCTTCTGTCATCCTTCAACATTCAGAACCCACAATCTATAGGACAAACAACTATACCCTAGTTCAGTCATAAATACTTGGATTGATATATGGAGATACAATTAGCAGTTTCAATCAAGTCCCCCCCCCTTCTCTTTTCAACTTCCACTTAATACTTCTGAGTACAAAACTAGCAGCCACTGATATAAACAGTTCTTTCAAGTATAGTAAGTACAACTCTTAATTCAGGAAACCTTGCTAAACAGTGCTGGTCAGAAATAACTAGCATTTTCTAGGATATCTGCCAAAAATCAGTAAATTTTTCTCTGAATTCCAGTACCCTGAGGAACATACAAAATGTCTGAGAAACACACTCTGCTCAGCTATAAAGATTCATCACATCCACACACACACAAAGTTGGCATTGAAAATTAATACTAACAAAGGAAATTTTGTCAAACACAAAGGATTTGCAACTGGCCCAAATGCCTGGATGTGTATTTTTTAAATGCATTTATAGCTTTTGCTATAACCACTGGGTTGGGGATAAATGGGAAATTGTCTCCTCTATAATTTGTAGGCTTTAGTCAAACGTCTTAAGGTGTGGACTAAATATTTTGCAGGTGCCTAAAAATATGGTGGTGACACCTATGAATCTGAATTTTTTAAATCTTAAGTTTTTAGGTTTTTTACTACCTATGAACACAAACTGTATTTGAACAAAACAAACAAATAAACAAATAAAACCTTGAAGAATCCTGCATAGCAGCACTAATAGTTAATCTGAAATAGCCAGAAACATATGATTTTCAAACATGTCAATGCACAACAGCGGTAAGAAGATTATTCTTTCAGCATTCAGTTTCTCCCAACTGATTAAAGTTCAAGTTGCTACTCATTAAACTTATTTCAGCCCAAGAATGCATGTTAATAGAAAGCCACATCTTGTGATTTTGCTTCTCTCCTAATTCTGGCAGATAGGTTCCTGTCTTTAAATAATTCATTCCACACTAGACATGGAGTATGGAGATTGCACTGGCAGCAAGTTTACTGACTGAAAGTCATCTTCTCAAAATGCAGATGGCCTATTGCCCATGTCTGTTCATTTCAATGGGTCTACTCTAAGTAGGACTAGCACTGGGTGCCACTTATAGTTTCCAAAGTACAACTTTATATCCAAAGTTGAACACAGAAATGCTAATTCTAGCACAGCTCATAATGGAGACATGTGTATTTTAAAAAGACAGCATAAAATACAATAACCTAACAGTCATTTAGCATGGTATACTTGCCTCCAAACATGTCAAACTTGGCTGGATTATGGCAGGGGTGGGGAACCTGTGGCTCTCCAGATGTTGCTGCACACCACCCACAAAGGCAGAAAAATGAACTTCCTTTGGGAGCAAACTAGTTTCCTATTGGACACTACAGTCATACCTCATGTTACGTCCGCTTCATGTTACGTTCTTTCAGGTTGCGTCCCGCAGCGACCCAGAAGTACAGGAAAGGGTTACTTCCAGGTTTCGCCGCTTGTGCATGCGCAGAAGCGGAAAATGACGCCATGCGCATGCGGAGAAGCAGCGAATCGCAACCGGCGCGTGCGCAGATGCACCGCTGCAGGCTGCGCTCTTTTCATGTTGCGAACGGACCTCCAGAATGGATCCCGTTCGCAACCAGAGGTTCCACTGTATTCTGCCTCAGAACAAGGCACAACACAAGGCATCACCCATGATGATGAGCTTTATCAATTACAGTTAAGTTGCTGGATTCAGCCTCCACATCACTTTTGTTGCAGGCACCACTACCCAGGCAGATGCTCTTGCAGGGGCTGCCTCAAAAATTACATTGTCCTTCACTCCTGACTACTGGTCATGTTGGCTAGGACTGATGTGAATCTTGAGGATTAGGGTGTTTTATTTCCTCAATCAGAACATCAAAATGTTTGGTATGTTGTTGTTGTTTTTTAAAAAAACTCCCTCAGTCTTGCTTTTAAAACTTACCGAAGATAAACATCCTAACATGTTGATCAAGTATTTTGAAAGCATTATCTCTTGCTAGAACAAGAAAGATACATTATCAGCAGATCTGCTACATCTCCTAGATACAGACACGAACTAGTGAACCTTTATTGTGAAACAATGTATTTTTAAAATGTAATTAATGCAATATTATAACTGAACAATGTTAACTAAGGTTTATGTAAATTTGGAGAATTCACCAAACAGTTCTTTACTTTGCTGCCACTGCTGTTGTTGTTTTTGAAACACTGGAGTCAGCCACCTCTTAATTTACTTTTTTAAAAAAACAAAAAAACAAAACCCCAGCGATATATCACAGTATGAAAGGTAGTTGGGCTATGGAGACAGCAGTGCTTGTCCTAGGCAACAATCTCTGACAGTGATGGCTACTTGTGTTCCTTTTCCTGATCAGAGATGTCTGCCACAGAGGCACCCATTCAACAAGAACAGTGCCGCCAGTATTGCATGGACTGGAATCGTAGAGAAAACGGAAGAGTGGCACATTGTCTTAATTCTCAAGATTAATTTCAACAAAATTAAAATTCATCAGAAGGACTGAGCCTTTTTGATAAGGACAACATAGCAACTGTGCTTCCACATCTTCACTCACCATGGCAAGTGTGCTGTAAACGTCTGGCAAGAATGGTGAGCCCCCAGCTTTTCTCCTGAACTGTAGAGCTGCGTAATTTCAGCCCCAAGAGGTGCATGGAGATATCCAGCCCCCTCCCAAGCTCCAAGCTTGGGAAGAAGGCTGGGGTCTTTTTGGATGGTGCATTGGTGAGGCACCTGGAGTGCACTGGCAATGTAGAACCAAACAGGCAAACCCTCTCCCCAATCACCCAGCAGGAAACGGCAGCACTTGGTTGAACCATTGCATGGTTGAATGGCCAAGGTAGCAACTGTTATGCCTCTTTTTCCTCAAGAAAGGGAGGCAGGAAGCTTCTCCAGCTGCACAGTAGCCAAATCAGCAAGGTCTCTGGTTGCCTTTCCTGCAACAGAAAGGCAAGCAGACAGGAGGCAACCAAGAGACCTCCGGGTATAGGGCAGTATAAAAATTCAATAAATAATAAAGTAATTATAATGGCTGCACAGCAGCTCCAACCAACAAGGGGATGATGAGAGCTCCGAGCTCAGCCAGCAGCTGCGGAGCCCTGCTTGTAGGGTCATTTGCACCAACCCCAACTATTTCTGCTACGTCACTAATAATTCATTATAATTCAAGATTTCCCTTTTTAAAAAATAAAAAAGAAAGAAACTTACATAAATAATATAATTCCAAGAAGTTAGAAGTTCAAACACAAGTGTTCTAGAATACTTTCAGTATTACTTCATAAAAGATTCACGTAGGTAGCCGTGTTGGTCTGACGCAGTTGAAATAAATAATAATAATAATAATAAATTGTCCAGTAGCACCTTCGAGACCAGCTGCTACTGGACAATTTTTTATTTTATTTCAACTTCATCAAAGGTTCCTGAAGCTGCCTTTAGTGCAGTCTGCACAATAAATGTATTATTTCAAACTCAAAAAAGACGGCTGTAGAAAAGTAAGCGGCCTGCAAGTCATTTTGAAGGCAATGCTGGGTTTAAAGAATACTGAATATAAATGAATTCTGGAGCAATTTGTAAGTGTTTCTTACAAAGCCTTTAGCTAGTTATTATCATTACATGAAAGACTCACTGAAGGCCATGAGATTTGCCGTTCACAAAGAAGCATCTCTTACTTTTAGTGAAAAGACCTGTGTGATATTTTTAGAAAAAAAATTGCTTTTGTTTAATACAAACACACCTATCAGTTACTGGGGTCAGGCTCTAAAAAAACCAGTCATGGAAGTTTAGCACAGCAACTAGATACAAGCTGCATCAACTGCCTGATCCCTATAGTGACACCAAGAAACTCTGTCCCCTTTCCCCGCCAGTGCCTGAAGCAGTTTTACACTTAAAAAAACATATAGATAGCTTACTCAAAGCATGCAAGAGTCAAGACCGACAGCTATGCCAGCATTCAATTTGTCAGTATTCATGTCTGTTTGGGAGGAAGCCAGACTCACAGCTCATCTTGAGAATTTGCTGTGCACTCTATTTTTGTATTATGCCTTTCAAACTCAGGAGCACATTTTAACACACCTTGAACTTAAAAGCCCAAATCCAATGAAAAGTCCTACAAAAAATAATGGGATACTGGCAACTAACTTTTTCCACTGGTTTCAATGGAACTTGGGGCTAAATTGCATGCCACCAGAGAAATGCACAAATTGTATTCACATATAAAGCCTTATCCACATGAAATGGAACTAAGGGGCGAATGAAGCTTAGCCCCATGTGCTTAGTCCACCATATTTCACTTTGCTCTGATGCTTCAAGTGCTTTTCTTTCAACCCATCACATAATTAAGAAAAGTGAGTCAGGCTGGTGAAAATGATGCTTGAATAGATGAGGGCAGGTGGGGTGTGTGATTTTGCTCCCCATGCCAACACATTGTTTTTCATGCAAAAATAATAAAGAAAGGGGTGAAAAGACACACACGTTTGCTTTAAGTGTGACTAGGGGACACACATGAATGCAAACATGGTTGGCCCATTACATTTGGTTTGGGCCTTAGTCACAACTAAGTTTAGCTAGAGAAGGGTAATTTTTTTTATTTTTTTGGTCTCAGCAGACAAGAATCACCTCTTTAAATATTACTTTCACCAATGGGAGAACAGAGAAACCAACATATCAGTGATCTGAAGGACAATTCCAATACTGTATTTACAGCATTAATTCTTATATAACTTAAGCAAAAAAAAGCATAATTTTCAACAGTTGCTATGTAAGCTATTTGCATAGTTTTTCTTATCATGCTGTTCATTCATTCATTGCATTTGTATCCCACCTTTTTCTTCAACGCCTTCAAAGTGGCGTACGTGGTTCTCCCTGTCCTCATTTAATCTCCACAACAACCTAGTGAGGGAAGTTAGGCTGGGAGGCAATGACTGGCTCAAGGTCACTCAGGGAGCTTCCTAGCTGAGTGGAGATTTGAACCCTGGTTTCCCAACACTCTAACCTTCACCGTCTTACCTCATAAAATATTTCCATTTGAATGATCTTTTCTTCATTAAAGCTAAAGGGAAATGCTTAAATAAATGCCACCACTTTAAAAGCAGATCTCCCCATAAATTCTATACTGAGTCAATAGTCGTATCTTTAAATGCATCTTTTTTACATGCAACTTCAATAATAGGTTTTTTGGGGGGAAAGTCTGGCCTTGTATAATTAATGGTTATTAGCAGTACATACTCCTGACAAAAGTATAGATATGATCACCAATGCTCAATCTTAACACCAGAATTAGATAGCACTGGTATTGTAACAACAGAGCTGGAAAAATCCCTGGCACTGAAGCTTATGAATTTCATCATGTCTGTGTAGTAAGCTTGTCACCTATACATTTGATGCTGGTATAACAGGATTTAAAATATTTCTTGCCATGCCTCCTAAAGTAATACAGGCACCTTCCCACCTGCGTGTGAGATCAGCATGTGCATGACTGCTGACACACATGCCGTGTTCAGCACTCAAAGGGAGCAGGGTGGGAGCAGAACGCAGCAGAGCGGGATGGACTGGATTTGCACCCATCCCACTGGCAAGTGTGGCAGCCAAGAACCCCTGTGGAAGCAGGAATTCCCCTGTACTAATACTGAACTACCAGAGAGAGAGACTGACCACATGATTTGCAATTATCCCTAGTTGCGTATCAATGCAATTGTATGGCCAAAAGAAGCCAAAAATCATGATTTGCACCTCAATTTTGTCCTTTTAAGCCATGATATTTGGTTGTGTCGACAGACTCAACCTATTTTGAACTACATTTCTTTACTGTGTTATTATTAAAAGCAGAGTTTAAAGAAATGTTTGGGCAATCTTGATCAACTGATATTTGATGTTAAAACAGTCTAGGAAGCCTTTTAATACTACACCAAAGCTCAGATTGTTATCAAGTTTCATTTCAAAGAATTGACAAGGTCATTTAGGAATTTCATCCCTGGGAATGTAAGAACTGGAAGGTTACATAGCTCAGTGTGTTGCCCAGCGGGATAAGTCAGCTGAGTTTTTCATTCTTACTATGCCAAGTTCCTTGGGAAAGGAGAAGGATTAAGAAAGATGTTCAATTTGCAGAAAAATCATCAAAAATGAGACAAAGCACTGCTGAAACCTTCTAAACTAGGTATAAACAATGTATTATCAACAGGCTACATACTGCCTGCCAAGAAGTTTCGTCTGGAATAGCTTTTAGCCAAGGAGTGAGTTGTCATATGCAACTGCAGGACTTTGTATGGGTCAGGGTGGAAATCTTGTGAACACTTGATTCACAGAACATACACTGACTTATCACTTCTAGAAACAGTACTAAGGTACAGTAAAGGACTGGATAGGGGTTAAACTGATATTCAGTTCAGACAAGGAAGTATTGCTGGTAGGTGTTTATTGGTGGTTGGTGTTCAAACTGTTCTGAAAGGGGCTGCACTCGCCACAAAGGATCAGAGTGTTTGCCGTTCTGGAGTGTTTGGGAATCAAACATTGTCACTAGAAGCTCAAGGAGCTTATGTGGTTCAAAACAACTTTAATCACCTTCATCTGATACACCAGCTATGACCATATGAGGATGGGGGTAGCTTGGCCATGGTTACAGACACACTGGTAATCTCCAGCTACTGCAATGCCTTTAAACGATTATCTAGAAACTGTAGTTGGTCCAAAATAGGACCAGAAGATTATTAACTGGAGCTGGCTATTTCAATTACATTATGCCAGTGTTTTATCAGCTTCACTAGCTTCTGGGCTGAATTTAAAGTGGTGTTTTGAAACTTTAAAGCAGGAGTTGGGAAAATGAGGCCCTCCAGATGGAGTTGGGTTCCTACTTTCATCGTCCTTGACCACTAGCCATGCTGGCTGATGGAACTGGAGTCTGTGTGCCCCTGTAAATTCATACAAGCGACTATTAGGAAGACGGCCTTCTTGGTTGTATAGAACACTTGCTGTAGAATAACCTCCAAATAGAGGCCCTCCTGGTACCTACTTTATTGTTTCTTGGGCAGCAGGTGAAGATCTTCATAGCCATCCAGGCCTTTTAAACACCTAGCATTTTAAACTTGCAAATTCTGGGCTCTCATTGTGGAAGTGTGTTTTATTTTACTGAGCTATTTAAAAAGCTCTATGCTGCATTTTATTATCTTTCTTGATGCTTGTAATTATTATCTTGCATTTTATTCTCTGCCCCGTATGCTACTCAGGGAACCTGTGTTGATAAGTAGCCATATAATTCTAGTAATAAACAAAGATAGGAGTACTGCCAAATATAGGAAGGCCAAGTTTCTATAACCATGCCTTGCCAATTGCTTGAAAATATTTCCACTTGCAGAAACATGATGGAGAGTAATATGCATTACTTTTGAGCTATTCATCTCTCCTCTGGGCATATAAGAATGCAATTAAAATCTCCATGAGTAACTTGTCAAAAGATCACAAATTTTTCATTCAGTTTGCAACCCTGTACATATGTGCACACCCCAAAAACAGCAGTTGCACACTTGTAAAGTTATGTAACTTTGCAACATTGGAATTTGCCTTGAAGGTCATTGTAGGGCACAAATTTCAAGTTGAACATGAAATAAAATGTCAAAGGCCAAATGGACAGTGAAAGCAAACATGAGTGGGCGGATAGTATTGCAAATCTGAATCTGGTAGACCTGAGATTGACTCCTGTCTCTGCCATGAGACAGATTTGCCATCTGTAAAATGGAAACAATAGTCCTACTTCTACAGGTACAAATATGAAGACTATAAAGTACTTTGAAAATTAGAAAACTTGCCTTGTAAAAATAAAGGGTGGTAGCTAATGCTTGGTCTACTCAGAGTAGAATCAATGCTTCAATGTGTTCAACAGAACCGAAAGTGACCACCTTCCTATTGCCATCTCCTTCCACCACACACAGCTGGGGCTCCCCAGCTCACTCCTCCTCCAGGATTCACTGACCTTAGCCCCCGGTCGTAAGAAGTGGGATATCTATCTGGAGCAAGACATAAAACTCCTCCTAAATTCCCCTGAGATCCTAGCCCTGAAAGCCCAGCTGGTAACAATGAATGTGAATCATTTCTCAAGTTTCCAACAAATTCTAGCCTACTTGCTCCCAACACTTACGAAACCCTCCCGTGCGAGTCTAACCTGGAAGAATCAAACTTGGTTCGACCAAGAATGTAAACAGTGCAGAAGTAGGCTTAGATTTCTTCAGTCTAATATGAAATCAGGCAGCACCCAGAGCAAAATCAGGGAGTTAGCCCAATTCCGTTCTTACTACAAGAAGTTGCTCCAACATAAGAAATTGATCTTTGCGAAAGAACGCTGGACGGCATTGTCAGTGGCCATTAAAACCCGTGACGACAAGAAATTCTGGAATTTAATTAATGCAGGTTTAAGACCCCCCTCATTCATCGTTAATAACATCACAGCAGCCAGTTGGCACTCTCACTTTGCTCAGCTGTACTCCGCCCCAGATTCCGACGTAAACGCAGTTTCCACTATTCCTGCATCTGCCTTGCCCACCTGGGAGCCAGTCTCCCCAGAGAGATGTGTTCAACTAATTAGCATGTTATCAGGGATAAATCCCGGGGAGGATATGATTCCACCCGAGGTATTCTTAATGAACCAGATGTGGTGGGCCCCTATTTTTGCATCTCTCTTTACCACTATTAATGCCACTCTTAAGATCCCGCCTAATTGGAAACAGAGCATAGTCATCCCAATACATAAAAAGGGGGACCCACAAGATCCGCGTAACTATCGACCCATCAGCCTGCTAGACATATCATACAAGGTTTACTCTAGATTCTTGCTAGAGAAATTAATCGAGTGGGCAGAAGAAACAAAGCTATTCCACTCGGAACAGGCTGGCTTCCGTAAAGGTCACAGTACTTCTGGCCAATGTCTTGTTCTATTTACCCTGATTGATAAATACCTAAACAGGTTTAACTGCAAATTACACGCGGCTTTTGTGGACCTGACCTCCGCTTTTGACTCTATTCCCAGAGATAGGCTATGGCAGAAGCTTAGTTACACCAACATAGATAAGAGACTCCTCCTTCTTCTTATGGAAATTCATAATGACATATCGGCCAGAGTAAAATTCGGCCCCCTGGGAGCTCTTTCTGATTCTTTCCCTCTGAATAAAGGGGTCAAACAGGGCTGCCTCTTGGCCCCTTTTCTATTCAATTTCTATATCAACGACATCGTTACAACTATGCAGGCCCTAAATCAATCTGCCCCCTCTCTACAACAGCTTAAGATCCCCATATTACTCTATGCGGACGACATGGTGATACTGTCTTTAACCAAGCAGGGCTTAAACAACATGCTCAGAGGGCTCATGACATATTGTGACACCAATTCCCTCAAAATCAATTTCGCTAAAACCAAAATTCTTACTTTTGGCACGAAAACTCGGAAGTCATTCTGGAACTTTGAGGGCCACTCTATTGAATATTGCTCAGCCTTCAAGTATTTGGGAATCACTTTTCAGCATGGGCTTAGCTGGTCAGCTCACCTAAATATGACCATCCTGGCTGCCCGCAGAACCATCAAAGCCTTGGAGAAATTCTTCTATGCAAAAGGCGGCCAGTTGGTTCCACCAATCAGAAAAGCATTTATTAGCAAAGTCCTCCCGATGTTACTGTATGGGGTTGAAATCTGGGGGTGGAATTTAAAAACACTACAACGGCTGGAGATCCTACAAAACTCTTTTGCACGAAAGATACTGGGTCTCCCCAAGGGCTCGGTTGCTGCTCAGTTAAGAACAGAACTGGGCCTCCCCTCCATTGTTGCGAGAGCCCACATTAGAATTATTAGTTTTTATTGCAAATTAACCAATGCCCCAGGTTCCCTACTAGCCAGGCAAGCCTTTTTAACTTGTTCTCACTCCAACAAATGGTCCAAGGCCATGGAGTCTATTACTGAACGCTACTCCCTCCCAGAATTCGACACGTTGTCATCTTGGGACCAACATAAAATCCGGGCCTGGATTCTTACAAGAGATGAGGCCATGGACCGGGCACAGTCCACCTCAGCTCGCCTCTCTATGTGGCTCCCTAAAGTGAAAGTGGTAAGATCACTTGCCAACTACTTGATAGACCTGACGGAGCCCAATTTGAGAAGAGCGTTTACAATGGCCCGTTTTCATTCTATACCCACGGCCTTCCTGCAGGGGACCTACTCTAAGACCCCTATTACTCAGCGTCTATGTCCATGCACAATGAATGAAGTAGAGGACTTCATACATTTCTTTTTCTACTGCCCTATTTATGATCCAATAAGACCCAAGCTCCTCCTCTTGATCCCGTCCTCCATTGCTTCTAAGGAAGACTGTCTGAAAGCACTTCTTGTGGACGCAAATCCCCAAATTTCACGTGGGGTGGCAATCTTCATAGTGCAGGCTCTGAAACTCAGGGCTACTCTGACAGGGTAGTGTGCCCTAGTCCTGGACCTGTTTAATTCTTTTATTACCTTTTTAACTCAATGTGCTGAGCCTATTTTGGGGCCATTTTATGCTTTATTTATATCCGCATACTAGTTTTCTGGCGCTGGCAACCAAATCTCTGTATTATTGTCTTAGGGTGTTTTAAATGTCATTACGCCAGCAACATCGTTTTGAATTTTGCTTGGTTGCTTGTCCCCAACATTCTTTGTATTGTCTTATTTTGCTATGGCTGTATGCTAATGCAATTAAATTAAATTATTACTATTATTATTATTACTAGAATCAATGAAATTAATTGACATTAATCAGTAGGGCTAGCTAAATAAACAAGGGGGTGTCCGAGGACAACAGCTACCATTTGTACTACATTGTTTTCATGGCTAACTACAATTGTTTTTCCACCCTTTCAAACTTATGGTTATAGACTCAAAGGCTGGAAGAAGACAGCCCTCCTTGTTATGAATGAACATGGAGCAGACTTTCTGTGTCCATCTATACTTGGAGCAAGAGTGGAGAAGAGAAAGTGCAGCCAAGATATCCTACTGTGTTTGCTCAGGTGGACAAACAGAGCAAGGTTTGCAGCGCTCAACCTCTCTTTCCCTGTCTGCTGTCACCACCACCCCCAGCCATAAAGAGCAGCAGAAAGTGCAGTCAGAAACTAGGGACAACCATAGTCACCGGAATATTTCTACACCACAGGCAATCAGGTGAGTATTTTTGTTCATAGGCATAGTAGTTGATTTAACAATTTACATCCAATTAATCTTTTTTAAAAAAATAAAAATAAAATCAGTCTTTAGGCACATTTTTCCTAGACATCAATCCACTTCTTTCATTTAGACAGGGCTGGGAAACCTTTGCCGCCGTGCCCCCAAGTGCTTCTGGATGACAACTCCCATCATCCCTGATTGGCCATGAGGGTTGAGACTGATGGGAACTGAAGTTCAGAAACTTCTGAAGGGCCAACCTTTTCCTACCCCTGATTTAGGACCTGGAAACTAAAATCAACACATATTTCTCAGTATCCATGACTGCATGACCAGCCAGCACAAATGACCTCGATGGTTGCACATTTCAAACGACAATTACAATGTATCCCAGAAGAATACTACTCTCTTTCAGGTCCAACAATAACTGGGTTTTCCTCACAGCTAAGGAAAAGCCCTTCTTTCTGAAGACCACTGTTGACTGGCCTCATATAAGAAATATGGGTTGCCAACTGACCAAATATCTTTGCACCAGGGCACACGCATTCAATATTCAGCAGCTATCAGCTATCATTTGAGCAAAATCCACTTGCTCAATAGGAATCCAGTCTTCAAAAGCATTCCGTGATGTGGATTTCAAAAGCATAGGCTACTATAAAGAAATTATAGTATATTCTTTTTATTTTCTTTTTAGGTTTTCCTTTGGTGTCTCCTACTCTGGGACGTTTTTGGGGTCTAAGGATTACACACACATGAAGGGGGTGGATGGTTGGTGGAAGGACCCTGAATGAGAGGCAGGGAAGGGAAGACCTTCCAGGATGAGAGACTGGGAGAAGGAAAGGAAAGCTCCTAGGTAAGAGCTATGAGGGTCCATCACTCAGTGTGAGACATGGGTTAAGAGAGGACTCTGCATTTTCTGTTTCCTTTTTCTCTGTGTTTTTTTTTTATTTAGATTGGTTTCTTTTATCTTATTGTATTATGAAAACACTTTAATAAAATCTTATTTTTTAAAATATAAATACAGCGGTACCTCGGGTTAAGTACTTAATTTGTTCCGGAGGTCCGTTCTTAACCTGAAACTATTCTTAACCTGAAGCACCACTTTAGCTAATGGGGCCTCCTGCTGTCGCCGCGCCGCCGGAGCACGATTTCTGTTCTCATCCTGAAGCAAAGTTCTTAATCTGAAGCACTATTTCTGGGTTAGCGGAGTCTGTAACCTGAAGCGTATGTAACCTGAGGTACCACTGTAAATCTCATCAGTTCTGATCAACTGCAGTATTTTCCTGACTGTTTCAAAGTGCTGGTTTTAATATTTAAACCCCTGTACACTGCATAATATACAGCAGGGGTCACCAAGATGGCACCTGCAGGCACCAAAGCCAGTACTGCCTACGGTACCTGCAAAAGGTCTCTGTTAATATAACCCCCCAAAAATCAACAATGCACCAGAAAGTGTTTACTCTTTCTGCTCAGTTCCTACTTGCACTGGCTCACCCTTTCCTACATGGATCACACACTCTTAAACATGCCTGAATTTCACTGGATGCCAGGTTTGTTCATCCACCCCTCCCTACCACTCCGAACAGAGGAGAGGTATAAAGAACTTCTCCATGTGAACAAGTGCAGTGGTGGCTAATATAGCTACCTTTTTACCATTGTTAAGGAAGGGTGCTGGTGGGCAGGAAATACTTGCATGATTTGTCTTTTTCTGCTTCTTTAGATGTGGCTGCCATTTTGTATTATGCCACACCCCCATAGCATCCATTTTGAGACACTTTCTCAAAATTCCAAATGTGCCCATCAAGGTTACTGACCCCTGGAATACAGAATGAAACCTAGGAATCTGCTACCAAATGAACCTGAATGACAATTATAATGATCCGAGGCAAGTGGGTATTGGGGAGAGAGCTTCTTTGGTGCTGGTATCCCAGCTATAGGATGCTTCTCCCCCGCCCAGGATGGCTCACCATTAATATATATAACGCCTTGAAAATTATTTGAAAGGCTGGTACACATATATCTTTGAATATAAATACATAGCTGGCACAGAAAGAGTAAGGTAACTGCTATAAAAGTTATGGAAAAGCTTACACTCAAAATGGGACAATCTGAAGGCTTTAAGTTACTCTATATGGGAAACGCAGTAAGAAAAGCACTGCTAGCTTGGGACATGTGGCATTATCAGATTTGCTGGTAATTAGCTAGCTTGAAGGTGAAAGTCTGCAAAGTACTTTTTGGCACCAACAGATTGATAGCAATAATGGATTAGCCAGTGCTAGAAATCTGCCACACGTTAACAGGATTGGAGAAAGGTAAAATTAATAGTCAGGGGTCAGCAAGGTTTATCTTGTCTGGGCCGGATCGGTCCCACGGAGATCCCTGTGTGGGCCGGATTGTGTGCGCACCCCTGTGATTTTCAACGTCTGCACATGCGGAGACGCCATTTCTAACACCGCGGAAGCGAGTCCCTGTGCTGTGCTGGTTTAGTGCAGCGCACAAGTGGGCAGCTCAGTTCAGGGGTGGCTCATGGGCCAGTCAAATGACCTCCGCGGGCCACTTCTGGCCCATGGGCCTTAGGTTGCTGACCCCTGTTAACAGTGTAGCTAATTCAAAAGCCCTTCAGATTGAGAATATATATGGGAAATGATGAAAAACCTCAACATCATTTCTTCTAATTGTGAAGTTGGCAGCCCCTGCCTACCAGTACAACTGCAAAACTCAGCCTCCAAGAGAGAAAAGTTCCTGCAAACACAAGAGGCACTCCAGGTATGCAGAAAAAGTTGTGTATGTGTGTACACGTAGGTTTCAAGAGACCTATGGGGAGGTGTGGAAGGATAAAGGGAAGGAAGGCTGACACCTAAATGTGTGCATTGCTCTCAAGCTGCCCTGTAACTTTTGAAAGCATGACAGCAGAGTGCAGGAACAACACAAGACTATTCATATTGGCAGCTGGAGCCTAACACAGATGGGGTACATCATGACCACAATACCCTCCAGCTCAAGATTCCTTTAAAAGGGTACAGAGGGATTGGAAAGATAAATGGTTCCCTTAAAACAGATCAACCCTTAAAAGGACTACCGTAGTTAAGCTGTGGATGGGGCACACCCATTCAGCAGTTTGAAGTATTCTGGAAGGGGTAGGAATTAAAGAGTCTGCACACCTTCAGGTATGCATTTTAGGGGAGACTTCATAGCTTAGTGGGAGAGAACCCATTTCACACACTCCAGTGGAAGATTCAGACACAGATGTCCTAGTTCTATGCCTGGGCCTTATTGCACATTAAAATAGGAGAAATGATTTCCCTATCATTTACTCCTCTTGTTTACTCACAGGCAGGGTTTGAAATTAGCAAGGTGCCAGGTGCATTTTGCGCCTAAACATTCTCCATTTGTGAGTACCTCCAAAAGTCTGGGTGCCATTTTTTGCACCTGGCTAACACTCAAGAATTACTGAAATGTATTTTCTTTGAAGCCTCAAAGTATAGGTTAAGTGTAATGGATTTAGGGGTTGCTCGTGCCTAAGTTGCCGCCACTCCTGGCGAGGTTGCCTTTCTGACTGAACAGCCTCCAGCATCGTGACTGTCTCAGTCGCTGGCAGAATCCGTCAGTGGGCGTTTCTTAAACTTCTTCCAGCACAAAAGTTCCTTGATGCCTAGTCTCCGCCTAGACTCCCTGCGCGGAAGCCTTCTGCGCAGGGAGGGTGTGGGCAGCGGAGGACCCGTACTCTCTCCGCTGGTCTCCGGCAAGGAGTCTTGGAGCCTCCCCTCCAATTCCCCCATCTGCCCCCCTTCTCTACTGGTGTTACGCTGATTTCCTTCCCCAGCGGATGGGCTGCCTCTCTCCCTACTGGGACCCTCTCCGCCATCCCTCTGGAGCCTTCCCTCCGCCTCTAGCTCCGATGGCAGTTCCCTGACATTAAGGATCAGCAGTATGTTAAGGAGTTTAACAATAAAGAGTAGAGTGTTTTGAAAACTGAAGTATGGTACTGATATTCTTACTGTAAACACCAAATTAAACATGTATTAACAATTTCTGCTAAAAATGTGAGATTAACAATGTGTCACTTAAGCGAATTGCGTATTAATTCATTTTGATCAAAATAATAAATAAAACGTGTTGCTGACACACCCACCCCACGGTGATTAGACATTCTGTTTTGGCGCTCACAATCCAGGTTTCAGAAGACGTTTGGCTCCTAGCTTTCCTATCCCAGTTTCTAACACTGTTCACAGTCATGTTCATATTACTGAACACTAAACTATTATCACATAGTGTTGTCTCCCTCTTTCAGTGCTGGAAAAAAAATGTTTAATACCAATGCTGCTGGAGATTAAATAATAAAAACAGCAAAATATTCATATGGTTTATGCGTTTGGCCTTAAAATGAGAAAATTAAAGAGATTTCAGACTGTTACCATCTCATTTCCCCAAAGTGGACTGATTTTTTTGCTGAACTATGCTGAAGGAAGGAAAGATGAATTTGTCTCCAATCTATTAGCAACTTCATGTTTACTTGCACTACAATACTGGAAAATTAGCTCATTTCCGCCAATGAACTCTGGATGGGGAAAAAATGCATGGTTACTGCAAATTAATTTTATTACATTTAGAGAAAGTAAATGTAAAAGTAAAAGTGATGTGCTTTGGTAGAATTAACAATAAGAAATAAATATTTTTGGGGAAATACGCTGAAGTACTCTGTCATCAAACAATGAGTAGGGCAGTAATATGTTCAATGTGATTTAATTTGGGTAAAAAATGGTTACTGGTATTATTATGGTTATTATGATTATTATTAAATTTGTATACCATCCTATACCCATAAATCTCAAGGCAATATCAATGGATGGGTCTGTGAACTTTTTCATATATTGCCAATCTACCAAAAAAATCACTCTAATAGCTACTCGTACCATTCTGGAGAATAATGAAATATATACAGTTGACCCAAAGGGTTTTCAAAATGTAGTAGCATGACAGCTGATTCTACGTTGCTAGATTTCCGCATATAGAATGTCAGAAACAGGCCATAATAAAGTGAGATCATTACTTTTTTTGTCACTAAATTGTATAAAATATAAATGCTGATTACTAAGGCAGCTATTTAGATTAGAAGGTATTTTTGGAATTAAGGGAAGTGGTGTTGCCACTTCAAAGACTACCAGGAGAGCCCTACCCACCTCCTGAATTGATGAGCAAATGTGAAAGTTATTGGCTACCATGTGGTGTGAGAGCCTACAAAAAGTGGAGGCATAAGGGCCCTCCGGGTGAGAGCTAGAACATCTGCATCATCCCAGATGAGAGATGCTGCTGGGTCCCCAGGATGTTTGGAAAATTTGGATCTCAACTACTGGATAACATGGTTATAGGGAATCCCTGTCCACACTGTCTTTTCTTTGCTGTTGCTGTTAAGGGAAAGTTGTCGGATCAAGGCTGGTATGAAGTGCAGGGCAAAGAGGACAGCTTCCTTGGGCAACACGCTATCAGGCAAAAGTCTAGGTGGTCAAATTTGGCTTGTGGTTTCTTAAGTGCCTGGAAAGCAATGTATGATGTAGGAGAATGTGAGCAGTATTAAAACTATGACTGCATGAGGAGCTTGAAGGATCAGCTGCAATCTTTACCTTCCTAAATGAAAGATGGGGATGTTCAGAGAGGGGAGGAGAGGCACATGAGAGCAGGGAAGGAACCGACTGCCACACATGAGAGTGTGGTTCCCATCCAATGCATGCAATTTAGTTACAATGAACCTCTGTGGAACAAACACCCTTTTGGAATGGTGATTCTCCCCCTCCCCGCCCAACACACGTTTTCTCTCTGCTAGGCATCATTCTCTGTTTAGTTTTCAGCTTGTCTTGTTTTATACAGTGCTGTATGGATTTTTTTGTTTACTTATTGGCATTATGACCATTTCCAATATGTTTTTGAATTGTTATACTTATTGTTAAATTGATATGTGGTGAGCCGCTTGAGGAACAATTTTGTGGAAAAGAAGCATACAATTAGACAGGTGAGGAAAACTGATACTGGATTATTGTGCAAAGATTCAAATGGACTGTCTTACCTTTCAATTTACTGGTAGACAACTAATGGATAACATTACTCAGGAGCCTCTCTGGATATCCCTGTATAAGAACTTTATCGCCTTGCCTACAGCTGTTCCATTAGTCAGCAATAGAGAATGGGTTCAACTGCTCTGTGGTATGTACAAATTATTTTAAGACATGCATTTTGTTGATGCACCTTGCTAAACCAGCTGTCTCATGTATTTTATTTCTGAACCTTTAATAATAAATTCAAAGCATAATGAAAAACTATTTTTAAAATGAAAATTATTAAAATGGGTGGTGTGAAAGAACATAGTACAATGCTTTTACGGGGAAAAAGGAATGTAAGATTATATTCTCCATGAAGTACAGGTAACGGTGGCCAGTAAATTCAGCTGCATTTTGGCAAAGAGATGACCCTGCTTTGAAGGCTGGAGCCTCCCAATCCTACAATTTATTACTTTAAACTCAACATGTCTTTCATATGTCTAAATGAGACCCTGTAGCTTGATGGGTGACCAGGAAGGAAGCTAAGCTTGAGTTCACTGAAATTCCAGTGCTGGAGGAGGATTGTTAGTACAGTGGTACCTTGGGTTACATACGCTTCAGGTTACAGACTCTGCTAACCCAGAAATAGTGCTTCAGGCGGCGCGGCAGCAGCAGGAGGCCCCGTTAACTAAAGTGGTGCTTCAGGTTAAGAACAGTTTCAGGTTAAGTACCGACCTCCGGAACGAATTAAGTACTTAACCTGAGGTACCACTGCAAGCGGTAGTGCTGATCAGCTTGAGAAACAGTACAGGTAGGAAATGGTTTTGATTCAATGGGAAGAGGTACAACATGCTTCACATGTGTGAAGTCCAAATTTCCATCTCTGATCTTGCTACTTAAAAGGATCTGAGATAGCAGCGCAAAACCTATTATTATTATTATTATTATTATTATTATTATCATCATCATCATCATCAATCGAATTTATACACCGCCCTATACCTGGGGGTCTCAGGTAGGTTCACACAATAAATCTATGCCCATAATGCTGGAGATCTACTGCTGTCGAGGCATGCAGCATTTGACTAGATGGATCAATGGCCTGACACAATGTAAGACTGTTCTTTAACCAACACCTGCAACTGGATGAGCACCACTAGCAGAAGATACTAATACTACTCAGAGCAAGCTAAAAGGTTAAGTAGCCAGCACTGCTAGCATCTTGTAACACTGTAGTCAGGACAGATATACAGTGGCACCTTGGGTTAAGAACTTAATTCGTTCTGGAGGTCCGTTCTTAACCTGAAACTGTTCTTAACCAAAAGCTAATGTCGCCGCGCCGCCACCGCACAATTTCTGTTCTCATCCTGAAGCAAAGTTCTTTACCCGAGGTACTATTTCTGGGTTAGTGGAGTCTATAACCTGAAGCGTCTGTAACCTGAAGTACCACTGTAATGGGATCAGAGTGCTGGCCAGAGCAGTGGGTAATCATGTATCTATAATGCTACACCATGAAGGCAATTTATTTTTGCAAAATAGACAACTTATTAGGGGGAAAAGTGCTGTAAGAATAAATAACTATGTGATAAACTAGAGTTTAGGACATACACACAACAGTTGGAACAGTTCAACACTGAAGCCCATGAGAGAATGGTGGGTTCTGCCATACAGGATGTTCAAGCTCTGATTTCCTGCAATGAACAGGGAGTTTGAATAGATGGCCTACAAGGCTCTCTACAACCGTAACAAAAACATCAGAAGATTTTGTCCACAAGTATTATACTGACCAGTTTTCTGAGATCCAAAAGCTATCCGCAAAGGTTTGAAGAAGTAGTGCGTATTAACAAAGAATAAAATTATAAATATAATCATATTTTTGCTAGGATTACACTTTAAATGATCATCATTATAACACTTGGGTCAACACAGGAGTTGCCAAAATGAAAGATCATGAGATCTGCTTTGAGCAATGATTACTAATCTGAGGTGATGATTATCTTGAGGTGTTTTTTTTATGCAGCCTTATTCTGACTGCGACTACGGAGCACAATATTAGTTTACCTCACAAGTCAATGCATCTGCGTAGCACACACTATTTCCTATGCTTTCTCAACACCCAATGCCCAACTGTGGTTGCATTTGGATGTAATGTTCAACTATGGCTTAGAGTTATGTGCATGACCCTTGGGCTTGTTAGCTCTACCCTCTGGCATGACCAAAAGCTTTCATTTCCATTTACATGGTTAGTCTGAAGTATTATTTGGGAAACAAGCCAAATTCAAAATGTGGTTTATGATTCTGGCTTGTTTCCCAACCACAGTTGAAACAAACCACATTCTGAGCTTAGGCACCTCAAGAACTTTGGTTAGCAGGTGGGGTATAACTACCCCTGAACACAGTTAACTAAGCAAAACTTCCAATGTCCTCCTTGCATCCACCCCAGAAAAAGAGCTGAACTATGATATGATGTGATGTATGAATGAATGAATGGACAGACTGTGGTTACAGCTTGGCATCTGGGGGCTGCTATGCCTAGAGACAGTAGCGATGAGCTGATAGAAAGGGCTGTAGCTTCTTGTTAAGAGCATCTGCTTTGCATACAGAAGGTCCCAGGTAAAATCCTGTTCAGCCAGGGATAGGAAAGACTCCTGGTCTGAAGTCCTGGAGAACGGCTGCCAGTCTGTATAGCCAATACTGTACTAGAAGGGCCTACAGTCTGACTCAATAGAAGGCAGTTTCCTATGGTCCTAAATGACAGTAGACACAGCTCTAAACCATGATTTGGTTACATGTTTGGAAGCACAAACTATGGCTTGGGATCTAAACTATGTTTATCGCAGAGCATCAAACTACTGAATTTAATACCCACACTAAAACAGGGGACAGTACTTAAAGAAATGCACAAAAACAACATCTAACAGACAATCAAGCCTCAGCCACTTTCAGTACAAGCCTATCTCAAAATTACAGGATTCCCCAGAAAACAATGCACATGAAGAAAAGGTTTGTCCATTAAACTACAAATTTCTACAATAGTAATTGATATTATATTATAAAACTGCAAAGTAAGACTTCTATACCTGTCTGCAAGATGGAAGGGGAGGTGATTTTTCATAATCTGATTTGCAGGAGAAACTTACAGGAGTTCCATTCTTTGAAACAAGATTTGTCAACAGAAAGTTTGGGAATTCTAAATGGAACTCTTTTCTTCAGTTTAAGCAAACACTTCGCACTCCAGAGGTAACATTACATTTACTGCAAAGGTTCATATGGGTCCCACATGCCTTGAAGCAGGTTCTAAGAGAGACATATACTGCTACCTGAATAAATCCACAAGCAACGGCAGCAATAAATATGCAGCTAAAATATTCTCTCTTCTACACATTCTAACCTTCTGTGATTGTGGGACAATGTGTCCACCCTGCAATGAAAAACAATAATGCTGACTCTGCAATGGCACCAGCATTTGTAAAATTAGAAAGTAATGAGAAGTCGGGGTAAAAATCACTGAAACGTTTCCATATATACACAAGATTATTACGATTAAAGATACACAAATCAAACAAGTAAAAGCTGCAAACTACCTTGAAACTCCAAAAGCCAAATTGTTTTGCTGAACACTGCATGTTGTAACTAATGTTAGTTCTACCCAGAGCAGACCCCCGCTAAACTAAATGGGCATGACTAACACATTGTTGACAGATGTTACATATTGCTGTAAAAATCATGTGAAGTGTACTAAAACACAGTGAATGTGGAATGCTACTACAGTTAAAAAAAATTTCCCAAGCACAGAAGAAACAGGCAGCATGGCCCTTCCTAGAGAACTTTAAAATGCTAGCAATGTCGAAAAATAAAAGCAAAAAGAGCAGACAGGATATGATGGAGGCACAAGAATGGGGCTTTGTGCACAGGTGGGGCATTTTAAGACACGTTGAAATACCTTACATTTAATTTAACAAACGTGTGTGTAACGTGCCATGGAGGAGTTGTGCATCAACTGCGCAGATGACTTTCTTCCACGCCCTCTTTGTACTGCACACAGGCAAAACATTTGTATTCAGAAAGGCACCTATCTCCTGGGACCTTGCATAATGTAACATTATGAGTGACAAAGATTCTCTTTAGAAAATGTGGATTGTACAGAAAATCAAGTCTTTGCAGGAGCCGATAGATGAGGTAACATCCCCTTCCCTGATGTGTTGAACACACAGGCCTTGGTAAAAACCCAAATGTATAGCCCCTGAATGCCATGCTCTTTTTCTCTGTGTGTAGTAGGCTTCCTGGCCCACGCGCTACCATGCATTGGAACACATGCTGCGACAGCACAGAAAGACTCAACCCTCAGCGTGTCCTTTGATACCGTGCACATGTGCACCTATTGCTGTGGTACTCAAACACATGAGTAGCATGCATTTACTAATTTTCTTCCCTCCATAGAAAAAAAATTGCACCTGAGTGCTTCTCCACCCTTTTACATGTACAATGACCAAATAGCACACCACAGCAAAAATATATAATCTGCGTAACAGGAGATGTGAAAGCTCCCCCCCTTCCTGCATTTCAACTTGGATGCACATAGCACACAACGGTAGAGGAATTCCCATATTCAAAAGAAACAAAGAAAGGGGTGCACTACATCCCAATTTGAGAGAAGGAAGAGAGAAAGAGAGAGACTGACTTGCATCTCAGATAGGAACAGGAACATATTCTTGCTTCCCACGCCATGTGCTCCTGGGCCAAGATTGCCAGACAGCATTTTAAAGAGACCACCCCCTATTAAAGCACATCATTAGCTGCAGAATGAAAAATGCTACAAGAATCTCACATACGCAACTCATATGAGTTATTGTGGATCTCCAGATTAAAAAATAAAACAGTAATACAGGGGTCTTGGTGGCCACATGTTCTCCCCTATGCACCCACCCAATGGCCATTATGCTAACTGCACCCCAAATTCTGTCAAATTCAAACCTGAGCAGCTGACAAATCTGGCCAATCCCCAAACATATTCCAGGCCCTTTCAGACCTCTGCAGCAAGACAACTCTGTCCCCTGCCCCAATGCCAAAAAGTAAGGGCACAACAGCATTGCCTTGAGTGGCAATCATGTAATCCAGACTAGCCCCCAAGAACAATCCTTCAACAAACCTACTCCGCCATATATTTTCCAGCCTAACCAAGCTACCATCCCAACCACCTTCCTGACATTGGTATCACTGCCGCAAGTTCTTCGCCCCAGCTTGTAGGTATGAGGTTTTGGCCAAGTTTCTACTTCTGTCCAGTATTTCTCAATGCTAGCCTATGAGAAATGGGGGGGGGGGCGTCTCAAACAGCACTGGAGCACAGCTATGGAAATCTCAATGCTAAAGGATCCTTAAAAAAGGAGGAATCTGCCAGCACATGTGGAATAGCACAGCCTGGCCACTGAGTAACTTCTGCCACCCATGGCACCTGGGACTCGATCTGTGGGACCTACCTCTAGGTCCAAAGGTATAGAAACACTTAAAAATAAAAAAGGAGGTAAAAGGAAAAGTGAACGAATGAACCTTTGCCTGGAATACTTGCTCTTACCAATCGATACATTAAGTACACATTGCCGGGAAGCAACTGCTCCACCGTTTTATAACCTTGACTAGGGCCTAGTCACACTACCCGCCCCTTTTATTTTCCCGATCCTAACCCCACTTCCCCCTCCCCGATGTGATCCCCTTCCCGAGGCCTCCCTCCACGGTGGAAAAAAGAGATACTAGGGGTTGGGAGAGAGGGAGAAAGAAGCGCCAGCCTAACCCCCATGTTGGTCTCCTCACCCCACCACTCCTTGGCTGTAGTTCGCCTTCTTCCACGGGGTGCCGGTGTAGGCGGGCTCGTCCGAGCCAGCTTGCGGCCTCCCCAGGGGCCCGTCCCCCGGCGCCGGGACCCCGCTCTCCCCGGCGGGCCCGAGCAGGAGGGTGTAATTGAGCCCGAAGGTGCTGGCCTTGTTGTCGCGCTTCCTCTTGTTGCTGGCGGCCGAAGAACCCGAGCCGGCGGGCGGCGACGAAGTGGAAGACGAAGAAGGGCCAGCTGCCGAAGAGGCGGCGGCGGCGGCGGCCGGGGAAGGAGAAGAGGCGGCGGCGGTGGAAGAAGAAATAGAAGAAGACGAGGAGGAAGAGACGGCCGCGACAGGAGGCGCTGGGGCTGCAGCCGCTGCCCGGGCGCCGGGCCTGCCTGCCCAGGTGGTGGCGGCCGGCGGCTGCGGCGAGGAGGCCTGCCGCCGGTGGAGGTGGTGGTGGTTGTGCTGCTGGTGGTTGGCGCTCTCGAGCGGCAGGAAGTCGGGCTGAGGGTCGCAGCGGGGGCCGCGGGACATGCCGGGCGGCGAGGCCGGGCCGACCCCGGGGTTGGCGGCGGCGGTGTTGCTGCTGCTGCTGCTGCTGCTGGAGGCGGCCGAGGCAGGCTGCTGCTGTTGCTGCTGCTGGGCGCGCTGCTGCTCGTGCTGCTGCTGCTGCTGGAAGTAGAGATTGCGGACCCCTTGCGTGGTCTCCCAGATCTGCATCCACAGGCGGTTCGAGGGGCCGAGCTGCTCTGGCTGGAACCAGGCGATCCGGGGATCCATCAAACGGGGACCCGGCCCTCGAGAGACTGGGCGGCGGCGGCGGCGGCTACTCCTCCCCCGCCTGGCCCGGCCCGGCCCAGCCCAGCCGGCCGAGAGCGCGGCGGCGCCCACCGGCTCGCAGCGCTAATGGCGGGCGGACGAAGGCGGCGGCGGCAGCGAGCAATGGAGAGAGAAAAGGGAGACTCTCCTCCGCTGCGCTGTGTCGGCGGCGGCGGCGCCCTCCTCCTCCTCCTCTGCCCAGTGAAATGACTGGCGGTCCGGGGCGAGAGAGGTCGGCCAGGCGCTGAGTGGCTTCCTCCTTGCTTGGGCTGCTCCCACTATCGCTGCTCCTTCGCCGCCGCCTCCAGCACACAGCAACCCCCGCCCCTCTCGGCGAGCGAGGCGGGGCCCTGGCGAAGAGGTGGCCGCCGCCGCCGCCGCACGGGCCGCGCGTAATAAAGGCGTGGGAGGAAGTCGGAGGAGGAGCAGGCGGCGGCGACGACGACGGGAGAGCCGGGCTTGGCTGCTGCCGAAAGCGTGCGCGGTTCAGGGCTCGGCTAGGCCCGGCCTGGCTCAGCCTGCCTCTGCCGTCGTCGTCCTTCTCCCCCTCAGGCGTGCTCCAGCCCATGGAGTTACATCCTCCACCATGGCAGTCGCACCGTGGCGACGGGCCGCGCTGTACACTAAGCACGCACGCTTCTTTTCTCCTTTCGAGATTATTACTGTTACCATCACCATCGTTATTTCGTGATATAACAATAGCTCTTACGTCGTTCTTTCACTTGGGATGGGGTGGGGGGACAGAGACACAGCGAAGAAGCTCCCGCGTTCTTCCGGAGGAGGGGAAGGCGCGTTTCTGGGGTCACAGAAGGGGGATCCCTTAAAAGGACTGACCCGGGATCATGGGGCTGGTCGTGTCGCCCCACCCCCGCGTCCCATTTCTTTCCGCCGCGTGAAAGGGGCCATCACACAACTCCCATCATGGCAAGAGTCCAGAGGTGCAGCCATGTTAAGTCCTTGTTACGGCAAGCGCCAAAATCGAGACCTCTCGGCGCCTTCGAGGGCTTGGGCTGCCATCCTGTGTATACGCGCTGAACTGGAAGCGAGTCCCATTTGAACGGGAAAGGACTTCACTCCTGAGCGGGGCAGGCGCAGGGTTGCGCTGAAACTGATTTTATTGCGGCATGGGCTTCTGTGGACTAGAGGCCATTTTATCAGAACACACAAACACACACCCCCCGAGGCATTTCAAATATGTGTAACACAAAATGTAGTCTTGTGGCACCTTAAAAGGACTGCTTCACTTAATGCTGCGGAAACTTTCACGGAGCTACACCAGCGGCGTGCTTCGGCTGTTCAGCCTAAGCTTCACCATAACTAGCTGGTGCTTTGAACATTAAAAATCCTAGCAACAGTACTCCTGTAAGAACAAAAGAAGCTCCGGTTGAATCAGGTTTACGACCCAACTATTCCTGCATCCTGTTGTTCATCCAGATGCCTGTGGGAATCCTGTTGCAAGTTGGATTCGGGCACAAGAGCCCTCTCCCTTCCTGTGGTTTTCAGCAACTGCTATTCAGAAGCATTGCTGCCTCCAACTTCCATGAATTTGTCTAATCTTTTAGAGCTATCTAGGTCTGTGGCTATCATCACTGCCTCATGTATGTGAGCAAGTGTCATAGTTTAACTATGTGCTGCATGAATAAATTCTTCCTTTTATCTGTCCTACATCTCCCACTGTTTAGCTTCACTGGATGTCCACAAATTGTACTATTACGAGAGTGGAAAAACAGCTTTTCTCTAACTGCTTTCTCCATGCCATGTATACTTTTATAAACTTCTATCATGACCAGAGCCATAGCTAGGTGATCTTGCGCCCCTGTCCAGATTGCACCCCCTAGCCATGGACAAATTAGCTCATCTTTCCAACTCTCCACCCCCCCCCCAATTCAGTTCACTCTGTATTGAAAACCACTTCTTATGAGGCAATAATCAATATTTATATTTATGGACATATTTTTGCGCGCACACACACCCATCGCCTGCGCCCCTGGCGGAGGCCCACCTCACCACCCCTAGCTACGACCCTGATCATGACACCTTTCTCATCTTTTCTCTAAACTAAAATATCCGAGACATCACAACCTTTCTTCATAGGGGAGTTGCCTGCAATGACACGATAATAAATTGATTTGTTGACAAGCTGCTATTTCTTCATGCTACCCCAACCCCAAATCTCACCCCAACCATCCCTATGATTGTTTTAATACAGGGCAGTCTAACTTCTCATACCAAGTGGACCACAATAGTACTTCAACATGGAACCTGCAAACCGTACACTGCCTTGTTGTGCAGAGGGTAAGGCGGTGAGGCCAAGAATTGACGCCCCACCAGACCACCATGCTGCCTTCCCAAAGGAATAAGTGAGGCACCAAGCTTTGAAAAGGAGGCACAAGGGTCAAGCAGGGTCCTAGAGCTCTCCCATGTTCTTCCCAAAGCTGGGAAAGCACTAACTAGGCTTTGGAAAGGAGATTAGAGTAAGGTTACCAGATTTTTTTCAATGAATCCGGGGACACTTTTCAACTTCAATGGATTTTGAATGGGGACTGATTTGTAAATCCGGGGACTGTCCCCAGGAAACAGGGATGTCTGGTAACCTCAGGCTAGAGGCTCCAAGGACCCTGTCAGAGCCCTCAAGCCTTTTTCCCAAAGCCCATAATCTTGTTTTCCTGGCTTTGGGAAGGCAGTGTAAGAGCTGTGGGGAGGATGTCAAATGTTTCCAGGGGCTGCCAAAAAAAGGCACTGAAGGCTTCACATGGCCCTCGGACTGCATGTTAGACCATCCTGCTCTAATAGTTCATTTATGTCACTTTACATCGTAAGAGGCCTTGTACATTATCCTTACAACCTACTGCTCTCACACACCTCCATGCACGCAAACCTTTTGCTGGAGAGACAACAAGACACTCTTCTCCTTCAGTTCTGTCTGTGCCCACTACCTTCATAAACAGATGTGCCATCTCTCCTTTAGGCTTGCCTGCATTCTATCCACCAAACCAATTAGTTTTTCATACCATGCCTCCTCTGTGGAACTTGTGAAGTACCGTAATACTAAAGATAGTCACTTTGACTATGAGTAGAGCGCATTGTTCAGCTCTCTACCTACCTACTAATGCTATGCTTCTCTAACAGATATAGGATTAGATAACAGTTTGCCAAATTCACATTCCCAGGTCCTGACAGCTCCCCCAATTTTGTTTTAAATTTAAGGACTTGGTCAAGACAGAACAATAACCAAGCCTGACAAAATCATTTAATTAAATGGGAAATAATCTTACAGCTGCAGCTTAGTAGCAAAGCATCCCAGCTTCAATGCCCAGCATCTTCAGGTAGGGCTGGGAAACATTCATTTGAAATCCTGGAGAGCTGCCATCAGTGTAGACAATACTGAGCGACATGGACCAATATAAAGCCGCTTTCTATCTTCCATCTGGAAACAATGATTTGTCTCTGGTAATAAGAGGCTAATAAACAATTACTTGCTCTGTTGGCTAATTTTGCAAAATTCAATAAAATGAGACTAATTTGTGATAAAAGTGCACCATTTCCTCCTTTAGTCTCATTTTTACGATCCCAAGCAGGTAAGGAAAGCAAGCTTTATTGAACTCTTTCTCTCTGTAGTATTGGACTAACAGGCTATACTCAGAGTGGGTCAACCGCACTGCAGGCTTGTCTTACGACGTTGCTTCCAGAAATGCATAGACCATAGCACCTTTTACTTTCCAGCTTTATCTTCTGATCTCCCCCCCCCCCCCGCCCCCTGGCTTCTTTCAATCCGTAGATTGGCTTATAACCATTATGCCTTTTTCTGACTTACGCAGTGGCTCCGACTTTTTCTACCTTTCTTTGCATTTTAATTCACTTTATAGAATATGGTCATCCTCAAACTCACTGCCATTAGAGTGCTCCTTCCTTTTTCAGATGCTTGATTGTTTCTTCATGTTGTGCTTTGGTTATCTTCCCTTTCTGCTCTTATCCATGAGTTTTCCTCCCAGATTTGTTAATCATGTTCACATATTTTGTAGTATACAAAATGTTTGCTATTATTCACAAAAGTGAAAGAAGTGTGTAGCCCAGACTAGATGGCAGTGGAAGAATGAGACTTACTATGTAAACATCAATTGAGATTACTTCTTTGTCCCCACACCACCCCCGCAAATATCTTTTAAATGATAAATGGGCACCCCTTTTCCACTATCACAAGGTCAGGTTGAAAAAACGGACTTCTGCGGGTCCCTTTTTTGAACCATTATGTTAACATGAGAAATGTGTGTTATATAAACACACACACACACACACTTATTAAATGCTGGGATGGGGAAGCCAAAGGGTTGAGGTCAGCAATACAGCATGCAAGTAAGTGAAGACTGTGTTGGTAGATGTATTAGAATACTGGTAGATGTATTAGAAAACCAGATAAACTGTCTGGTTGACTAAAGGGATAGTCCTTGTTCAAGTGCAAACTTCTAGTTGCTACAGTGGTACCTCGGGTTACATACGCTTCAGGTTACATACGTTTCAGATTACAGACTCCGCTAACCCAGAAATAGTACCTCGGGTTAAGAACTTTGCTTCAGGATGAAAACAGAAATGGTTCTCCAGCGGCGCAGCAGCAGCAGGAGGCCCCATTAACTAAAGTCGTGCTTCAGGTTAAGAACAGTTTCAGGTTAAGAACGGACCTCCGGAATGAATTAAGTACTTAACCTGAGGTACCACTGTAATGTGTTTCAGAAACCTCCGGGTACAGGGCAGTATATAAATTCAATAAAAAATTAAGAATAAGAATAATATTCAACATAGTATTCAGGGCCTGAACTAGTTTCTGCAGGTCAGCAATTTCAGGCCTTAAAAAGCATACTAAATGCTAAATATGTGAGTGTCCTTTCTGGAGAACACCTTGCTACCCCTTCCTCCACAAACAAAAGTTCATCAAAACCATTAGCAAAAATAATTCACAGAATCTTAACCACTATGAAGCCACATAAACAAAGTAGTTTGTCAAGTTGAAAAGATCTGAAGGAGTAACAAAAAATGTTACGTTATTTACTTGTAGCTTGTGTCCCTCTATCACTCAAATGCATTTTGCACTTGACAGGGATGGGGAACCTGTGGCCCTCTAGATGTTGCTAGACTCAAACTCCCATCAACTCCAGCCAGCATGGCCAACGGTCAGGGATGATGGGAACTTTAGTTCAACAACATATAGGAGGCCACGTTCCCCTTCACTGAACTAGACCAGGCTTCCTCAACCTCGGCCCTCCATAAGTTTTTGGCCTACAACTCCCATGATCCCTAGCTAGCAGGACCAGTGGTCAGGGATGATGGGAATTGTAGTCTTAAAACATCTGGAGGGCCAAGGTTGAGCAAGCCTGAGCTAGACCATACCACCTACAGTGGCATGCCTGGCAGCAATCTAATCTGACATTTGCAGAAATTGTAGATAGCTATGAAGAAAACTGCACCCATAAACAATGGTCAAACACCCAAATCTTGGGAATTTGTTTTACAGATGGGGGCGGGAAACACTTATTGCCAAAGACATCACATGGCAATTGTAAGGTGAATCTCACACCCCAAGGCATTCGTGTTGCTCAGTAGGAAAAGACAAATACAGTGGTACCTTGGGTTACATACACTTCTGGTTACATACGTATCAGGGAACTGCCATCAGTACTGGAGGGAGAGCGCGAAAGCCAGAGGGATTCCAGAGGGCGTCCAGGGATCGGGAGAAGCAGCCCATCTTCTGGGGAAGAGAATCAGCGTAGCACCAGTGGAGAAGGGGGGCAGGTGGGGGAAGTGGCGAGGCGGTCCCATGACTCCTTGCCTGGGACCAGCAGGGAGACTAGGCGTCCTCCGTTGCCCACGCCCTCCCTGCGCAGAAGGCTTCCGCGCAGAGAGGGTAGGCGGAGACTAGGCGTCAAAGAACTTCTTTGATGGAAGAGGCTTAAGAAATCACGGATTCTGCCAGCGATTGAGTCAGCCACGGGCGAGTGGCTGTCCAGACAGAGGAGGTTCACTTCGGCAACCCAGCCAGGTGTTTGCACCCAGCCAGGAAGATAGGCACCTGCTTATGCACAAGCAACCCCCTTAGGAACCATTACAATACGCTTCAGGTTACAGACTCTGCTAACCCAGAAATAGTGCTTCAGGTTAAGAACTTTGCTTCAGGATGAGAACAGAAATCGTGCTCCAGCAGTGCGGCAGCAGCAGGAGGCCCCATTAGCTAAAGTGGTGCTTCAGGTTAAGAACAGTTTCAGGTTAAGTATGGACCTCCGGAACGAATTAAGTACTTAACCCGAGGTACCACTGTATATTCCACTAGAAGCACTGACCTTTTTCGTCTTGCCTAAACTGAGCATCCAAACCCTTCACACAGCAAGGCATATCATCTGGTCTGATCAAAATAAGAATCTGAGGTGAGAGTTATTACTATTTGGATACTGTAACATTTTCTTTCTCTCTCTCTCATACATACACACTTCGCTGAATAAAAAGGAATCTGAAGTACAGTCCTATGGAGATTCCCAGGGAACCTGCCCCAACAATAACATCAAATTGCTTCAAAGCAATTTGTTGTTATTCTGTCTCTCACAGCTACAATAAACCTACCATTAAAATTATGGACTGGTCATTTCTTCGTCGGAGGGCAAACGGGCAAAAGGTAGTGAAGCAATAAACACAGGTCTCAATTAACTGGGTAAGGGAGATTGCTTTGTTTTCATTCAAGTTTCCTCATTCCGATTGTATATAAAAAAAGGTTTTAATTGTTTCGCTTACCAAAGGCTCACAGAGATTTTCCATCTCTGAATGCATGATTAAAATTGCTTTGAGCAGATGGTGTGTAAAAATGTACTAAGTGGAAGCTTGATTTCTAAATGTGTAGCACCTCCCACCAAAACAATGCAGGAAATTAGCCAGCAGCAGGTACTGTTTATATTGTGTTTGTATTTAGCAACATGAAAGTGCTTTCAGCCTGAATATGAAGAGACAGAGGCATGGCCTCTGTAAATCCTCAGCATGAGATTCTCTTATCCCAGAAAAGTTGATGCTGAGATTTTCAGAGCAACAAGTTCCAGGTGCCACTTTCACGCTACCTACAGCTCTGTCTGATATTGTCAACAGACACCGCTTGCAATTTCTCCTCCTTTCTCACCACACCATGGCAAAACCCAAAAGGTTTAAGAGAAGGAAAGCAGAGAAAGCAAGCACTTAACAATCACCGCCAAGAATTTTCTCTCTGATTCCTGCCACCCTCATGCAGAACTAGCAATGTGTTTGTGGAGAGAAAATGTCCCTAAGAAATCGGGGCTAAGGTCAGTTTATCATGTCTTTAGAGGTACGGTTTATTTCCTAGATCTGGAGTCGTGTGATTATTGTCGTCAGCCAGGGATATAAACACAAATCAGAAATTCCCCATTATTACAGGGCTTCAGCATTTCCAATATTTTACATATTTTGTGTGATTGCAATTCATGTCATGCCCCTCCACCCCCACAACTTAAGACAAATACTTAACGGTTCTGAATCACTTTTCAAATAAAATACTATTCAGTTAAAACTTGGTTTACTAAACATAATCCTTCCAACTTGTAATCTCCACAATATATATTTTAGTAGAACTGCAAATACTTTAAAAATATTTATATGCATCCAAGTTTAGTGCAAAAACACTAAACTGTGTATGAGCCACTATGAGCCACTATGATGTGGCTCATTTACCTGCCCATTTGAAACATCACCAGATTCTATGCAAGGTGGAGAGGAGACACTGATCAAATAGCCTTTTTTCTCTATCCAACAATACACAATTCAAAAAAAAAGAAAAACCCTCATAGATTTTTGGGCAGGGGGGATATTAAGAAACAAAATGTAGCGTATTTTCTTGGCTTCTGTATATTACCCTAGTATACCATATTTTTCCGTGTCTAAGACTAGGTTCCCCCCCTAAAAAATAATGTCCGAAATTTGGGGGCATCTTATACACGGGGGCCATCTCCCCCCATTTTCTTAAATCAGAGTCCCCCAAAATAGGGGTTGTCTTATACATGGGGGCATCTTATACGGTATATAACAGTTTCAAAGTGATATGACAACAGTCTATGCTACAAATGGTAAAAGAATAATATGCTGAGTATTCCTCTGCTGTGTTGCTCAGGAAGCCTTCTGCAAGTTGACACCTTAGAAGACCTATGTGTACAATCCTTTGCTGTATGGAGGGTGCAGTGCAGAGGATCCAGGTGACTGATACACCAGGGCACGGCCACCCAAAACCTCAATTCACCTGACCACATGTGGCATCCTGCTTGCAGACATCCCCATGGAACCTGGTTGCACATTGTACAAACAGGATCCTGGAGCAGATGGGCCTTTGGTCTGACCCAGCAGGGCACTTCGGATGTTCACACATGCATGCTGCACACCTGTCAGGAGCCAGCAGAACTGCGTCACAGAATGAGACCTGTGCTAGTTGATGCCTTGGTAGAAGAGGCAGCTTTAAAGCTGGACACCCTGTGAGCTGGGTAAGGCAGGAAGAATGCCAGCACAGCATATTCTCTTTCCTGGAGCTTCCATGCCCTCCCGTCCACAAACGGAGGCCAGAATTATACTCCAACTAATATATTGTTGTATGAGCTTCTGAAGGAAATAAACTTTTTCATCTGATGCTGCTGGAAGTAGTCACTTGCCTATGAAAGCCGACATTCTACATACACATATTTATGGTAACAAAAGGTGCCGCACGACTCTATTGCTCAACATGGCTAACCTGCTGCTTTCTGTTAATGCCTGCTTTCAACCCACTTAATCGACTCGAAGGAAATCTCGAGCTGGTTTTGCGCTATCTGTATTTTCCCAACTGTTCAGCAAACACATTTCAAGGTAACAGGTGTGGGTGACTTTGCAGAGTGACAACAGTCACACCTGCTGTAGCTGCTCAACAGTAGCAGTCGATAGCAATCTATCATTTATATAGCCCAGGCTGGAAAAATCCCAAGCAAGGCGCTGCCTAGAAAAGGAGATGCTGGAAATATTTTTCCAACCTTGCGTACAGCTGGCACCTATAGGATCAAAACTGGTACTTAGGGAGGGCTCCCCCACCTGCTAGTCTGAGCCTGATACATATGGCAAAGAGTATATTACAGGTTGAAAGAATCTTGGTATGTTTTTTTGCAGTGCAGTTAGCTAATATGTAGTTGGCACAAAGCCACCCCTAGGATAAAGCCACTTGGGTCTAATCCACAAGAATATTAAGTATATTAAAGTAGATCAACTTAAAAGCAAATATTGGTTTTTCAAGGAATTATACCCTCAGAGCAGTCTATAAAAGCATACCTTTTTAATAGGCTTCCAACATAAATTAAATTCACATTTCCTTTGCAGAACAATGCTTTTGTACATAGAAGGCATGTATATTTCCACACAATGAAAATAAAATCCAGAGATTTCAAGCCAGTACTGATGTAATAGTCTAGATTTTTTAACCTTCGTTAAGAGAGTATGAGTACTCCACAGGCTTGCATGCTCCCTCACTTCCCTTTTAATGTCTGCACCAATGTTAACATTAACCATGATTCTATCAAATCAGAGCTGGCAGCCATGGTTAGAAGTTGGTGTGCAAACTCCGGTTTGAGCTAACCATGGCCCAACACTACCCACAAATTATCTCTGAAAAGTGGGGCAGGGAGAAACGCCATGTGTAGATGAAATAGGGAGAGTGGAAGGAAAGCAAGATCTTCCCAATCTTCTAATGATGGCTGGAAGACTAGGAATATTACATTAGGCCTTCAGCAGAGCTTACTCCTAAAATCTGATGCTGGTTCTTGAGAGACTGATGGGTGACATATACTTTTTTCCAGTATTTAAGGGCACAATCTGGCTACTGTCAACACTGAATCAAAAGCAAATGGTGCGGCACTTACGGATCCTGAATCCAGTTTTAACGGCTCCGTAACTCCACAATTTCTTAACTCTCCTCCTGCCACCAATCACTGCAAGGCGCTATATAAAAATCCCAAACTAAAGTATTTAACAAACAATAATAAAAATATAGCTTTACAGTCTTTTTTTTCTATTCAAAAATTATTATTTTCTCTCCAATTTCTCTTGATAGGCAATGAATCTTCTTAAGTTCAGTTTCACATTGTCAAGCACACATAATTGATCTGAGCTGTACTGTCCTTTCCCTTCTTTCCGCATCTGCAATTCAAAAGGGGAAAAAAAGACAGATGTATTATGCTGAAATTCTACAAGAGAGGAATCCTAAACCATCCAAAAACAAACAAGCAAGCAAGCAAGCAAGCAAACAAACAAACAAACAAACACAACAAAAACTCACAATCCTCCTCTGCAAAAGGAGATGCTGTTTGCAGTCCTTTCAAAACAAGGGCATTGATGTCTCTTGCCCAAAGTAACAAGTTGGAGTGGGTGGCAAGAATAACTAAATTATCTTCACTCACTCAGATATCATAGTAGTTTAAGAGTCACAAGCTTAAAATGGCCAGTGCTCCACCAACAGGGATTTAGTTATTTATTAAAAATATTTCTATTCAGCTATTCGTAAAAAAATTGGAGCAGTTTACAACAATTATACATAGAACCATGCAGCAAAAAGTTAGAAATCAGAAAAAAGCTATTATGGAAAGATGTATTCTCAATTGCCTGTATAAATCCAACAGAACAGAAACGTTTCCAGCAGGCATTTAGAAGTCGGAAGAGAAGGTGTCTGCTGAATCTCTAGTGACAAAGTGTTCCACAGGACTGGGCTGATGACACTAAAGCAGAGCTTTCCAAACTTTCCATGTCGGTGATACACTTTTTAGACGTGTATCATTTCACAACACAGTAATTCAGTTTTACTAGCAAACCAGAAGTTAAATCAACCCTTTTCTAGCCCCGGGAGGAGCGCAGGGAGCATTTGTGTGACGCGCCAACACACTGCAGCCAACGCACTAACGTGTCGCGACACACAATTTAGTAAGCTCTGCACTAAAGGCTTGGTTTCTTGTTACGGTCAAATGAGCCTCACCAACACAGGGAATGTCCAACAGTGCTCCCTGCAGATGATCTCAGTGATCAAGGTGGGCTATAAAACCATGGAATAAATCATAATCATAATCCTGGTGAGTGCTCCCTCCCTTTGATAATTAAACACTTTAGGTGGTATCCAATGCTAGTCCTACTCAGCGCAGACCTACTGAAGTTAACACACATGATTTACTTTCATTAGTTGAAGTTGGTCTAATCTCAGTACCTCTTAGGGGGCTACAACCCAAGCGGCAGACTCACACGTGTACAATGCTCAAATACCAGGACCAGCTCCAGGTTTGAGGAGGCCCATAGTAGAAGGCCCTCTGTTGGGTCCCCTCCTAATCAATGGAGCTCTTCTGTGTAGGTGAGTCTTAGTGGAATCATCTGATGTCATCAGCAGCCGACAGCACTGGGCAGCTGAAAGTCGCCTTTTAAAATTTTTCCATAATGCCCTAGTGTAGGCATTATGGGAAATTAAAACGACAGCTTTTAAACCAAGCTGGTCACTGCTGATTACAGTAGCCAATTGTGGGTGGGGTTTTTTTGTTTGTTTGTTTGTTTCAAGAAGGGCTCAGGACAGGCACCAGAGTTGTGTCTACAGGGATGCTGAGGCCTCAACAGCTGCTGTGTGCTGATCCTAGGGCTTGCTTGCTACATTTGTCATGGATAACTTGCAACCAAGGCCGCAACCACACCATCCATTCAAAAGCCACTCTTATACCACTTTAAACCGTCATGGTTTCCCTCAAAGAACCCTGGGAACTGTAGTTTGTTCAGGGTCTCCTAGCAACTCTCCATACCCTTAAACAAGCTACAATTTCCAGGAATCTTTGTGGGGGCTGATGGTTTGAATTGGTATGTTGCTGCTTTGAATAGATGGTTTAGATGTGAACTGAATGTGTGAACTCCCACCACTGATTACGCCGGTGTCGATTGCTAGGAAAGGCCTGGAAGTGCTGGCTGATGTGTGCTAGCTCATTCACACACGCGCAAGTCTTTACTTGACCTTAAGAACATAAGAAGAGCCTGCTGGATCAGGCCAATGGCTCATCTGGTCCAGAGTTCTGTTCTCACAATGGCCACCCAGATGCCTAAGGATAACTTGCAAGCAGGACCCGAGCACAAGAATACTCTCCCCTCCTGTTGCTCCCAGCAACTAGTATTCAGAAGCGACTCCCAGTGATGAACACATAGGTGTTCACTCAACCCCTTAGTCCTTTCTCCTCCTTGGAGAACCCACACTAGTACACTTTGACTCGGGAGACTAGGAAATGACTAAGCAGCATCTGTCTCCCAGGCTGGCAGACAAGCTCCTTCCTTGTGTTCCAGAGCAACATGTTCTCTGGGGCTGGCAGGTACAGCACTGCAATTATTTCTCAGACGATGCCTTTGCATTAACCCCTCAAAACCTAAAATTCAATCCCCACAAAAAGCCAAATTCTCCGAGATTCCAAACAGCTAGCACTGGCCTGACCTAATAAAAACCACCTGGTCATATTTACTAAACTCTGTTCAGCTGTGACAGAAGCACACACATTATCTGAGCAAAGCTAGGCAAGCTTGTCTTAACAGCAACATGACACTGAAGAAGGACAGACCCAAAGAACGGCTCTTATGAGATGCCGACACGGAGCTGGGTCAGGTCTATGACGACAGACAGGGCTCAACAAAAAGAGAAGGGGGGAACCAAACACGTTCCTTTCTCACCACTAGCATTCTAACACTTCTAACATTGACTTGCCTCCATCTTTGGAGAGATATTATTGAACCAATGAGGACTAGAAACTTGCTCTCCCCTTTTTTTCCCTCAACAAGAATTTTTTTTTTTTTAGGTATTCAATATGAATCTTGGATGCAACTGCGGTAAAGAAAAGTTTTCCCAACTGGTGGCATTAGTGAAGTCACAAACCATATTAGTGTTTCAAGTACTTTCCTCTCACAGTGAATAAAATAGGCTTACCCGCGATTTGAAAACTGGCTGGAATTCCTTAAGTGCATATAACAACTTTATTTGCTCTCCTGCCTTTTCGGCTTCTTTACCGTCAGCGAACACATCAAAGAGGGCATCCAGAGCTTCCCCCACCACCACAAGGGAAGGATCCTTCGTTGCAACGTCAAGGAGGAATTTCCCAATCATCTGAAACGACACAGAAACAGGTACCCCAAAAATCACTACAGATCTTACAAGCAGTAATGTCATTGCCAGAAGTGAGAGATAGGTATTTCCATACAGAAGTTTTACCTTTAGTGTTTCTGCTGTGTCTTCCACCTTGGCCAGCACACTGCCAGCAATTCCTAGAATGCTAACCACGTTTACTCGGACACTAACATTGGTATTCTGAATACCGGCTTCACATAAAGTCATCAGCTGCTCAGGAGACATGCTCTGTTTAAAAGAATAAAAATTGGGACTGGTGAGGGGAAGAGATAAAACACTCAGCATCCAAGCTGTTTAAAAGCAAATGCCAAAGAACATTTTTTAATTCAAGTGTTTAAGAGATCAAACATATAAAAGTGGAGGGCTAGCACCTCAGGCTACTTACAAACAGGTTGCACAGAAGCAACGGATATAGACAAAAAGCACTCTGTACATGTTTGGAGACACTGGCTGCATGTTAGGAGAACAGCCTTTCCATACTTCTCCTTCACCCAGTTTTCTCAGTTTATCCCCCTTCTGGCACCTCCACCCCTGGGAAAAAAGCAGTCTCACCTGAGATATATTATTAGACGCCAGTGTTTGCAAAAGGGCTCGCAAGGCGCTGGTTACGGCTTCCAGGAACTCAATTTCCTTTGAAAATTCTGCACAAAAGGAAAAAATCCCAATGAAGTTGTTCAGGGCTTGAAACCCAAGAAGTTACACACGCTTACATGGAGGCAAATTTCATTGAGATAAACACATATGGTATCTGGGGAAATGTTGGTGATTCTCAACACTCTTTAATTATTTTGAGTAGCGCCCCACATTACAGAGGCTCAGCATTTGTCTACACACTTTTGCCATCCCCACCTCATCGCAATCTCGTCCCCAAATTACCCACCAGCTCTACTTCAAAGGACAACCATTTGCCAAGGTCTTCAAGAAACTATGCCTAATCAACATTGGCTATAGTTATCAATGACTCATTGATAAAAGACTTTCAGCTGGGTTTGTGGTGCTCTAAGGCAGCCAGCTAGTTTTTAAAGTTTACGCTCCACAAGTTTAAATAAGGAGGTTTTGTTGTTGTTTAGTCGTGTCCGACTCCGTGACCCCATGGACCAGAGAACGCCAGGCACAGGAGGCTTAGAACACCTCAAATATGGGTGCTGATGGAGAACGTCAGTAAGAGAGATCCACTGGCCCATGTCCTGCTCATGGCCTTGCCACTGTGGGAAACAAGAGTTGGGCCTTTGGACTTCTCCTGTAGGGGTCTTCTTCTGTTCTGTTGTCCCCAGGCTGCATAACTCCCTGCCCCAGGACATCTGTGTGGCTTCCTCCTTGATAGTGTCCAGACTTCAACAGGACTCTGATCTGGCTGCCATCCAGTATGTCCTCGCTCTCGGTTTTCCTCCAGAATTGTTTGCCTACTGTGTTATGCTGTTTTTAGGGTGTGTGTCTATGATTCTTAATTGTACTTTTCTTGCTTCTTTCACTTCTCATATTCATTTTATTGTACGGCCATTTGAATTCCAGTTTTAAGTGTTCTTCACAGATACATCATGGACTGCTAGAATGAAGCTTCACAGACCACAGTTTGAGAAACCCTGCTGTCAATAAATAAGAAAAACCCCCATACTGCCCACATGTAAACCAGAACGATGTAAGGAAATACAATAAAAGTGGGATGCTGGTAGCAACTGTGAACAGCAGTGGGTTGTGGGGTGGGGGAAGGAGAAGCAAAAGGAGAGAAATATGAAGGGAAAGGGCAGAGATTTGCTGAGGTAGCCATGACCGTAGCGCATGAAACATACCTGGCTGAGAAAATATTAACTGGGACAGGTGCTGGGAGAGCGACTGAAGCACTGAAGCACCCCCAAGACATTCCACATCAGACACCAACAAAATGCTGTGGAGACAGGTCAGGGCTCTATACTGGACCATGTTCAACCTGTAAGAAAATGGAACATTCAGCACAGCCCCTAATCAAGAGCCATAAAGCAGAGAAGAGGAACACCAACAATACAACCCCCCATCAAAAGAATGGATCTTCCAGCCCCCATTTTCCTAGGGGTCATATGGCTATATGCTCCACCATGGATTGCCAGCCTTTTTGAGCCAGTGGAATTTTGTGGGTGTTAGCCACAAAATGGTTCCTGTAGAGGTATGGGAAATGACAAAATGGCTGCCGGGGGAAGCCATGTCCTAACACAAAATGGCTGCCATTGAGGTATGGCATCATGGGTGCCACATCTAAAATAGAAGAGAAAGAGAGAGACATGCCTGTCCCTTCAGGGAAAATGCTGTACTCAAATCACAGGGGGCTCTGGAAACCCCTCCTCTATTCAGAACAGATGGGAGGAAGGGTGCCCAACCCCAGCCTCCACTGAAATGTGGGCATGCTTAAAGGGATGCGTTCAAAGTAGGAAAGGGTGAGACAGTGCAAATAAGAAATGAGCGAAAGAGCAGCCCCTTATATATTGCCAATGTCCTGCATTCTGTGCAGTGGAACCAAGCCTGTGGAACTCCATCCCAATTGAGATTAGACAGGCACCTTTCTTGCTGAACTTTCTTGCTGAACATAACTAAGACTTTCTTGTTCCAAAAAAACACCTCAAATGTTTTCAAAGGGTTGTGGGGGGGGGAGGGGAGGAAAAATTAACTGAAGTGCAGCAATACAGATCACTGAAACAGACTGCTTTATTAGTATGTCCTTGTATATATAAAAACGTGATAATCATGAACTAGGCAAGTGCTCAGATGTTCAAGTGACAGTTCTTAAATAACAAAAGTGCTCTTGTCTTAATGGAAAAGAATAAAGCCCCGTTTACTCCCAGTTCTTTTTTTCAATAGCAGTGAGCCTGGATCCCATTGGAAACCCCACAAATGAGGAGACACATTGCTTTCCTAATAATATGACTGGAAACATAACGAAAGTGAATTAACTCCTACTTTTTAATAAGTGGCTTCCAAGCTGGACTGTGCATGCAGACATCAATAGCAACACTGTTGGGAAACCCAGTTTTTTCAAGTATCTAGGAAAAGAAAAAAGCTGTTATGCTTCACCACCACCAAGTACAAAATTCAAATTCCTAAGAACACCAGTTTTCCTTAAAAAACAAACGATGTTTCTAGTCCTTATGGCTGCATAGAAGTGCATGGGCAACAGTTTTAATGGCAGGATAAATTATGCAAAATATGCAATTTTTCTTGTTTTGCATAATTTGTAATTCATACAGGTTGTGGAATTGAGCATTTCTTGCTTTGATGCAGAATTTCAGTGCTTTACTGCCTTGATAATCTTCACAACAGTTATGTTAGCATCCTTGACTTCAGGAAGGAACAGGTAAAAGAAAGTTCTTTTTTGCACAGCACATAGTTAAACAACGGAATACCTGCAGGAAGCAGTAATGGCTACCAATTTTGATAGCTCTAAAAGGCAAATTCATGGAGGAAAAGGCTATGCTGTGCCTCTACAGATGGAAGCAGTAATGCTTCTGAACACCAGTTGCTGGAAACCACCAGAGGAGAGAGTGCTCTTGTGCTCATATTCTGTTTGTAGGTTTCCCACAGGTATCTGGTTGGCCACTGTGCGAACAAGATGATGGACTACAATCATATAACTGTAGTTGGAAGGGACCCCAACTGTCATTGCAGGAATCAAAACTAAAGAATGCCTGACAGATGGCCAGCCAACCTCTGCTTAAAAACCTCCAGTGAAAAGTACACAAATGAAGGTGAGTTTTACCACCAGAAAGTCCTTCCTCATGTTTAGTCAGAATCTCCTTCCTTGTAATTCAAATTCTTTGGTGTGGGCATTACCCTGTGGAACTGCAGAAAACCGGCCATGCCTCCAATCCAGGATACTTCCTTGCATTTCCCTTCCAACAGCCAGCCACTATTTTGCAGCCACCGTTGGGTTTTCTTTTTTTTGGAGGCGGGAAGTCCCACCCCAAAAGGGATTTTGTCTTCCTAATACCTACTTTACCAAAAGATACATAGGTAGACTTCTTTCTATGAAAAGTGAACCACAACTCCACATCCCAGTATCACAAAAGCACTTTTCCAGAAATGCAATTCAAAGGCCGTATCTGGAAACACAGAACTTAACTGGTCACGTGATCATCTGGACCCTGGCACACAGGTGTTGGGGGGAGGGGAGGGAAGAGGAGGACTCTACCTTCTTGGGAACAAGGTGGTTCCGAAGTGCTGTGTGCAGCTCAGCCGAAAGGCACAGGGGTGACAGAAGCTTCCCACCTTCGTTGTAGTTGTCCATAAAGGCATCGCTTTCATCGCTACTGGATAACTCTTCCCATTCGTCATCGGAGGGGTCTGAAAACATGCAGTTCTGGCATTTAAAAAAATCTCAACGGGATCATTTGTTCAATAACTTTTTAAAGTGGTATGATACTGCTTTAAATGTATAGTGCAGCCAGGGCCAAAGATAGTGGGTTTTTTCTTGTTGTTTCTACAAGAGGAAGGAAACAGAAGCCCAGATACCACCTGAGCAAGAGGGCAACAGAAATACCTTCATTGCAGCACATGTTAACAATGATTTCCAGGGCTGTCTGCTGAGCTAAGAGTAAAGCTGCCACCTGCTTCACCTCCTGCTTACTGCCCTACAAAGCAAATAACACAATAAATATTTGATATACCAGGTCATGCTATTTGTCCATTTGTTTTATTTATTTAAAGGCATTTCTAAACAACTTTCTGCAAAAAAATTAATAATCTCTACACGGTGTACACTGTGTACAGTATAAAAACGATATCCATTAGCACAAAAATGCCACCTAAAACCAATAAAAATGGCATAAAAACAAATAAAACAGCCTGATTCAGAGGTAACTGAGAAATAAGAGCCTCAAATCGCCAGATGGTTGCTTCCAGTGGCCGTGCGCGCGCGCGCGCGCGTATGTGTATTAAACAACACTCAGGATAGAATAATGCCCAGCACCACTCCATAGTACGACTGCCAAGGGGCGGACACATAATCCCCTCAATGCTAGGCCACACCACACCACACATTTAAAGTGTCATGATACCACTTTAAACAGTCATGGCTTACCTTCAAAGAATTCTGAGAGCTGTAGTTTAATGGGACCCCTCCCATTTCCATCCCAGAGCTACAATTCCCAGAGTTCCCTGTGAAGAGGGACTGAATGTTAAACAATTCCGTGAATTGCAGCTCTGGAAGGGGAGTAGAGGCCACCCAACAACCATCAACACTCGTACCATACTACATCTCCCATAATTCTTTGGAGGAAGCCATGACTATTTAAAGTGGTATCATGGCACTTTAAATGTATGGTGTGCATATGGCCCTAATCTTAGAACCCAGACCCATAGGAAGGAGCGATACCAGTGCAACACAGTGCCACCAACTCACATGTCTCAAAGACAATGACCCTATCTGGCACTGGGTTGCCTATCTCCAAGCTTAGCCAACATGGGGCCTATCAGATGCAGTTAGACTACAGCTCCCATCAGCCCCAGGCAGTATGGCCGATTTACTTATTTTATGTGCTCCTTCATATTTCCTTAAGCAGTTTACAAATTCTACCCCCCAAAAAAGAACCAATATAAGAAACACAATACAAATCCCACATTCAGCAGCAAACTGTACTACCAATCACCATCAACTTAACAATTAGCCTGCATTTTAAGTGATGTGAATAAATAAACCTTTCAACAATGAACACAAAGAACTGCCAGAAAAGCAAACTGTGTACAAATGATACATAGAAATGTTATATAATTACAATTTACAAATTTCAGAAATATTACCCACAAAGCATGTAGTATTACCAAAAAAAGGACTTAATAGAATCACCAAATTGGCTGAGGTTGATGATGCTTTTTAAAAATTTATTACCACCCTTCACCCTACACTCAGTTCCTTTAGAAAAGTGAAACACCCCCACCCCCAGCACCCAAACAGTACTGGTTTTGTATGTGTTTTTTCCAGCAGAGAAAGTCTGGCTTGCAACATCTAGGGCTAAGATCAGCCACACTTACAGGAAGTAGATCTGAAATGTCACTTTCTTGTTTGGTGGCTCCTTTAGGAGTTTCCTCCATCTCCTCATCATTATTAAGTATTGAGAGGTCCCCATCGCCCAGATTTCCCTCAGCCTCTGGTTCAGCTGAGCTTTTCAACCTTTCCACTTCCACTTCCTTCATCTGAATAATCATCTCACCAGCATCAATGGCTAAGCACTCTGAGAAAATCTTCAGGATGGCATTCATGGTGCTTGCCTGGCTACCAGATGGCAGGGTGTTCCTTATATTCCAAGTGACACCTTAAACAAGAAAGAGATTAACATAGATAAAAGCCATAAACCCTGGTTAGAGTATCTGCGGAGCAAATAAAGTGCAAGTGCTCCTCCATGAAAAACAACTCCTTGCATGTAGAAAATCACCCAGGAGAAGAGTACTAGGCTAGCTATCTCCCTGACATTCTAATTTTCTTGATGCGGGGAGTTCCCACATTGGAGAATATCCAAAACATTTGCAATTTCCCCACCTGCCAGAAGGCACTCAAGTCCACAAACAGCTGCTATCACATCATTCTGATGAATATGCAGATCAGGAAAGATAAAGATGAGGTACAAATATTGTATCTGCCCTTAGGTGAACTGGAACCCAAATCCTTGAAAGTGCCTCCACCCGTACCTTATGACCTGAAATCTGGGATGAGAGGCCCTGCTTGTGATCGCATTGGTAGGAATGGCTTCAAGACAGGGCCTTCTTTGTGGTGGGACCCAAGCTATGGAACTCCCAGGGAAAATCAGGCAGTCCTCCTCTTTAATGACATCCAGGAGAAGGGAGAGCAGATGTGACTATCATGAAGGGACCCTGCACTTCTGAATTTCCCATTACGCTACTGCCACAACACAGCACTCATTACCCTGTTGAAACCTACCTGCCACCAGAGTCCGTAAAAGAATGTCCTCCATGCCTTTCTCTGATGATAATAAGATCATTTCCAGAACTTGGTGTGCAGAAGAATCAAAGGACGACAGCAGGTCTGGATTATCTTCTGTCACAGCCTGTAAACATGATGCTGTGGAGATAGAAGAAAGCATTTAAACTGAGACTGCAATTCCAAGATGTCACTCATTAAAACACACCTGTCAAGATAACCTTACCCATACATGCCCACTCAACCAATTCAATCTGTGGAGCTGTCACTTTTACAAGTGCCATACAGCATTCTTTCTGCAAATAATTCTGTAAAGAAATTGATCCTTCAGTGAGGCAGCAGCTACACTCCCTGCCCAATGACATAAGGCAGCTGCTTTCTCCGTACTGTTTCTGGAGCATCCTAAAATATTTTGTTTGTTTGTTTGTCTGTTTAGGTAAGACTTACATGTATTTTAATATACCATATTATTTCATAATGTATATTTTTAAGCTGTTGATTTTATTTATATTGGGGGAATTAGCTTAACTTGTTTTTGCCTTTCGAGTTCCATCAGTAATTTTAATATTTATATTTTATATTTCATGTCTACTGCTTAAAGGTTTGTAACAATTAAGCAGTATATAAATGCTGCTAAAGAAGAAATAAAACAGTATGAGTTTCTTCAGCTGCAACAGGTTTCTGCCAACCACAGCTCTACCTGTGGAACTGGAATTCAATACAGTGGTACCTTGGGTTAAGAACTTAATTCGTTCTGGAGGTCCGTTCTTAACCTGAAACTGTTCTTAACCTGAGGTACCACTTTAGCTAATGGGGCCTCCCGCTGCCGCTGTGCCGCCGGTGTGCGATTTCTGTTCTCATCCTGAGGTAAAGTTCTTAACCCGAGGTACTACTTCTGGGTTAGCAGAGTCTGTAATCCGAAGTGTTTGTAACCCGAGGTACCACTGTACCAGCTTGCTGAGAGGCTCTGGAGGATGTGTTTGCCTAGAAACCCCAGAACCAGTGGACCTGAGAGAGTTTCATATCTGCAAGAGACATCTGACAGAGGCTCTCTGCGGCTGAAAACCTCCCATAAACATGTCCCTTTACTCACCCACTGCGATAGCCAAGTCCACGTTTTTGCGAAATCTCTTCAGATACTGGAGCACAACATCCAAGCAACCTTGTTTGTTGAATATAGAGACCGCTGTACTGTTACATTCGCTAACAAAGACACAAAAGGATCTTTAGCAAACCAGCTTGGCAAGCACATTGAAAACTTAATTTTAAAAAATATATATGTTTCTTTGATCCTGGAACAAAGAAAGCAATGTAAGGCTAAACCACATTTTAGCATTGCAAGGAAATACCAGTGCGTACGCTCCCTCTTCACCTCATGACCTCTTTTAAAGCCATGTAGGTAGGTGGCCATCACTGCTTCCTGAGGGAGTTCCATAGCTCAACCACCATGCGCAGTCTGCCCCCCACCAACCAACCTTCCACCTGCCTTCTTATTTACAAAGAGTGCAGGGGAAGGCCATGCCTGACGGTTTCTCCTTGGTCTTGGCGTTGCGCCTTTGTAGTACTCAGCAGGGGACAAGGATGGATACAAAACTAGAATTAGCTGCCTCTGCCTCTCACTGGTTCTGGCTCTGCCTACTGTGGGTCTCCTTGCTTTCCACTGCACCAATCTCAGTGAACAGCAGCCGCCACGGCCAGTGGGGCCATCAAAACTGGACCCAGCTCCGACACCAAGTATTTCAAGATGGCGCTCACCAGACATTCCAGAGGAGGTTCACAGCCTCGTTGGCAATATCTTCCATACAGTTCTTGTGTGTATCTTTGATTTCCTTCAGAGAGCCATTGCTCTCCTCAAGTCCTGCTCGACACTGCATTGCAAGATGGGTTACGAAGAGGAGGGTATAAAAGCAGAACAAATCAGACCAAACAGCTAGTGGCAAGAAGGCATTTGAGCCATGTTCACACCACACATTTAAAAGCACTATAGTACCACATTCCTGAGGTAGTTTAACAGCCAATCCTGGGCACCCTGGAAAGTATAGCTCTGGGAGGGGAATAGGGGCTTCCTAACAACTCTCAGCACCCGTAACAAACTCCAGCTCCCAGAATCCTTTGGGGAAAGCCATGACTGTTTAAAGTAGTATCACACCACATGGTGTATATAATTTTAGATATATAATTTTGTGATGTTAAGTTGTTTTAAACCAGGGGTCAGCAACCTAAGGCCCACGGGTCATTTGACCGGCACACGAGTGGCGCCTGAATCGAGTTGCCTGCTCGCGCGCTGTGCTAAACTGGATGCTGGACTAGATGGGCACTCCTTGGTCAGTGCCATATGAAAGCAGCCTAAGGCTGCCTAGTGAGTTAATGGCGGAGGTAGGATTTGAAATGGGAGCTTCCTGGCTCACTGCTCAGTTCTTTCACCACCATGCTGGCTACATACCTCTTTCAACAAAGCTACAAGAGGAGTCATGATATCTTTAGTGACCATGTCGTCGCAGACGTCGAATCCTCCACAAGCACTGAGATTTCTGTAACACAGCCAAAAACTTTGGGTTCAGATTCTTGTTAAAATAAGTTATAACAGATTAAGGTTTATCATCATCATCATCTGTAGCAACAACAATACATAATCAGAGAAATTTCACCTAAAACAAGAACCAAAAGTTTTGAATAACAGATGCATACATTGTCACTTGGGTGGTACAAAACATTTGGAAATAAAATAGTATTCTAATAATTAAACTTCGGCAAACTATGCTGCTGCTGTTAGTCTCTTGGACCTCTGCAAAGTAACAGAAAATCTGGTTCTCGCTATCAGGCAAGTGGGATCTGCAACAAAAGAAGAAGAGTTTGGATTTGATATCCCGCCTTTCACTCCCCTTCAGGAGTCTCAAAGCGGCTAACATTCTCCTTTCCCTTCCTCCCCCACAACAAACACTCTGTGAGGTGAGTGGGGCTGAGAGACTTCAGAGAAGCGTGACTGGCCCAAGGTCACCCAGCAGCTGCATGTGGAGGAGCAGAGACGCGAACCCGGTTCCCCAGATTACGTGACTACCGCTCTTAATCTGGGGAACCGGGTTCGCCAGTGTCTAATACTGCAGTGTCTAATGTTTATTCAGGTTACCTGCCCCTCCATTACATCCCTGCCCCCCACATTGTTGGTGTTCTGTCCACAATGCACTCAGTCTCACTGGGTCATTTTGGGAAGTTTTTTTTCTGAGGTTCTCCGCCCAAAAAGTTTATTTTGCTCTTCTACAAAAACCTAGGGGTTCCTCCTACATTGCTTGCACCTCCCCTTTACCCACGAATGCTACTCTTTTAGTTACAGTGCTTGTAGTCTGTATATTTGAAACAGAATGGTAATAAACAGGGGAGGATAAGGAACAGGGAAGCGAGATGGGGAAAGGATGGGCTTATGAGCTTGTCACTGGGCATGGAGACTATTTGCCTCAAAGCAACAACTGCTGTGATCTGGTACTCTATCTACCACAGGCTACAATGGTTTCTGTCTGGGGGACATATTGGTATAACCAGACCAATCAGTGCAAGCAATACTGAGCTAGATGGACCAATGGTCTGACTCAGCAGAAGGCATATTCTATGTTCCTAAGGGTGTACTCTTTACACTTGGTGGAATTTGCCTATGAAATGTATCGCCACTTAGATGGCTTTAAAAAAAAAAGGATTATACAGATTCATCAACCGCTAACAGCCATCACTAAATGGAGCCTCATTGTTCAGGGATAGTATATCTCAAAATATCATGTGCTGAGGACAACAGCAGGGAAAGGCTCATTATCTCCATTCCCTGATTTGGCTGCTTTCTGTAGCGTGACTGAAAAAGACATGGTCTTATGCATTTAAGTGGGGGGGGGGGGAAACAGATGCTCATGAATTCTCAGCACCCACCACCCACATGCCCTCCTGAGCATGCTTCAAAACACTGCTTTCTTCCAGCTTGCCACCATTTGTAACTCACCGAAGAGCTCCTGCCGCTGTCTCTCGAACTGCCAAACTCTTATCGAGCAGCATGGGACCCAAACACCGGACAACATCCCTCTGCAGAAAAGCTGGGATTGTTTGTTTCTGCTGCAATAGTTTGGAGATGCTGGCACAGGCAAATTCTCGCATGTCAGCACTGGGGTGTTGAAGCTAGAAAGAGGCACACAGAGGGAGGTTAGAACACCACAGGATGGGAGACGCCGACAGATTTTATTTATTTATTTTCTATACTGCCCTTCATTCAAGGATCCCAGGGCAGTTTACAATATAAAAGCTCAAAAATACACACCATAGTGACAAACAAAAACAATAACCCCAGACACAGAGCGTTTAAAAAGCCATGAATTATTTGATTAGCCAAAGGCCTGGGAGAAGAGGAATATTTTTGCCTGGTGCCTAAGGATATGGAAGGAAGGCACCAGGCGAGCCTCCCTGGGGAGAGCATTCCACAAATGGGGAGCCACAGCAGAAAAGGCTCGTTCTCATGTTGCTGCCCTCCAGACCTATCATGGTGGAGGCACATGAAGAAGGGCCTCAGCTGAGGATCGCAGGGTCTGGGTCAGTTCATGAGAAGAGGTGGATTTTGACGAATTGCAGCCCTGAGGCGTTTAAGGCTTCATAGGTCAAAATCAGCAATCTGAATTGGGTCTGGAAACTTATTGTCAGCCTGTGCAGTCGGGCCAGGACTGGTGTTATATGCTCAAACCATCTTGCTCTGGTGAGCAACCTGGCTGTTGAATTCTACATGAGCTGAGGTTTCCGAACCATCTTTAGAGGTAGCTCTACCTATAATGATTTGCAGTAATATAACCTCCAGATGAGAAGACTCCCTGTAAAAGACCCTGGTGCTAGGAAAGATTGAGGGCACATGGAGAAGGGGATGAAAGAGGACGAGATGATTGGACAGCCTAACATGAATTTGACCAAACTGTGGGAGGCAGTGGAAGACAGGAGTGCCTGGCCTGCTCTGGTCCATGGGGTCACAAAGAGTCAGACACAACTAAACAACAATAACATAACCTAGAAGTTAACAGAGCATAGACAACAGAATAAAGCACTTATTATTTGCAGTAACAACAAGCACCCTAAGAAAAGGTAGGTTGAAGACCGATCTGTCTTGTTCCTCGTGGTTCGTAGTTGAACCCTATATCTGCCTTTATCTCTTATAGGGCACGAGCAAGCGATCACATTTCAGCTTCACGCCCTTTATCAGAAGCTTCACTCGCTGATTTCTCGGGGGGGGGGGGGGAGCAGGCCAGGTCAGTTGGCAACCTCCATTCAGGCTCCCTTGGAGCGCGCGCAGGAGCAGACCAGGTCGAATCTTTCCTGGTAAGTTGGCAACCCGAGTTGAAACCCCTTGGCGGGCGATTACGCATGCAGGCGGTTTGCTTTCGCTCTCGGGCTCGGAGAGGGAAGGAGGCGGAAACCGGTTTCTCCCTCCTCCCTCCCCGCCCCGCTCTTACTTTTTCCAGCAACTCCGCGGCCGGGGATCCTGCTCCGGCCTCCCCGTCTTGCACGCTCAGGGTCCCCGCTGGAGAAAACGGCTCGTGGCGGAACCGCTTGGTCTTGCTTTTGCCCATGATCTTTGCAAACCCTGGACGCTTCCACGGCAAGGAAAGCGAGGAGAGGAACCGGGGCGTGTTGGCCTGGCCTTCACCCCCACGTGTGCGGCTCCGGCGCAGGCGCCGCTGCTGCTGCTTCCCCGGGAAACGTCCGCCCCGGATGCGCTTGCACTGGGGGCCGGGCTGCAGCCAGAAGCAGCTGGGAGACGGAGGGAGAAGCATCTCAGCTAAAATAAGCTGGGAAAAGCCTTTTCCGCCCGTTCATCCAGCTGTGTGCTTAACTCCGCAGCACGCTGGTTGGAGTTGAGAGGGGCTTGCTCCCAAGTAAGTACTGTACTGTATGCAAAGATTTGCAAATATACAGCACCAGCCGCTTCTACGTAATCATTTCAGGGGTGTTGAAATATTATGTCGCAGTTCAAGGTGGCTTTATTATTATTATTTGTTACTACTATTGCTTAATTACTTTAATTAATTAATTAATAATTAATTTTGTATACTGTCCTTCGCCTGAAGATCGCAGGGCTGTTCACAGTATAAAAAACGAGAACACAAAATACATAACCAAAACCAAAGCAATAACCCTGAGCTCAATGCCTGGTTGAAGAGAAGCGTTTTCGCCTGGTGCCTTAATCACAGGATCCTAGAATGGCAAAAGTTGGAAGGCAACCCAGGGCCCACCCTACCCCAGAGAGGTGCCTCCTCCCACTGCCCCACAAGGGCCTGGGAAGCACCCTCTGGCCAGCCCTAGAGGCACTATTCGCCTGGAGAGCTTGTAACCAGGGCTGCTGCAACAAACAGCTGTGCAAGCCTTTGCGAGGCAGAGATGGGAGAGGGCATCAAGAGATGGGAGGGAAGGAAAGAGGGACAGAGGCCCGTGTTGCCAAACAGCACCCTTGACCATCATTCAAGGCATTGTGGGTTGCCCCAGCACATTGGTTGAAAACCACTGCCGTCTTAGACTCATACTGACTGTCCTAAGAAATGGAAAGAAAAAAAGAGGTTTGCGGACAGCAGCCATAGTTTAGCTTTCTGCAGTTTGAAAGTTTTTGCAACTTAGGAAAGCCAGACTTCAAAGATTTTCAGAACCAGGCTGGTGGCAACATGAACCCAAATGCAGAACACTGCTGCATAGGCTTAAAACTGAATAAAAACATTCATGTTATTAAGGTTTTAGAAGCCCGTGAAACAACACGTGTTCCCCTCAAGCATATCTTACAGCACAGTGCTATGCACATTTCCTCGGAAGCAAGTTCACCGGGACTTACTCCTAGGAAATCGAGCCCAGGACGGAAGCATTAGTTTCTATTTCTGCAGTACGGCAAAGCGAACACTTAAATAATAAATGCAAGCTGCTTCCCACAGAAAATAATTAGAAAATGAAAGGTCTCTTATACCACATATTAGGTGATCCGCCAGTGTCAGTCTTGGAAAAATCGATGGAATTGTCAGGAAATTGCTTCGTTGCACAGAAGGGGGAGAAATGATACCCCAAGTTCTCCAGTATATTTGTCTTGATGAGAATCTTTCCCACATATTCCCTGCTGTGAAGTTTCCTCTTCCATTGTCTCAGTTCAAAATGTAAGACTGCAGCAAAGGCTGGGGAAGACTGGCAGTTTCAGTTATCTAGAAGGGGAAGGGGAGTGTTCATTTACATGCTTACGGAAAGTTAGACATGTCCAGACTAGCTCCTGGGGTCGCATGGGCCTGATTTTGAAGAAAATCATTATATCATAACAGCCGTAAAATTCAAACAAGAATAAACACTTTGTAAAGCTAATAATTTGGTACTAATACATCAAATGTTACATTCTGCCCCCCACCAAGATTTCAGAAGTTTATTTATTATTTCACAATATTGATGTGGTGTTTGATTGTAATAAAACCTCTATGAGGTTTGTGAAAGATAAAATCAAAACAGTAAAATTATCAACAAAAGACTATTAAAAACAGCTATTTAAAAACGTTCAAAAATCAACAGTAAGCATGAAAAGATTAAATGCATATTAGCATTCTACATTTCTGGATAGGCTTGCATAAACAAAAATGTTTTAAGCAGGTGCTGAAGAGTACAGCGAAGGCTTCTGTCTGATGTCAACAGGCAGGGAGTTCCAAAGAGTAGGTGCTGATATACTAAATGATTGATAAGGTCTCACCCATCAGCAATTGTGTTGCAGCATTCTACATTAAGTACCATTTCCAGATCCACAGAGAAGCCCCACAGAGAGTACACTGCGGTAATCAAATATTGAAGTTACCAGTATCTGAACTACTGTGGTCAAGCTGAGTAATTAAACCAGGGAGATCCCTTAGACTCATACTGACTGTCCTAAGCAATGGGGTGGGGGGAGGAAGAGGTTTGTGGAGGGCAGCTGTGGTTTGGATTTCTGCAGCTTGAAAGTTTCTGCAATTTAGGAAAGCCAGACTGCAGATTTTTTGGAATCAAGCTGGTGGCAACATGAACCCAAATGCATAACACTGCTGTATAGACTTAAAACCAAATAAAAACAGAACCTATCATGATCTAGGAAAACAAAAATTGAGATTTATGCAATGTTCAAAGGTCTTACTTACATCTTCACATGATCTGTAATTTAGATATTAAAAAGATTTTCAGTACTGTAATACTAAGCATCAAGTCCTCCTTTAGTTGCTTCAGTATCAAAGCATCTAATAACTGCCAATTTAGGTGATTGTTTTCTTGTATGAGGGGGTTGCATGCATGGCAAACAAACCAGAAAGTCTTCCCTTAACATTTATAGGTTACCACTTACACCAAACTGGGAAACTGGTTATTAATGGCTTCAGAACAAGACAAGACATTAAACCAACTTCAAACCACAGTGGCTTGTTCTGAACCCCTTAGCCAGAGTTTCATGTTTCAGAAGCCACAGGAAACTATGGTTAATGGAAGACTTTCTGGTTTGTTCTCTTACTTGTTATGTCAGTGGGTCAGCATTTAGTACCAAATACTTGTTCTGATAAGCCCAAGGTATTAGTGAATACCATTAATGAGAAAACTCATATGACTATATTTAAATAAAGGTCTCATCCAATTAAGTTATCCATCTCTAAGTTGCCCCAGTCTGCTAAAGACTGTCATGGCTGTTCTGGGTCTTGTCTGAAATTTTGCAGGAATACAACTACAGTACTGTATAAAATTCCACACCTGTCCTGTAGATGCAGAATTGCAGAAGCTGACCAGCCCTATACATCTGAAGCAGAGTTTTTAAAAACTGAATTTTCAAAAGTTGGTAACATGAGAAGCATTAAATGTGAAATTAATAGATTTCAGCACTCCTAACTTTTATATACTTGCAATTTCAAATACAAATGCCAGCAAACATATCATTATAAATAAAATGTTTATTTTATACACAAAAATTTACAGCACTTAAAAACACAGGTGGAGCAAGAAATGCAGAGAAGACTTCGAGAGCACAGGATTTAATTGCAGCATTCAAAGGAGAATTAAACATTGACACAAGTGCAGTTTTGGTTTCCTGTATGTACAAAATCTTCCTTGTGGTGCAGCATTTCCTACACTGCCAGTTGCTTTGTGCTCTTAAAGTTTTATACTCTTCTTAAAATAGCTTGAAACAGGTCTTGTAAAAAGGCACAGGAAGGATTTAAAATTAAATTGCTTTGTGTCAGTATTTCAAAGTCATACTATGCGTAACAGCCACTTTTAAGTTTTAACACTTTTCTGTAATAAAGGTAGATTCAGATGGCTGATTTTGCCTCTTCACAAAGCTATTTCAATTGCCATCCCCAACCCACCAAGTTCCACAGGCATTTAAGGATAGAGAATTTAACTCAGTGGCTACTGTGCATTTGTCATGCCTGATTATGATGATCCAACTGGGCAAAGGGAGGGAAATAGATGGTCTTGCATTAAGTGTCATGCTGCCTGCTCATATAATCAGATAGCGTGCCACAGCTTCGCATACTCTTCCTCCTCCGGGCATCTAACCCTCTCTTGCAATATCAATAATGCAGCTTATGCTCCACTGCATAGTGAATTAATGCATTATGCTAACATTTCTGCCAACCCTAGCTAATGTCAAACCACAGTTTGCAGCAGTGATTCGAAGCAGGCTTGCAAACTGGCTTGGCACCAAATGTGGTTAGCAAAAACGCTGGCACCAAGGAAGCAGTAACTTTCGCTAGGTCAGAAACTGAAAAGAAGTTTCACCTGAGAGGGAAAAGCACACACAGGTCTGCAGGTTGCCTAATGATGCCTAAGGACTCAGGCAGCATTATGTCAGACTGGGCCCAAAGGAAAGTCTGAATCTACCTTGAGCTTTGTTACATTGGTGGCACTTTCTTTTTATCAAGTAATCTGAAGTTAAGCAATACTAGTTTCGTGGCAAAACTACCACAGTGTAAATTTCAGATACAATACATCATTACTGTATGCCCCAAACACACAGAGGTTTTAAAATATTAAAAGCCTAAACATAGAATTTGCTGAAAATAGGCTACTGCTAATGCAAGGAACTGAAGAACAGGAGCTTTTGTGACAAAATTCAAAGTAATACGCACCAAGAAGAGTTCTGACAGAATAATTTTTTATATATAAAATGCAGCGTTGGGTGGGGAGGGAGATAGTCATGATTAATGAACAAATGTAATGGTAAAACGCTGTGTGAATGGCAGGTTTAAGTATCTCTTCAAATACTGGTTCCATTTTCTGTTTACAGTGATTTGCACATCATAAAACCCATTGAGTCCTTTTCTAAATAGAGGATCCCACCTTGCTGAAGATGAAACCCCAGAGACATACTAATACTGTCTGGCAGGGTTGGAGAACCTGTGTCCCTCCAGCTGCTATTGGACTACAGCTCCCATTATCCCTTACCCACAACTCTGTTTGCTGGGGCTGATGGGAGTCGGAGTCCCCCAGCATTTGGAAGGCTACAGCTTACTCACGCCCTGCTGCCAGAGAAGGAATTGAAAGCATAAAACAGACAAGAAAACACAAGGAAATTATGAATAAATAAACCAGATGTTTTCACGCTTTTGCTGTCAACTCAACACCCCACAATCCTATTTGGCCTCACTCTCTCAAAGAAAGTTTTTTTCTTACATTTCCACAGCAGCGAGTAGAGTTGAATGGAGATAGTGGGTTACTGGACGTGAAGCCGGGGTTTCAATATTAGTTTTCCAGTCTGGGGAAGAAAGAAATCACTTTCACATTACAGCAACTCCTGCTATGTTGGGATTACCGTACTTCTCCGTCGTCTTGCTAAGCCTATGCCAACTTGCTGTCCAGATGTTTTGAACTACAACTCCCATCAGCCCGGTCAGCATGGCCATCTGGAGAGAGCCAAGTTAACAAAGGCTGATCTAGCTTAAAGAGTGGAAACTGAGAACAGAGTTTGTTTGCAAGGATTATGAATCTAATTAGTCAGTTATTAGTAGATTAATTCTTTTCTTTTTTATATGTGAACTACAATAATAGGTTCCCAGTCTCCTGTGCAATGAATATACAGAAATTTTTTTTTTTGCATGCTACAGACCAAAGATAGCACAATATGCACCCTGATTGATCTTTCATTTCTTAATAATTTAAGGATTTCATGTCAGATAAGGAAGGCACTCAGGTTTGTCTACTAGCAACATTATAAGGAATATTTAGGCCACTTCTTATAGAAGGATATAGGGCAAAAAGATCCTTAATGTCTTAGTCCCATGCAGAATAGACCACCTCGAGCACACTGATGGGAGGAAGAAACTAGAAGCACATAGAGTAAACTGGGAACTTAAAGACAATAGAGGATGTAAGACAATGTGTACTGGAAGATTATTAGGCCAGGGAAACCAAAGCCACTTACATCATCACAGGACATGTTGTATTCTGCCAGGACTGTTCGACATCGCGCTGCTATGCTGAACAGAAAACATCAAAGAAACATACCAGTCTCTAGAGTCATGGCAAAGCAAAGCAAAGTGATTGCACTAGAGAGAAGGGGCACTGAAGGTCAGATGGGGAGGTCTCGGGCTGCATTCAGCCCTTGAGTGGTGGTTTCCCACCCAAGTTGTATGCTCTCTGTGTGTTTTTTTTTATCAGTAAAGTAATAGGTAGCAAAGTTCTGTGACTACCCTTGCACTCCAGCTATATCCTGGGAACAATTACCATAGAGTTGTTTTGCAGAGTGGCTGTAGGGTCACAAACAATGTTGTGGAAAGCGCCACCCTGAGAGGAGATGATCTTATTCACATGTCACCACAAAGAGGGAGTACAGGAGCTTAGGACCGTACTCCCCGTTCAAGAAAAGTGTTCAAACTCTCTCCGTTCTTTGACTCTGTTCTCAGAGAGAATAGAACAGTAGTTAAAAGTTTCTTCAGTTGAAATTATTGCCAGTGTGATCATGGTTAAATATATGCCAGGTACTGAATAAAGGATACATTGAGGGTGCCACCACTCTTTTATGTATTCCAGCAAAAAACAAACCTATAAGAGTAATACAGCTAACTGTGAAGAATGGATGATTCCATAGAGATGTGAAGAAAGAAACCTAGGAGAAAACCAAACAACGCTTTATGAATACACAATTAGCTTGAAATTAATAAAATTAATACAACTAAAATATTTAAATCTTCATTGGAGAGCACAATACTCAGCTAAAGAATCACCACTGCTAACTTTTAAGGCATCTGTCCACAAGTCTGCTTCAACCTACAGAAGTTGTTTTGATTTTAAAAGAAGCATATTATGCAGTCGAGAATGAGGGGCAAACAAGTTACTAATTTTAACACTAATATAAGAGGGGGAATAAATTATTAATTTAGAAATTAATATATAAAGCAACAGATTTGATTTCCCTCTCATTCGCCACTGTGAAAACAGGATGCTGGACAAGGCAAATCTTTGGTCTGATCCAGCAGGGCTCTTCATAAGCTCTGACTGACATAAAGGTCCCAACTTCCTACCTTTGCAATTATGAAGGCTAGCAGTGTCCCAAAGAATAGGCACATAGATATGATCTTAAGAACATTATAGCTACTAGATTAAGCTATAACCTAACAAGCCAAAAATCATGATGCAACCAGATCCCTGGTTGTGACACAAACATTGTTCTAGTCCACCCTGGATAGAAATACTGCACTGACACTAAACATGATGTCTAGGTTCGGCTATAGGATACCATGGGGAACTTTCCAGCAGTCTATAAAACCTGTTAATATATGCATAGCATTATGCATGAATTTATGCCACAAGTTCAAATAGATTAAATAGGAAAACAACACAGTAGCAAGACATTTGAGAATGCTACTACCCACCTTCTGCGTTTCAGGATCTATTAACCAGTTCCAGGCACCAGTTGCTGTACAGACTGATACGACTATAAGTATTACTAATGGAAAAGGAAAATGTTAGAAGCAATATATTTGCACAACATATAAGGGATAACTTCTAAAAAAGGTCTTAGTTATTCTCAAAGAACATGACAGTCGTACTAAATTGGGCGATTTACGTTCCACTGAAATAAGTGGAACCTGCAGTTCATTGAACACCACATCCTGTACCTCATTCATCCTTAAAAAAAAAATCTCTGCACAGGAACAGCCATCAATAGATAATTCTATGCAATATTCAATAGGCACAAAAAGTCAGAAGAACTGCCTTTTGTTAGGTTAGCTAGTAATTTAAATGTGTTGCAAATTTCCAAGTTCAATAAATACTTCTTCAACACATGGGTATTCAGAGCAGAAGTAACCTCTCTTCCATAGGCAACCATTAACTATAGCAGTATTCAGGCATTCCTCACATGAAAAATAGAAGCACAGTAAAGGGGGCTGCAGTGTTGTGCATTTAGCCCCATCCCTAATGTCCTGGGGCACAATTTCTGCCACTGTGTGCTGCTCCATAGACAGAAGCATGCCTCCATTAAAAGAGCAGACTCTCCGCTACAGAAGTTATGCCCTAAAACAGTTTGCCCCTCTTCACGCAAGTAATGTCTGAAGAGGACTTCTGTTTTTCTAGAATTAGCATGACTGTATTCATTAACTAGCAGCCTTGTACATGGAATTCCAATAAATCAAAAAATCAGTGCAGTTTTGAAAGGTTCAGTCTGCCATCTTCGTTCAAAATAGAATCCAATTGTATTCAAATATAGATGTTTGCTCCTTGATCTCAGGAATCATCATGCAAATTTTGGTGGCAATATCTTAAGAGGTGTTCAAACGCATAGTGAACACATAGGAGACGCAGATGCACTTAAATAGAGATCTTTCGTGTGGGAAATCCAGAATAAAACCCTGCTCAGCTGTAAAGGAATCACAAGGGTCTTGAGTAAGTATCTCTAAGCCTAACCTACTTTATAGGATTGTTGGTATGCTTAAAAAAAAAAAAGTTGCTGTTCTCATCTTAGTTCCAAAAATAACGGCTTTCAGAAGTTCAGGACACCACTGTACTATAGTTCTCTTTGGCAGTAAGACAGTATTATTTATCCTATATTTTCTTTTCTTATGCAGAATTTTGCATCACAAATATATCATAAAAGCTACTGAAATGTTAATACTACACTATGTAGGTACAATTTGATCGAAGCATTTATAGGCAAATTTGTACTGCTCTTAGAGAGCTTGACTTACTTCTCCAGCGTCCAGTAGCTGGTTGTAAACAAGCTATATATTCAGTAAGCCTTCTTTCAAAAGCCTTGAGATCTGAAAGAAAGAAAGGCAACCATCTAATTAGACTTATGCTGAAATACTATACTTACTGGAAGTAAGCATCATTGAACAAAATGGGGCTTACTTTTGAGTAGACAAGTATTGGATTGTGGTGTTAGACTGTTTTAAATTTACTTTACACTAGTGAAAAAAATGAAGTAGGGCAGACTTTATTCCAGATTAGTTAATCAACAACACATTCACTAGGTTTGACCACCAGCATACAGCTCTCCACAGTTTACCCAAAGGGAATGCAGCACACAATTGAAAAAAGGTTTGACTATCCCCATCATACACATTTTGCAGACATTAAGAAGAGGCTTTCAAAATACTCGGCATAGTTGCCTCTATAGCAACAATAAACAGTACTAATAATAGGTCTAAAATAAGGTCATATTGCACCATCTGTGAAATATCCCCTAAACCCTGCCTTCAGTAATTTTGTTCTTTTTGACAAAAGTTCAGTTACTAGTGGCTTCAAAAAACTCTACAGATTTGCTTGTGTTCCTTTTAACAACCACCTGATTTACAGAAAGCAATTGAGGAGCAACTTGAAGGCATGGAGATAAAAAAAATAATACTGTCTTATACTGATGTCTAAAATGGAAAGTGTTTTGTAGCACTTAGATAACATAAATAAGTGCTACAAAACACTTTCCTTTTTAGACATCAGTATAAGACAGTATTATTTATCATTTTCCATGAAACCTCCGGAAGTCGTTTAACATTGGAATTGTATTTAAAAACAATTTAAATTCCACTACGGATACAGATTGGGATTTAAAAACAAAAACAAAACCCTCAATTCAAGAGGCTTGTTGGAAAAGGAAGATCATGAATTGGTGCTGAACAGATATTATTTATTTTATTTATTTCACAAAATTTATACCACTTATTTATTATTTTAAAAATCAAATCAGTTTAGAAAGAGAATAAAACAATAAATAAAATTATCAGTAGAAACAGTTAAAAACAACTATGCAAAATATTCCAAAATAAAATAAGCAAATAAACTAAAAACAGATTAAAACATACATCAACATTCTACATGCCTGGATAGAGAAAGGCGCCTGCCTTATATCCATAGGCAGGGAGTTCCAAAGTGTAGGTGCTGTTACACTAAAAGATCTATTTCTTATAAATGCAGAACGGGTATTATGTGGCACCTGCAACGGTGCCGGTTCCGCAGACTGGTCAAGTGGGCATATATGGGGGTGAGGCGCTCTCACAGGTAAACTGGCCGCAAGCTTCGATGGGTACAGCACTAACAAAATGTTATTATGGTGTAAGCTTCTGCAGACCTGAATCCACTTCACAAAAGCTTATGCCACAGCAACAACATTTGTTAATCCTTACCCAGTGCCAAGGTCCTGCAACAAGACTGTCACGGTACGACTCGTCTCTCGAGGACCAGTCTGCTGTTTCAAGGCACAACCACATGGGCCAGTTGGATAGTTGTCAGCCCTGCAGCGGGAGGACAATTTAATCAGGAAGACTAAGTTTTGGAGGTCCAGCCGCTTTCTTTCTCTTCCGCGACGGCTCGCTGCCGCAGAAACTCGTTTGGGGACACTGAGAGGAAGAAAAGGAGGATACAGGACAGGCAAAATGTCCTTTCCCTGGAGGGAGGCTGGTGCCTTTATGACGCCCCCCATCCCGCCTCAGGGGAACCCCGAATTACCTTCCGCCTGTTCCAGCGAGTTCATTGTGAGGGCCAGGGAATAAGGAGAACTCGCAGACTACCACCATTCACAGACGCAAAGTCTATGGTTTCCTTCCTCTTCCTCCACCTCCTCCCGTTCATGTAGCGCCGTAAGCTCTCGAACTTCCTTCAAATCAATGAAAGCGTCGCTTCTTTCTATTGGGCAGTTTCTCCCTCAAGCGCCCGCCGTCCAACAAACCTCATCTTCATTGGACAGGCTACGTATGGGCAAGAGGCTGAAGAAGGGAGGTGAAGGGAAAGGGCAAAGAAGAATACGCATGCGTAACGGTCAGTAGCGTTGTGCCGTCGACCACCCATCGTCTGGTCCCTAGAATTTGTTAAAAGTTGCTGCAAAAGATCCTTACGTTCCTGCTGTGTCTTTGCAGAGGTTTCACTGACAGTTAGTTGACCGATGAACGTTATATATTTGCACTTCCAGGGTGGTTCACAAAATAGTGCAAACAAATTCTAAAAGATCACATTAAACTTCTGTAAGGTATTATTACCACTATCAGCACCACTACTATGCTTATTAGCCAGGTCTACTACTGTAAGAGACAGCAGGAACAACAATGCTTGGATTTCTTGGTGCTGCACGTTATTTGCTGCCGTTGTTTATCCCCCAGTGTTAAAGAAAAACCCAGGCACTATTTAAAAATTAAGAATTTAAGACAGTCCTTGCCAGTCTTCACTAAAAGCACTAAATGCCTTCAGTATAAAATAAGGGATCTCTGATTTGACCTTTGTGAGGTTTGCTGTGTCACGCTGAATTATTTGATAGCTTAATTGTTATTTAACTTAATTTAAAAAAAAAACAAAAAACTAAGGCTAAAGTAAGTTCTAACTCAGGCTAAACCAACACTGAGTTACTGTACTTTTAACTCAGAAATAAACCTCACTGGAACTTATACCCCCAGGATGAAGCAAAAACAGGATTGGAGCCATGCAGCCATGTCCTCTAGTTGTTTATAATTTTGGACCAGTGTTTGAAACTCCCATTGTTCTAGGGGCATTTTGCGACAGGGAATTTCATTAGTGGGAGCAGCTTCTGAGTTCTGAGCGCAGTACTGCGCCTAAGATTTCAGATTAAAACTGCAGAGTGGAGGAAAGGGGGATCTTTTTCTGCCTCCCCACTTCCAGCTACTCTGAAGACTGGAGAAGAGACCCTCTTAAGAATATTAGGGGGCTGAGCAGGGGAAGGACTAGAGACCATGGGAAAAACGAACATAATATTTTAGGGGCAGTTCATTCATTTTCAGCTTTCTATTCTTGTTATGAAAAAAACACACCTAGACATTCCGTTGTTGCGCCCACACCCTAGGTTTAAGGTGTCATTTAGCCCCTAGCTTTCATACATAAGTTTCTTAACACTGTTTTGGACTAGGACTGGGAAGAAGAGGCAGGATCAGATCCTTTGTTGTTATTGTACTGTATTCGCACTCTTGACTTAATGACGTTCCCGTCCTTTGTAAGCCCCCACTGGAAGAAAGGCGGCTGAGAAACATTTCGAATCAACAAGCCAGCTAAGCGTACATAGGGATGCATTTTGAGGCCGGGGAGTCGCCGCAGACTGCCGTGCCGTTGCCATGGAAACCAAGCAGGCCGGGGCCTAGCTCAGCCGCGGCGCCGGGGGCGCTGTGCGCGTGCGATGGTCGCCCTTCGCTTTCGGCCCTCGGGCTGGCAGGCAGGCGCACGAAGGATGCTCCGCCCCGCGGAAGAGGTGGAGCCGGGGATGGGCGGTAGCGTGTTTGTCTTTGATTCACGCCGCTGCCGCTGTTGTTGCCACCGCTGTTGTTACCGCCCCGGCCGCGCTCTCTCCCAGTTTCCTCCTGACTGTGTTTCATCTGCGGGAAGGGAGAGAAAAGGTTGAGGCCGTTTCGGGGGGCGGCGGCGGCGGCGGCGGCGGAAGAAGATTCGTGAAGCCTTGAACGTGTGAGTTGGGACGGGGGGGGGCTCGACTGGGAAGAGGGTAGCAAGACGGCGATTCGAGGTGGGGAAGTGGATTGCATATTTGTTCCGCATTACTCCCCGGGTCTCTGGGTTGTTTATAATCACCATTGTGTTTTTCTTCATCCGTCCTTTATGCCAGGAACTCAGGGTGGCATACCATGGTCCTCCTCCTTCTCCCTTTCTCGCTACCATGTTATTCTCACAACAGTCCTACGAGGTAGTTGAATGCGACAGGCTCAAGCTCACCCAAAGAGCTTTTGCTTTTGGGGGGATGGGTTTGAGTAGAGATTTGAAGCTGGGTCTTCTTGTTCCTAGTCTCACATGCTTAACTGAAGTGGTGCATCGGCTCATTATTTGTTTGTTTTAGTCTTTATATCCAAGCTTTCCTCTAAGAGGAGCTCAAAATGGTGTACCTAGGCCTCCTCCTCCTTCCCTTTTTACCCCCATGAAGTAGGTTAGGTAGTTTAGGCTGAAAGGGAGTGACTGGCTGAGGTCACCCAGTGAGGATTGAAATCTTGGTCTCCCAGGTCCAGTGCTGTAACCATGCTGGCTCTCAATAACATTTGGTATTGGGGAGGCACACAAACGCACAATCCACAGCAAAACTGTTAAGATGCTCTACCACTAAAAATCCAAAACAGAATGAGACTCTTGCAAATCTTTCCCAACTATGAGCCTTTGAAGAAACTCAACACGAACCATTTCCTATTCCTCTCCTCCACACCCATACTGAAATTTTTTGGCTAAAAATAAAACATATTTTGGCAAAAAGACCCTTGTGGCTTTAGAGTGGGAAGCGCTCCACTCCTGCTCTCCCTCCCAACCCCCCCCCCACCCATTGCTGCTTTTATTCTAAGCTGCCTTTTCTAGGTATTAGATTCAGGTAAGTAGCTGTGTTGGTCTGACATAGTTGAAATATATTTTAAAAATTGTCCAGTTGCACCTTAGAGACCAGCTAAGTTTGTTCTTGGTATAAACTTTTGTGTGCATGCACACTTCTTCAGATACAGTACACTGAAACAGAAGTCACCAGACCCTTATATATAGTGGGAGGGTGGGGTGAGGTTTTTCTCAGGAGGGTAGTAAGAGATGGGTGATTGACTCAATGGGTATGGTAAACCTGTTGACGACTGTTAACAACTGAACAGGAATCCAAGGATAAATGGACATAAATCTGACATCAGGAATCACAAGACAGAGAAGCCAGTAGGAGACTACGTCACTCTCTCAGGACATTCAATACAGGATCTCAAAGCAGCTGTCTTATTACAAAAGAATTTCAGAAACAGACTTGAAAGAGAAGTTTATGAATGTCAACTTATCATTAAACTGAAAACTATGGGGAGACCTGGTCTCAATATAGATATTGGATTTCTGTCTCATTATATATGCTGATCATCTGCATACTATCCCTTGCTTTTTCCTGTAGGACTAATTGCAGTCGTTAACAGCAAATTCCTGGGCTGGCTTATGCAAACCTACCTGGCTAAGCTAAGGCTATCAAGAGAACAATAGAGGACATTAAAATATAATAGAGCTTCTTGCCCCAGGTATGAGCCATGGGCTCTTGCCACCCATTGGCAGAGAGAGGGAGGCAGGCATCCAGCTTTTGTAACAATATTTATATATTTGGCAGAATTTGTATTACATGTCCTCTTCCTCTGCTTAATCAAAGAATCTCCAAATCCCTCCCTGCTATCTTAATCTATATTTGCGCTGCTTTGTGTGTTTTTTGCACAATGTACGTAATCGTGTTTGAACTGGTAGCCTGTAATTATATGCAGCATTTTGTGGACTGAAGTTCCCCAGAGAGGGTAAGAGTGTGTTTTTTCTGCGCTCTTGTGATGGAAAAACATAAGGCATCATTCCTTATTGGAGAAGCAATTTTTTTTTTTTAGTGGAAAAGAACAGAAAGTTCAGTCCACAACCTGTCTCTTCATTTAGGTGGGATCTGCCCACCCCCAAAGAATATCCCATGTAAGCTAGACTATCGTGGTACATAAACACATAAAAATATAGTTTCAAGAAGGTCACATACCATGGGGGAATTTCTAAATTCATAAACCTTTCCGTTAACCTGACTTGGGAAAAGACATTTCTAATACTAAATATTAATAGGCTTTGAATGTGAACCTGGAGACTCCCTCAAAATAAATGACATTAGAAAGCAAGTCTACTTGACCCAGTATCCTGGTAATATTTTTTGCAGTTCCTTCACTTTTTTGTGAGTGAAAAGGTGAATATAGTTAATGAACAAGTTAATTTGGAGTAAGAAAATGTCTTGAACATTTGGCCTTTGTTTCATTTCAGGAATGAAGTGATAGTCTGAAGGAAACATGTGGTTAACTGTGTCTTTATTGGTGTAATGGTTGTCATGTGAAGAGAAGGTCTGTGAAATATTTTTATTTTGGAAATAATTCACCCTGATGAAAATAATAGTTTTTCCCCCCTCATATAGAAACTGAAATGTCTTCGTGGGTCAAAGTAACTACAGATCAAGCACAAACACCTGTTCCAGAAAAGAGGTAAAATAAAATTGCATTATCTGTTTGTTCTTCTACAGTTAAAAATGATTGGTTGGAATTTAATAATCCCAGAAGCTGTAGTTAAATTGTTTTACTACTACTTCTACTTCAGAGTTAGTAAAATGCTCTTAATTACTTAGTCGAAGGGTTGGAAATCTGTGGCACTCCAGATGTTATTGGATGCCAACTTCCATTAGCCCCAGCCTGCATGAGTAATATTCAGGGATGATGAGAGCTGGTCTAACAACATCTGGAGGGGCAGAACTTCCCTGCCCCAGCTTTACTCCCAATTTAATGATCATTTCTTTTTAAAAGCAACACAGTATATGTTTCTAAGTGCTCTGCTAAATACTTTGAAGTTGACATTTAATAATACAAGAGATAATCCCGTTGATGTCATTCAGAATTCTGCGCATAAATGTAAGTGCAATTATAAAACCTTTAGAAACTACAGGCGAAATTCACTTAAAGGGCTTCCACTTGCGCAACAGGGCTTTCTACCCCTCTCCTGCCTGCACCCGCCCAAAAAGTGGTTCTGGGGGTGTCAGGAAAACCCCCAGATCAGGATGTAATGGGGGGAGCGTTCTGTCTGGCAATCGGAAATGATTGCGCAGTCCAAACATTTGTTACAGTCCATGTGGAATTCTACCCCATAAATATATTATGGTCACATCCTATCACCCCCCTCCACCTCGTTAGTGACAGGTATTTGCCTTAGTTCAAGTCAGACATTTGGTCTCCAGCTCAGTGCTATCTACCGCTGTGCTGACTGGCCACAGCTTTCCAGGGTTTCAGACAGAACTCTTTGCCAGGCCTTCCTGGAGATGCTCGAGATGGAAGCTTCTGCATTCAGAGCATGTGCCCCTCTACAATCTTGTTCTCATTTCAAGTCCTGTAGTGACTACCCACGCAGTGAAGAGGATGCTACCATGTGGCAGCATGGAAAATGCAGGGTGATGGGGGGCACTGTAATATTATTTAAGTACATTAAATAATAACAGCCTTTATCTCATGGCATGATCAGTTGCCATGATTACTGGTAACCACGCAGTGAGGTTATAAACAACCACCAAACAATGTTTGGCCTTCTGCAACTACTCTCTCTTCTAGAATTGAGTGAGATGAGGAAAGCAAGTGGAATTTTAAAAAATGAGACTCTTTCCTTAGTAAGAAACATTTGAGGCAGTTGAAATAAATTATTGGTGAGAAGAAAAAGCATTTGCTGTACTGGGTTTACTGAATAATATTACCAATCTTCCTTCTGTTTTAGAAGCTAATAATAGTTTTCTCAGCTCATTGCTAGCAACTGGTGCACTGATGAGATAATCTTGACATTTTAAGATGGAACCTCATAAGTAGTTACCTCAAGTATATTTCTTACGTGAAAAAGCAGCTCCCTGTTGCTGCTTTGCACCAGCAAATGGCTGTTATTATCACATATTCCTTGGCAACACTGCTTGTCCTGGGGGGTTTATCCCACCTTGTTTTCTAGTTGCTTCAGTACACCAACTAGCGCATGCCAAATAAATGTCTTGCACAGTGGGACATTTCTGTACCAACAAGGATTACTTGAAGAGTAACTTTACTTGGAGTAAAAGATTGGAGTTGTGTGCTATATTTAGTACCATTACATTGTTGGGCAGTATAATGAACACTGAGTTTCTTGGCCTCTTGGGCTTTATATGTTTGAGTATTTAGATGGAAGCTCTGCTTAAAGGGTTCAGAACGATGCTTCTTATGTTCGAAGTTAAGCTAGTTTCTTCATCAGAACTGAATTTGTTTTTATCTGTCCTTTAGCTATAGTTAACAGCAAATGAGGCAAGACCAAGCAGCTGTCATCCTTATGCTGTCTCTGATACTTGACATAACTTTCCAGACTATACATCTGTTGTCCTTTTTTCTTTTGGATGGGTTTCTCTACCCAACCTGTGCAGACTTCAAATCCAGCAGCTTAAACAAATATGTGTAGCACAGCTGGATTGCTGAGTTCATCTGGAAGGGGGCAGGAAAGGGTGGTTGCACTATTTGTGTCATTCCCCGTGATATGGCTTCTAGACTTAAAATATAATACTACATCGTAGTGGTTCAAGGGAATCATTGACATAATTCATTGACATGAGTAGCATGCTGCAGCTTCCTTAAATCATCATATGGGATTGGGGGGGCAACTCCCATCTCTTGCGGGGGCGCAATTAGTGCCAGCACCGTCCATTAAGAGTTTGGGTGTAATCTTCGATACCTCCCTCTCTATGGAGGCGCAGATTGCAGCTACAACAAAGGCTGCATTTTTTTCATCTCTGCCAAGCTAAGCAGTTGGCTCCTTACCTCTCTCGCCCTGACCTAGCCACTGTGATCCACGCGACGGTCACCTCCAGACTGGATTATTGTAACTCGCTCTACGTGGGGCTGCCCTTGAGACTGACCCAGAAACTCCAGCGGGTGCAGAATGCTGCAGCGAGACTCCTTACGGGGTCTTCGCTGCGAGATCACATTCACCTGGTGCTATACCAGCTGCACTGGCTCCCGGTGGAGTACAGGATCAGGTTTAAGGTGCTGGTTTTAACCTTTAAAGCCCTATACGGCCTAGGACCCTCGTGCCTGCGGGACCGCCTCTCCTGGTATGCCCCACAGAGAAACTTACGGTCTTCAAATAAAAACATCTTGAAGGTCCCAGGCCACAGAGAAGTTAGGCTGGCCTCAACTAGAGCCAGGGCTTTTTCGGCCGTGGCTCTGATCTGGTGGAACACTCTGTCACAAGAGACCAGGGCCCTGCGGGACTTGACATCTTTCCGCAGGGCCTGCAAGACAGAGCTGTTCCACCAGGCCTTTGGCCAGGGCACAGCCTGACTCCCGCCCTCGGCAATCTTCACGGAGCTCTGGCCCAATGGTTGCCAGTAGCTTGAATTAATTAATTTTATAATGAATGATTTTAGAGTGTTGTTTGTGCTGTACTTTTGTACTGTTTTATTGTTGTTAGCCGCCCTGAGCCCGGCTTCGGCTGGGGAGGGCAGGATATAAATAAAATTTATTATTATTATTATTATTATTATTATTATTATTATTATAATATCTGTTACTTATTATTTTTCTTCTCTTAATGCTTTATGATGTTAAATAGTTTCTTCTTTACACTGTTGAAAATCTATTATGTTTGAGTTGCTCTATAGCTATCCCTCTCTAGGTTCAGACAACCTCTTTCCCAAGAAATCAGATTGTTGAACATTATCCTTCCTGTTCAGAACCAGAATAAGCATTTCTTAAGATGCCTTGCTTCCAACTGGGTTTCTAATGCATCATGTTTTCACCTTTTTCTTTTAATAGATGGTCCCATTGTAAAAATAAAATAAAAAATGCACTTAAGTATTTATTCATTTAAGAGATCAGAATTTAGTATGTCTTGGGTTGTAACTTTTTGTAAGATACCCTCAGACTTTTCATAGACCAATCTATTACACCTTTATTATCTTGTATATTTAATTCCTCCCATCCTCCAAGAGCATCAAAATACTTCATTGATAATTATTTGAGGGATTTTTTTCTTACATTTTACATTTATGATACATACTTCTAGGTGAATTTCTGTGCACTTCTATGTGTATGTGAGTCATGCACCTTATTTTTCTGATTTTAAGTTTTTAAAAATTGTTTTTAAAATTGTTTTTTTTTAGGGTGAATGGTAGGTAATAATAAAAAAGAATATTAATACAGGCAATACTGGCTTCTGTTCTTCCCCCGTTTTTAAAAATACATAATTTCATATTTTATCCTTTCAGCTTATCATTCTGTCTTAAAGCATTTGGGATTTATAAGGTCTTCATATTCGAAGACAATTTGCACCTTTTACTTCTACAGTGATGTAATTAATGACAGATGCTTGCAGCATATCTTCTGCATAAGTTAACCTACTTTTTCCCACTTTGGGTCTAGGCATAGACCTGGATGGATTCCACGACTTCTAGAGTAAGTAATCCTCAATCTTTTAATCATTTAAAATACTTTTTTTTAAAAAACCTTCAAATAGTTTGATGGTTATGTTGTCTTTTTACATTTAAATATAAAAAGGAGACATTGCTTTTGCTGTTGTTGTTCTTTGGAATTACCTTCTTCTCCGATTCACCCTACTAGCATTTGTTATCCTAGGTCAGTTGTTTAACTTTGTGGTTCTGTTTTGAGGGGAAAGAGTACACAATTTCTCCGGCAGTTACATTTTTGGATAGGAAAATAAGCATAGGAAGCCAATACCAGTTGTGCAAAGAGTCAGTACAGTGGAGCAGCTCATTAGCCTATCACACTTTCTCTTTTCAGAGTGTGGTTGTATTTCCATGAGTATCCATAAGTGGCCAGCAGGCAAAGCTGGCTGAGGAATCAACCACCTAGTGGGATTTCTGCTAAATAACTACACATAGATGAACCTGGCAATCTTGTACTATATTGTAAAAGTAGAACTGAGCTTTCCAGAAGAGGTGCAAACAATGGCAATCCAGCATCTTAAATATGTTACAATTTTTGTGCCTTACAGCATAAATCCTTACAAAACCTTTCAGAAGAGCTCTTACTCGTCTCCAGAGGGTTATTCGAAGGACTATGAAGATGCTAACAGGTTAGAGGGTTTTTTCTCAGTACTTATTTGAATAATAACCTGACCCCATCCCCAACGCTCAAAGAAGATGTGAAACCCAATGTTAACAAATAAGCTCATGTCCTAAAATTTCTTCTTTTCATCAGATATATTGAGACATTTCAGGAAAACTGGGCTATATACTATTTTGAAACAGATACAGACCAATGGATTCAGCACGTAACAGTGTTTTGAAAGTTCATTGTATTCAATTAGTAGGATTTAAGTATGGTTTCTTTTTACTTGGCTCTTTATGAATTCACTTTAAGGGTATAACATCATATGAAGTTCATACATACACTTTTATTTTTAGCTTTTAGAAAAGGCTGAATTTCCATAATATATTTATTCCCAACACCTAGAAGTGGCTGATCTCAAGCTCTCTTTGAGCATAACTGCTAAAACCAGCCCATATGGCTCTTACATGGTGGCTTTAGGCAGGCGCTGATTCCATGCGAAGCTGTGGCCTTTGCATAGCATGCCCAGCACCACACTGACCAGACAGTTTCTCATGCCATGAAAGTACCCTAAATTTGGGAGGACCACAGCTCCGTGGTAGAGCACATGCTCAGCATGCACAAGGTCACAGGTGCATTTCCTGACATCTCCAGTTAGAAAAGGAAGGATAGCAGTTGGTGTGTAAAACTGCTGTCTTGAGATGTTGGAAAGTGGCTGCCAATCAAAGTAGATGATGCCGACAAATAAGTACCTGAGTCTTGCCTGCTACAAGCGAATTTCCTGTGCTCTAAAATTGCACCTAGATATATGCTATATACTTTCAGTTTAGAAGGTGATTTACAATTCAGTTTGAAGCAAATACCAGCAGTTAATCTCCTAAACAAATTGAATCAAATGGGGGGGGACAGCAGCCCAAGAGCCACAGGTACACATAACATGCACACATGTTATATATATATAATGCCATGTGATTTATTTATTCTTTATTTTATACCTTCATATTATTAAACATTGATTCAAAAGTTCAATCAAATGCCTCCCTCAACAATATTACCAGGACACCCCACTATGCCCTTGTCTTCTGGGGTCCCAATTAGCTGTATCACTGGTATAAGCATTGCACTAAGTGACCAGCAGCGTGCTTCATCAAGAAAAATGTTTATACATTAATCACACGCCCCAGTATGAGAAGGTAAAGAGAGAGAGTACTCTTCAAAAACAGGAAGTTTTATTTTAACTCTGCTTGATTCACTTTTGTGTCTTGTATGGTTAGCTTTGAAGAACTCTTCGGGCAGCAATATCATCCATCAACAGGGAATGAAGATAATTATGAGAGATACCAATATTCTCAAAAAGGTAAGAGAGAGTTTCTCTGGCAGCTTGCACCAATGATCAGTGATAGGCATGTCAAATATTGTTGGCTTCTGTTTCTCAGTCCTGTGGGCCAAGATGCCTGTTATGTATTCCTAAATTCTGACTGTTTACTTGGGAGCTATTAAAATGTGTTGACTTGCCTACCCTGAAATTGCAGTTGTCTTAGCCAGGAGAGGGTGCAGTCCTTTAAGCAACTCCACTTCAGCCTGTCTGGGTATCTCTTTAGATGATGACTACACAAAGGACGTTCTTCGGGACAAGCTGTACTTGCAGTTTTACCAGCAGTTAAAGAAGGAGTACGACAAAGACCGACCTTCAGACTGTGTCATTGTTTCCATCAGCAAGGATCAAGCGTGAGTTTGTTTTTAAAGATGTACTTAAGGATTCGAGCTGAGCTGTGAACTAACATCTTAATGTGTAATTTGGTTTTGAGCAAATACAGCTAATCTTTTTAGGATTTCTCTGCTTCCATACCAAAATTTTACCTGAAATGGTACCAGCTGTGACAGTTATGCAAGCCTAAAGCCTGTATTACATGGGATAGCAGCAGGGGTGTGTCTTTAAAGTTGGACCTGCCTTATTTGCATGTAAGGAGAGATATTAAAGGGACATGCCAAAACTTTCCCTCAGGTTCTTTTCTTAGCTGTGTTGGTATTGGAGCCTCCCTGGGAAAAGCACTTAGTGGCATGGGCAGTGGGGATAAAAGTAATGGGGGTCAGCTCCTACCACCCACACTCTTTGTGCCCTTTAAACAACCCCTCCCCAAAAAAACTGTTTTGTATAGTGTGGCAGACTTTCATTTAAAGATGTGGGCCTGCCATGATCCAGTGCAGTTTGGGGCTTAATTCGTGTGCTTCTTGAAGCTGTTACTTTTGATTACCAGTTTATACTTAGCAGGAAGGTCGCTTTAAACAGTGTTGCAGTGTTGTTAATTTGTATCACGGTAAACACAGTCTTTATCCATCAACTAGCAGGTTGCATATATGTATTCCCCCCCTTTGATTTTCTTGTATCTTTTTGTAAACCGCTTTGAGGCTTTTTTTGCTTTTTTACAGCCAAGCGGTCTATAAATTTTATGACATTAATAATTAATTTTGAATCCAATTCTCCACGTATATCCCACCCCATACTCCTCTCTGAATCTTAAATGTACAATATGAACCAAGAGAAGTTTCTCTTTTTTTGTATATTAAGTACTGTAAGTACTTACATTAAGAGATTATTCTGCAATCTTAAAGTTTCCATTTATAAACCCACTTTTTCCTTGATTGCCCAAACAGAAATTTGATGTTCCCATAATGTAGTGCTGGTAATTAGACTTTAAAAAACAGCAACACACTTTCTCAATATTTCAACACTTTTTAAGATTAACGTTTGAATGACAAACCAAGCTGAATGAATCTTGTTCACGAAGCATACTCTAGGTTTACAGGACTGTGGGTTTTCATAAAGTTGGTAGTCTGGCAGCCTGTAAGATTGTTTAATCAATTAGATTGTACTGTTATTGAGTACTGAGTGTTTATGTAAGCCGACTTGGAATGCTAGGAACTTCAATAAGCATATCAGCACCTGATATTTATCATTCTAGGTTGCTTCTTAAAATAGCTTTTACTTCTTTTATATTCTTCTTAAAACAAAATACATATTTATAGTCTTGTACTCAACTACTTGTTAAAACCTTTCATTGTTTTTAACATTTTGGTGTGGCCCCTGCCCGGAATATTTTCTAATACAAAGGGTGTCTATCAGTTCAAGACAAATATGATGCTTCTGCTTCTAAGGAATGAAATTTCCATGATATTTCAACCAAGTCTTTCTCACTTTGTCATTCCAACCTGACTCTTCAGTCTGTTATAATATTAACTAGAGCTTCTTAATTTGCTCTGAAACCACCCCACTGAAAACTATTTTCTGATTCTCCACATAATGGTCAAGCATATTTTGAGTCAAAACAGTAATGGCCATCTCTTTTAAAGTGCCACAGTTAGCTGTAGGCTTTCACTGAAAAAGTTACCAGCATAATTTGAACACCTTATTCACTGAAAGTATATTGAATCTGTGTGATGATGTTTAAGCATGCCTTAAATATTCTTAACTTTCCCTTGGATATTATACTAATAAGAAAAATATAGGGTGGTTGTATTAGATTTTTTGCTTTGCTTTAGTAAGCGATTTCCATGACCTCTTCTAATTTCCCATCCAGTAGCACATGGAAATGTTGAATACATTTCTGCCTTTCATCCATTGGGCCGCTAATATCACTAGCAGATCTTGGGAGTCCATAGAGCGGGATATATTGGAGATATCATTTGGGTCTCTCGTTAGACCTCTTCCTACAATCTTCAGAACACGAGCACCGTCCTTTCTGGTTGAATGACCACCTCCCTTTTTAAATCCAGAAGAGTCATTGCAAAGTAACACTTACTAAAACGTTTGCCCAAATGTAATAAAATGTTAGTTAGCAACTGTTCATACTTTCTCAGGTAGATGAGGTTAATGCATGTCTTTAAAGCTCTCTAATATTGTACTTTCTATTAATTTCAACATTGGCAATTCATTTTACACTTTATGGACACAGACTTTTAACATCACAGTGCGTGTTCTGTGCATAGTACCTATATTTTATATTGCTGAAGCTCCAGGTATGTGAATCAACATATATTACAAAGGTTGGGGTACCCATAGTTAATCACATTATATCATCCTGGCTGGCACTCAGTGCCATCTAACTGGATAAACTTGAGTGTTTTGCCCACTGTGGTGTAGTGGTTAAGAGCGGTAGTCTCATAATCTGGGGAACCGGGTTCGAGTCTCCACTCCTCCACATGCAGCTGCTGGGTGACCTTGGGCTAGTCACACTTCTTTGAAGTCTCTCAGCCCCACTCACCTCACAGAGTGTTTGTTGTGGGGGAGGAAGGGAAAGGAGAATGTTAGCCGCTTTGAGACTCCTTAAAGGGAGTGAAAGGCGGGATATCAAATCCAAACTCTTCTTGTTCTTCTTCACATGATTTTATCTTTTTATCTTGGTTGTAAAATTAAAGCCTTTGAAATTGATTTCCTGTCCATATTTAGCATGGAATGACCCAGATTGAGAACCTAGTTGCATTGCCATGATTTCATAACACGAAAGGTGTTTTTTGTTTATAAAGTGCTAGTAAAAGTCAAAGAATACATGTACTGCCATAACCAGTTGGTAATTTTCCTAATTACTTTGATATTTAATTCTTGCTGTCCTACCAATTTGGATTCAAAAATACATTTAAAATAACAGAATATAAAGTTGACATGTCTTCACATACGCATTATCAATTATGGTGCAATTAATCACACAGTGATAAACAAATTTCCATACACACCTGTTTCCAAACCCCACAAATTCCTATTTTACAGGTGTTCATGAGTCCACACTTAAGTGTATTTTGTCCAAATGTTCCTTGACGCCAAGCGGTTTTGCAGCTTAACAGTAACTGGAAAATTGAACCAATGTATCCCAGTTCAGGACTCTATGCAGCCTTGCTTGAATGGATTCCTCAGGCAGCCAAAGGCTTTGCTATTCAGTTTGGTATGATAAAGAAATCTGTGTTTCCCAAAAGGGAAAACTAAATGAAAATAAGAAGAGTATTGCCTCACCAACAAGTGTATGTCAGTATAGAGCATATAGTTAAAAAGTATAATTGAAAATCATAATATGTTGTCAGACACTCTTAACATTCAATTATAGCTTCCAACCCTAAGCTCTGTATATACCCTGCAGTTGGGATAGGCCTTGTTCACAATGAAGCTTCCATTTGCATAAACAACTGCTCAGTTATTGTTTAAGTCCACCATCCAAACCAGATCTGCTCACTCTTCCCAGTTCCAGTGGGTTGCCTGAATCCCAAAGGAATACTGTTGACATAACAAGTCTGGTACTCTTGAGTCTTTTCCGTGCACACATAATGGCAGCGACTAGAACACTGGCACTAATATTTGGGGAGGAATTATTTGTAAAATAACCTGCTTCTTCTTTTTTTCCTTCAAGGGAATATTCAACAGCCATAGGCCATCGGTTGCAGGATCATGGCCTTGTTGTGGAAATGATATACCTTACATCTGAATCAGGTCTTACACGTGCCCTACAAGAAGTTAAAAATGATGGTTCCCCATTCTGTGTTCTTGTTGAACCATCTAACGTAACACTTTCCTCTTGCACCGTAATCATGCTTCATCAGTCTATCAAAAGTAAGTTTAGATTCATTCAGAAACGGTCCCCATTCATAATATGCTATCTAGATCTCCTCCTCAACACATATACAATATTAAAACATGTCACAAGTTGGAATAATACTTCTAACTGAAAATTAATACTGCTTCACAAAACTGCTGAATGTGCTGAGGAACACTTTTTACATTTATTAAATATTCATACAGTTGTAAACCCTTTCTACACTGAGCAAAATTTATTTCATCTTACTGGAGGGTGTTTTTCTACACTTCTCAGATTTTGCCTTCTGTCTGAAACAATAAAGTAAACCATTGGATTGGGTATTTTCTCTGGATCTTAAAAAGCAAACAAACCCACCTTCAACACTAATTTCTTAGAACTGTTCCTCTATTTAGAAAAGTTTTTGTAAAATTGTTCCAAGCATGACATTAACTTACTTTAAATGAACACACAAATGAGATCTCAATAGTTAAATGTGCACATTACACTTAATAGAACTGAGCATGTTTGTGTTGAATCATGAACATATAACATTCAGTTAAAAATATAAATTTGCTCGTATTGAAACAGACGTTGACTTTGAACTTCAGAATAATGGTTCAGGAACACAGCAGTTTTGTGTTTGGTTTTGTCTTGATGTAACCTTTTAAAAAGCAAGGTATCTCTCTTCTCTATAGTACACCGTAATATGCCCATGGAGGATGCATTGGCTCTGATAGCTAAGGCGTTTGAGAAAATTTGTGCTGAGCGCGAACAACAGGAACGCACAGAGATTTCACACAAAGCAGCTGATCTGGCGAATGACTACCTAGAGCGGGATCTCTATGACAGTTACCATGTGCCTCTAGGCATTAGACATCTCCTCTTTCTGTTAAGTGAGGGAAAACATTTGTATATGGAAGAATTGAACTCAATAAGTGACTTCCTGAAGACCAGGAGAAATAAGCTTGAAGGTATTCATTACTTTCCCACCTGTTCCCCAAGAATGTCCCTATAAATCCCACTATTTTAAAACGGGCTCTTGGTTAAAACTTATATTAAAAATAATAATCAAAATATGGAATGTAAAGGTTAATCCTACCCCATCCCCAAGCCATAAAATCTTACTTCTTACTGGAATGTGAACACTTCTTAAAACTACCTTGCTCTTTTTTTGGCTTTGTAGACATAGTTTTATAATGTGGTATTGGTGGGTAATATTTCCAGCAGGTCTTGCCTGGGTGTGTGTTGGTGGTTAAAATGAATCCAGACTCTCACATGTACATCACACGACACGCATGCACACAGCTCTTCTTTACACAGTGACCCTTGTTTCCAGCTAGGCCTTCAAAGCATGTTGTTACTGCTGTGCAAGAAGACAGTTTTTAAAAGTCCCATTCATACACTAGCGGGGAGAAACTGCGTGTTTTTATCGTGTGGCAGGGCTTTTACTGTTGCTTGCTAAGTTCTTAATGACGGAAGGCAGGAATTAAGCTACTTAAGGAGCAGCAACCACATTATGGGGTGACAAGAAGTATTCCATGGAAGAGCCCCAGGCCAGTGTGGAAAAACAGTCTTAAAGAGCAAGCACTTCCATTGTTCGTTGCCACCCTCTGGTAACCATCACATTTCACGTGGCAAAAAGACATTACACTTATAACAAGTTATTAAATTAAAATATGAAACCTTAATATTCGCGAAAACAATGGCAGACCCCGACCCCTTTATTATGTTCTGCAAACTGAAGAGTTCAGAAGCTCAGTCCTTAAAATAAATTAAACTTACGTCTGTAAATCTAACTTGAGGCGTCTTTAAAAGATCTGAGGTATTTCCCTGAGGGGAAAAAGTAGGTAGTTAAAGAGTGTGTTATTCCCATAAATCAGAGGCAAACTACAGTCTTTGCTTTTAATAAATCGGGTGTTCACTAATCATTGTGTGTTGCTTGCTAACTCTTGGTTCTCCTAAACCAGGCTTTGTTGCAGAAACAGACCCTTTAGCTGTTGCAGCTGAAGACACGGTGTATCCAGCAAGTGTCCGGCCAAGCACTAGTGCTCTCCCCCAGACTCTAAGCAAACCCCCGCCCCTTCTTCCAACTCCTGGCCGGAATTCTGTGTTAGGCCAGTCATCTGTATCTTCAGCTAAGCCAGCTTTGTTGGGTGAAAGACCGTTGACAGGTCTTCTTCCCACACCAGGTTGGTAACCCTGTTAACTGTATTGATGTTTTATTAAAATTTACAGTGAAGCAGGGAGAGGAAAGTGGAAATAGAAGGGTGGGTGTGGTTGATGGTTAACTCTGGGATAAGACCTAAGGTGAGATGAGAAACCCAGGGTAACTAACAGTGAAACTTAATTGGTCCACCAGAAATGTTAAAATATGCATTGTACAGTGGTACCTTGCAAGACCAATGCCTCGCAAGACAAAAAACTCGCTAGACGAAAGGGTTTTTTGTTTTTTGAGCTGCTTCGCAAGACGATTTTCCCTATGGGCTTGCTTCGCAAGACGGAAACGTCTTGCAAGTTTGTTTCCTTTTTCTTAACACCGTTAATACAGTTGCGACTTGACTTCGAGGAGCAACTCATAGAACTGCGGTGTGGTAGCCTTTTTGAGGTTTTTAAAGACTTTGGTGATTTTTGAAGCTTTTCCAAAACTTTCCCGACACCGTGCTTCGCAAGACGAAAAAAATCGCAAGACGACAAAACTCGCGGAACGAATTAATTTCGTCTTGCGAGGCACCACTGTACATACATACATGCTACATATGCAGTGTAATATCACTCTTTGAATCAATTTCTTTAAAAACAAAAAATCCTTTGGATAAGGCCTACTGGAAGATAACTATATGAAAAACTACCTCCTTCAATATGAGCATGCCCAGATATTGTAGTTAATCAGCAGAGGCTGTTCTCTGCATCTGCTAGCACCAGAGGCAAGTTGGGCAGGCACACGAGAGAGGGCCCTTTCAGTGGTTGCACCTACACTGTGGAACTTCTTTCCTAGAGAACCTCGGTTGGTGCCTTTTCTGACCGCTGACCATTAAGTGAAAACATTTATTAAGACAGGCCTACTGCTTGTTGAGTTGATTATATTCTGCTGGTAGGCGATAGTCGGTGCTTTATACTCGGCTGCTGTTTCTATCTTACCCTGCTTCTTAGCTGCTAGTTGTGCAACTTCTTGGTATATTATTACATACTAATCATTGATATATGTTAGCAGCATGGGGTGCATATTTGTGGAAAGGCAGGATAACAACCATAGTGAAATTAAATAATAATTTCTAGTTTGAGTGACCAATTAATAAAGAAATGTTGGCCATTTCCCCCCATTCCACGCTTTCTTCTTCCCTCTTTCCAAACAGGGCTGGCTGGCCCAAAGGGCAACCCTCCGCCACTTCTGATAAAGTCTGCTAAAAGACCAGTCCACCTACCTCCATCTCCACATCTGCCTGCAAAGCGACCACTGCTTAGTGGCAGACCGGGCTTGCTGCCAACACCAGGTGAGAGCTGAGTAAGCTAGGTGCTGAATGCACAGGAAGGAAAGGGGGTCATTTTGCACTTCCAATAAATATTTCCCCAATTCATGAAATGGGGTATGGAGTAGTGGGCAGCCTGGTGAACTTCACCAAGGGTTCAAATACCTCCTGGGTGACCCACATTTGGTACTGCAGGAAGGAGCCTTACCCTTGAGCATCCATTCTCTTCATCCACCCCGGCTCTTCGATTCAATTTGCTATTTTCTGCTTGGAGCAAACTGTATTATGTTGTTGCATAAAAACTGGTAAATCACGGTTGGCACTTCCTTTCCAAGAGCTAGGATCGCAAGTCAAACTTGGCATTATGTGTGAACAAGTCATTAAAAGTGTTCCATCCATTACACGAGGTGCATAATGTTATACACATGTTATAGCTTGTTATGTTGCTTTCCTTTCTGTGGGAGTGTGGGGAGAGATTGCTTTCCCTTCTTTGTCAGAGCTGAAGGACAGAAAGAAAGCTTCATTGCCATCCCGCCCCTCCCCAATGGAAGGGTGAGAAGGAAACTCGTGGGGTTCCCAAGTGCCTGATGCTGCTATGTGAAGTGCTGGAAAGATTTTTTTCTTGCTCTTCACACAGCGGTAGTGCATGTTTGGGAACACCATAAGGGTGTTGACTGGTAGGCAGCCACACCCACTTGTCATATTTGGACTGAGAGGGCAATTCTGATAAAGATCTGGACCTTTATCTGAGCAAAAAAGCTTCCCCATCCTTGCCCAATAGATTTGGAACAACTTCAGTAAGATTTCAAATGTAGATTTCTCATTTCTAGATGTTGATGAGACTGGCTGGGTTAATGGTGACCTTCTTTGCAGAAGATGCGTGCAAAATTTAAGTGTGCAAAATTCAGCAACTGCAAACATGATGCTCTAGGACAGTCTTCTGGTGCTTTCCAGATGTTTTGGACTACAATTACCATAATCTCTGTCCACTGATTGGGGTTGAAGGGAGTTCAGAGACCAGCAATATCTGGAGAGGCTCACGTTGGGGACTAAGGAGGGTGTTCCACTATTTTTGTGTGCGTTTAAAACCTTAAAGTCAAACTTCTGTACTACTTTCAAAGTGGTATTATTAATTAAATTTGTTGATCACTTTTTTTGCCAAGACAACTAAAAACCACTTGCAGTTCTTTTAAACATATAAGTGCAAACACACATTAAAACTAGCATTAAAAAACAATCTAAAAGACAAGTCAGTTTTTAAAAACTAGATTAATACATTCCATCCATATAAAAGGACCATAGATAATTAAAAGCCAAAGGCTTGACGAAAGATGAATGTTTTTGTCTGGCACTTAAGCTATGTAACAGTGGTGCTTGGGGATGGCATTCCACAGTTGAGGAGCCACCACTGAAAAGGCCCATTCTCATATTGCCACCCTCTGGACCTCCCATGGTAGGGGCACACGAAGAAGGGCCTCGGACGATGATTGCATAGTCCGGGGACTGGGGAGAGGTAGTGCTTGAGAAAGTAGATCTCTCTTTTTTCCATTCATGCCTACTTCTTCATAATGATTGGAATCTTGAGCTAGGGCTGTAAATCCTTGAATTTACAGGATAGAGAATTGTGCTCACTTGGAAGCTGGAAGAAAATTTTATTCTGAAGCTCAGTGGAGGGAGGCGCTAAACAAATAGTTTGCAATCCTTCTCACACTTTGGCACTTCTTTCAGAGTTCATGACTTTTGTCTAAGATTAATAAAATAAGGAGCCTCAAAGACCAGGATTGCTGTGGCCACTACGGTATTCTTTTTATCCAGTTATACAGTTCCCTGGCTTGATGAATATTATTCAGTCTTGTTATGGCTCTTGCTTCTCTAGATATTCTCCTGAGTCCAAAAGCTTTGCAAAGCTCTGAACTCTTAGTAATTGTCAACTGAAGCAGACTTCATTTATGAGCTAAGCTAGGAGCCAGTTCTCTTTGCATGCATATATTCTTTATACTGCACTAACAGCAGTTCATGTTTCATATCAAGTAGCGTATGAGAACACCAAGCTGTACAGTCCTGTGGATGTGGGCCAGGGCTGTGTGCAGTCCATGCCTGCAGCCTTCATGGCTGCCAAGAAATATCACGGCAGTGTCTGTTAAAGTTCAAAAGGTCAAACAGGGGAATTGCTGCTCTTGGAGCATATCCGCACCTCCCTCCCAAACGCTACCTCATTTTCTAAGAGATCCATTCAAAATTCTGTGAAGTGCCCCAAAATGACTTTTGGAGTAAATGGTGCAAATTTAAGTCCACATTGGCAACTTTTGTGAGATCCCAAGCCTTCGCAATCCAGGCTGTTCTCAAGTGTGACTGAACCATAACTGTTCATTTGTCCTGGTTTTTCTATCTCTGAGTCCAAGCTAATATAAATGAGAGAAGTACACTGATTTAAATGAGAAAATACAGTGAATTTTCAGCACCCTTAGGATTCCGGGAGAGTTGAAGAGAGGCTTGTAGGAAAAATGAGTGCATGCAGAAAGTGACAGCTGCCCTATTCTGCTTTCAGTTTTCCAGTTTGCACTGATAAGTTCTGAAGTAAAGGAATGGTTGGGTTTTTTGTTTTTTGCATTGCATTGTATTTTAGTCCAGACAAGAGGCTGTTTTCTTCCATGTAGAAGGCCACTTTGAACATTAAACATGTTCTGTAAAAATTAAAGGCTAAGAGTGTTGCACCACTTAACTGTTCTTCATTTCACAGTTGCTAAGGCACAGCATCATTGGGTACCCAAGCCAAAGTTCCTAGCTTGACTGGACACCTGGATTAAATGGAGTACACGGCAGTCCCTGCTTGCATCATCCCTCTTGCAAGACAGCAGCACCTGACAAATGTGTGTTAGTACACCAGACAAGCTTAAATGTGTATTGTTTTCTGTTCTACACTTTCCTGGGTATTTTCTTTCTTTTTTTTACTTAAGTGGCAGAGTGAAAATAGGTGTTTGTGGAACTATCAGTATTGTAGATTCCCAGTACTAACATTTTTTTAAAAAACCAATATCATCCCAGAATAAATGACTTATTTCCACAGTTTGTCATTTGATTTCTTTGTGACTTAAGCTCCACTTAGATAATTTGTCTGGTGATAAACTTGTTCCTCTGTATATGTAAGCTCCTAGCTAGACTTGAACACTCTTTATGAATACTTTGCTAGCCTTTGGGCCACTCATTATGCTTATCCAGGAGATCCAGATAAATTAGTTTCCACTGTGTCTGATGTGGCATTGTAAGATTCAGAAAAACTATGGAATAACTTGTCTCACAGACATTTAGCCATAGACTCGCAAAACTAAACATTGCCACAACTTGCTTTATATTACAATATGTATGCATGCATTACTGCTCTCTCAAGCATTGCAGGAAATAATATACTTTAATTCCACTTGCTATTTTGCCTTCTTTAAACACAAATCACATATTTGGCCAATGGTAACAGTTGGACCAGTGTTTTTTTTCTTTTTCTTTTTTAAGGCAGTGTTTGTTACAAACAAATACTTTAGGGCTGCTTTTGCAATATTCAAGGATGCATTCAGTGCTTAAAAACACAAGAGATAATAAGATAATAAATTACAAAAACTGCTCCAAACCTCTACTCAACAAATTGAGGGCTGCTGATTTTTTAAAGTTTTCTTTCCTGATGCACTACTATTGGTGGTAACTACCATTCAAAATATAAATTTTCACAGGACACTTTATTAGTTTTCTCTGTTTCAAACTTAATTCCCAGCCCTATTGCATTTCATACATCATGATGTTTTAATGTCCTATAAAGTACTTTCCAACCTGAACATAACCCCTGGATGTTGCACTGGCTTATTGGGGAAGACAGTGGTCTTGTTGAGCTCTCTGTGCATATAGTTGGGCACCAGGCACAGCATTAAGGTTGACACCTGGCTGCTTTTAAACTGGATTGTTGGCTACATACCCTTCCTCACTTGAAAGGACTGCTACATGTCCCATTGCAATGGTAGCCACATACCTGGAAGTGAAGCAGGAAGTGCTTCCCAAAAGACGCATCTGTTGCCATGGGGAGCAGGGGAGCTACCACCACTAATGTTCTGCATTGTTGCTACTGTTCTACACACACACATCAAATGCATTCAGTCTGACATATGACTTGCTGGTTTGTGATACATATGGAGGTGACTAGCACAATCACTGTTGCTGATGCCTAGAAGAGATTAAGAATGAGGGTGCCACACTGCCCCTCCATTTTAATAAATGGCAAATCCCTAAGGGACTTGCGATTACATTTTACATATGATAACAATAGAAGGATCTCTGCCCCCCCCACTTCTCCTCATGAAATTCCCTTCCAACAGAACTTACAGCTCAGCCAATCTCCATTTTAAAGAATCACTGGCATTGTATTTTACAGCTCCCATTGTGTCAAGTACAGCTTTGTCAAACTGTGCCAGTTTAGTTTGACAGAAGAGCTGTAGTTCATAGAAGTAATCATCCTGAAGATTAATCACAAACAAGGTATTTTCTCTTCCTCTTGCATTTCTGAGCTTACTGGGCCACTTGTTTTTCTCCAGAAGGGGGCATCCTTTAACTGGAAGAAATAAAAAACTATTTTCCCCGAATTTGCCAAAGTAGTAGGCATGAGAGGAAAAGGTGACATTTCTGTTCCAGCAACCATCATACGAATAATATGTAATCTTGCACTTACAAGTAACAACAAAGATACGGGATTTGTATATAAAATCAGGTGTCTTAAACTGACCAATTATGCTTTTTCTGCCTTTATTCATGCTATTTATAAACTGCTTTTCAACAGAAAACTCTTGAGAGATGGTTCGCAAGAGTCTTAAAATACAAACAATACATATTTCTCACTGCTTCACAAGAACATTAAAAAAAAACCATACAAAATGAAAAAGAAACCCAGCTAAAGTAATAGAAATAAACATGTGGAACTATACAGCACATAGACAACTGCTTAGAGATTAGCAGAGACTCTAAGTATTTTCAACTATCTATGAAAGGAGACTATCGAAAAACTGGCCAATGGGCCAGAGGAGAGTCATCAGGTAAAAGGCCTTTCTCTTCCTTTGCCCTAGATTCACATTTGCCCTCTCTCACATTGTTCTAGGGCCTAGAATAATATTGTGCGGAGCTATACCTTACACCGAGCTAGCTTACTTGAGATTCTTCCAGCTCCTCTTATTAATGTGTCCTCATCTGTGTATTGCCCTTTACCTGGGGAAGATAACGCAGGAACCTGCCCAAAGAGCCAGTTTAGCCCAGGATCCTTCACCCCACCCCACTCCACCCCAGGGTACTTTCCAACCCCATGCAAAGGAATTGCACGTGAAGAAATCACAGCAGGTGGCCATCATCCTTCGGTTCCTTGAATATGCCTAGCATCACCTCTCCTATACCTCATCTCCATGCAAAACATACCCAACTCTTTCAACCTTTCTTCATAGGACTTGGTCTCCCAGTCCTTCACCATATTTGTCATCTGTCAGGGAGCCAGCCAGCAACACAGGGTAAGTGAAGTTAACTATTAGAAGAAGCATGGCTGGCTCAGGAGTGCCAGGCCTAATGAGAACTGCAACTCTTCTTGGTTGGTCTTGCCTCTATGAGGCAGTTGTGGAGGCTGAAGGTCCACAGCTGCCTAAATTTCCTCCCCGGCTCCTTCCCAAGCAAAGTGAAACTACGCCGAAACACCTGTCTCTGCTCCTTCCTCTTAATACCTCTTCTGGTCCTGGGAGACCAGAGGGAAGGGAAGCTTGTTGCAACAATTGGGGGAGAAACCTGGCTTCTTCACCAGCCTGAGCCAACTCTGCCTCTTGAGCTGTCTTCTACTTCTGCCTCTGATTCTGATGCTAGACTTCTCTCTGCCACAGACTCTCCCTGCTCACTAAACCCTGTTACCTCTTCAGCTTCCAACACCACCTCCAATGATAATGATTTATTTATATGCCTCCCATCTGACTGGGTTGCCTCAGCCACTCTGAGTGGCTTCCAACAAATTAAACACATTAAGCACAGTAAAACACCTAACATTAAAAACCTCCCTACACATGGCTGCCTTCAGATGTCTTCTAAAAGTCAGTTGTTTATTTTTTTTGACACCTGACAGGATCTTTTCCCTCTTCTCCCTCGGACCACTTATTGTCCCACAATCCCTGGGCTCTGAGCCTTCTTCCCCAGCTGGTTCCTCCCACCATTCCTTTGTGTCCAGCCAGTCCGTGACATCATCCTTCCCTGGTCACATTCCAGTCTGCCCACATCCTACTTAAGGACTCAGTATAAGACAGTTTTCTTCATTCCTATGGCCAAGGTGCCTTTTTAAGAAGCTCACTTCATTCAGATGGTGGTCAATTAAAACTCTCACTTGTTTATAGGCTTCCAGTTGCTTCCTGCCAAATGGGCTTAGATGTTGTAGGAGTTGTGCATTGCAGATGGCCTCAGGCAGAGCCTTTTAGCAGTTTTGCATTGCATCTGCTCCTGGGAACCTGTCATAGATTCACCCTGATCTTACTGCTTTATTTCCCCGGGGGCTTAGCTATGTTGCACAAATCCTCACATGAAGGAGGAGGATGCTTTGGGATGACTCAGTGTGCATCATGAGGACATAAGAGAGAATTAAATAGGCTATTCAGATGCAGATTTGTTCCGAAATTTAACCCTGAAACACACAAGCACACATCTCTTCAATATATTGAAGTTTTTTGTTTTTAAATAGAAGATAGAATAAAAATGGACAAAGCAGGTTACACCCTCCCTTCTGTTGTGTACGGATATGCAATCCAAAAAGGTATTTCATAAATAATCCATTTAGACATTAGGAGGAAATAAATCCATTTTGAGTACCAGCCTGAAATTTTGAAAAACAGCACATTGACAGTATCAATACTCTGCACATGTTTACTCACATGTTTAAACATTGAGTTCGATGAAATTTACTCCCAGGTAGATTGCAGGTGTAATATTCTAGAATTTAGACAAATAAAGGGTTTACAGTACAGTAACGCTGCAACTTGTGTTCATTTAAACTTGTGTGCAGTCAGCTTTATGTACCTGGCAAAACAACAACAACTTAAAAGGGGTGGAAAGGGGATGAGGTTCTAGGGAAAATGACTTTGGCAATCCCATCTGCCATTGAACTCAGTGGGTTTTGACTATACACGATTTTGGCTTTAGGCGTGATCCCCAGAACATAATCTCCTCATAAGTTGCGGGCTTACTGTAGTTTGTTAGGGACTTTGTGTGGAGTGGTGGTGCGGGACATCCCTGGAACTGCCAACTGGAATTGGATGCCGTCTGTATTTCATGATGATGCTGTTCCGCATGGACATGATCACTGCACAAACAAGTTGCATGAATCTTACTGATATCAATGGACCACCTTAAAACCACATTTAAAAGGAGCAATACCAAAAAGAACAAGCAAACATGCTGACCATACCAAACACCTGCAACTGCCATTTAACATCCCCCATCCCAGAACTGCCACCATCAGCAGCTGTTCCACCTGTACACTTCCAAAGAAGGAGGAGATACCAAGGGATCTTCATCAGTTCAGATGGAACCGGCCACTCTTTGGCTATTCCCATCATAGACTTGCCTCCTTCTGTGGCAAAATAGGACTTTTTCCTCTTAGGAGATTTACCCCTATGTGCCCATATTGGGAAACTACTCATGTGGAATGAGGTTATTCTAAGACAAGTAATTGATGTCCTTAGCCCTGTTGAGGGATGCTGCTCACATGTATCTTAACACACGGAGTAAACGTGGGAAGGATTGGCAGCAGGGCTGGTCCATCCCATTTCACTGCCTGAGGCAAAACAGGAAAGTTCCTCTCCTGCCCCTCACTTACTAGAGTCGCGTGGCAGATGTTCTGGAAAGAGCTTGCAAAACTCCTGCGAGATCTCACCAGAAATCACCACTGCTTCTCTGGCGGCATCTGGGGCCAGTGGGGATGCCCCCCCATGGGATTATGTCACCTGAGGTGGCTGCTTGGGTGTCACCATGGGTGACCTGACCCTGCGTGTCAGAAGCAAGCTCTCTTCTACACACAT